GGGGGGGGGGGGGGGGGGGGGGGGGGGGGGGGGGGGGGGGGGGGGGGGGGGGGGGGGGGGGGGGGGGGGGGGGGGGGGGGGGGGGGGGGGGGGGGGGGGGGGGGGGGGGGGGGGGGGGGGGGGGGTTTTTTTTTTTTTTTTTTTTTTTTTTTTTTCTTTTTCTTTTTTTTCTTCTGCGCGCTGACGACGTTACATGAGGCGAGGGAGATGAGCAGGGCGGATAAAATGAGCGGCGCCGTGTCTCTGGGCCGGGGGTGAAATTGGAGGGATGGATAGACGAGCTCCGGAGTGCATAGACCATAGGTAGGGAGAGCTAGTACTAGGCACGATGGGAATAATAACCGCGGGCATATTTACGAGATACCTACGGAGTACGGAGTACTCTGTAGTCAGTAGTCCTCGTAGTTTGAGCAGGACGGCGACGGGAGACAGCGGGGCGGTGGTGCTGGCTGGAAAGGGACGCTGCTGGTGCTGGTCATGGTGGCGGGAGCTTAGGGGGGGGCTAGCAGCTGGCTGACAGGCGAGATACTACTAGTAGTGGTGCTAGTCTGAGGCGAAAAAGCAAGGCGGGCCCGTCGACCGGGGCGGTGGGCGGCCGAGACGAGAGGTATGTAGGTAGGTATTAGCGAGGGGAGGGGGGTAGCAGGCCAGGGCCGGGTTAGGGTTGCGGCGGGCAGCAGCGGGCAGGCAGGTAACTTAGGGTACTAGGCTGGCGGGCGGGTACGGCACGCCAGACAGCGCCAACGCCAACGCCAACGCCAGCGCCAGCGCCAGCGGCCCAGCGCGCGCGGCGCTAGCGAGCGAGCGAGCGAGCGAGCGAGCTACGGCGGCGCACAGGCGCGGCGTCGTGGCCTGCACTGGCTGGCGTGGTTGGGCCTTCTTCTTCTCTCGCTCGCGCCCTCACTCACTCGCTGCCTCTGTCTCTGCCACTCACTGCCTCACGCTCGCTCGCTCTCTCTCCCCCCGCTGTCCGCCCGCCGCGGCTGCCCGGCGCCCGCCATGTACGCCCGCCCACCACCGCCCGCGCCGCCGCCGCCGCCGCCGCCGTCGTCCACGCCCACGCCGACTCCCGCTCCCTCGCGCGCCGCCAACGGGCTGCCGGCTCCCTCCCCCGACGCCGCCGCCACGGCCACTCCCTCAACCACGCCTGCACCCGTCCCCTCGCCCACCGACTACCGCCCTCCCTTTGCCTACGACGACCCGGCTGCGCGCCTGCAGCTGATGCCACCGCCGCCGCCGCACCACCACCACCACCACCAACAACAACAACAACAGCAACAGCAACACCACCGCGCGCCGCCCTACACGCCCGTCTCCGCGCCCGTGGCCAGTCCCTACGACGCCGCCGCCGCTGCTGCCGCCGCCGCCTACTACTACAGCCAGCCCAGCGGGCCGTACGGCCAGCGCCAGCGCCGCACCACGCGCGCCCAGCAGGTGCGAGCACCTACACTCTGCTTCACCTAGTTCCTACTGACTGACTGACTGCCTGCCAGGCCTGCGACCAGTGCCGTGCGCGCAAGGCCAAGTGCGACGAGGGCCGGCCGTCGTGCGGCCACTGCAAGGAGAGCAGCGTGCAGTGCGTCTACAAGGACGTGCCGCCGCACAAGTACGTGCGACAATCCCCGTCCCAGTACATGCCCACACTTTCTAGATATTAACGGCCCCAGGCACGAGCGCTCCACGCAGATCCTGCTCGACCGCCTGCAGCAGATCGACGACCGCTTCAAGGACGCCGACCTCCCCGCCGACAAGCTCGACCGCGTGCTGCAGCTCGTTGCCGCCCAGAACGAGAAGCTCGACGCCCTGCTCGGCCGCGCCCCCGCTGCTGCTGCTGCTGCTGCTGACTTGAAGCCCGCGCCCGCTGACGCCGTCAAGCAGGAGCACCATCACCAGCACCACCAGCAGGCTGCCGACCTGCAGGTCGAGCCCGACGACGATGAGCTGTCCATCCCCATCGAGCACACCACCGCCGCGCACAAGCTGCTGCTGTGGCCGTCCATCCAGAAGCTGCTGCCCGACCGCATCGACGACGACTATGTCATGAAGCTCGAGGAGGCCCGCGGGCCCATCCGCCCCTACGGCCGCGGCGAGGGCACCGCCAGCGCCCGCCGCGCCAGCAGCCATCACCACCACCACCACCACCAGCAACACCCACACCACCTCGCCTACCCGCTCAGCCCCGTCGTCAGCGCCGCCAGCCCGCGCGACGACGACCTGTTCCACTTCTGCGGCGCCGGCTGGGGCACCGGGCTCGAGATCTACCGCCCCGACTCCCGCGCCCGTCTGCCGCCCGACCGCCAGGTCGGCGGCCGCAACAGCCGCGGCGCCCTGGACCTCGACGCCGCCGTCGTGCACGCCTGCCACCAGAGCTACCTCGACAACATGCACATCCTGCATCCCTTCCTGCGCGCCGCCGACCTCGCCCTCAGCGTGCGTGACTTCGTGCACGCCTACAGCCCGCCCCCCGCCAACCCCCATGCCTCCCCGGCCCCCCCCCCCGCCGCCGCCGCCGCCGCCGCCGCGACCGCCCTCCACCGTGCCCCCAAGCGCAAGCGCTCCCTCGAGCTGGCCCCCGGCTACACCCACAGCGCCGCCAGCGCCGCCCACGCCGAGCTGGCGTCGCCCGGCTCCGACCACAGCAGCACGCTCCTCGCGTCCGCTGCTGCCTGCCCGCCCATCCAGCGGTCCATGGACAACGCCATCGTGCTGCTCGTGCTGGCCCTGGGTGCCATCTGCGCGTGGAAGAGCGAGCTGCCCGGCCCGCTGCCCGACCCAGCCGCCGCCGCCGCCGCTGCAGCCGCCAAGCTCCCGCCGTACCGCAGCTCCGCCGTCTCGCCCGTGTTGGCCGACTCGGCGCTGCACGTGCACCACGCCGCCGCCTTCCGCTCGCCCACCGCCGCGCGCTCGCCCAACAGCACCAGCAACAGCAACAGCAACAGCAACAGCAACAGCAACAGCAACAGCAACAGCAACAATACCACGAATAATACGACGCACGCCAATGCCTCGCAGCAGCAGCAGCAGCAGCAGCAGCACTGGCGGGCGGGCAGCGCCGACTACGCCGACCCCAGCCTGCGCAACATGGACGTCGTGCCCGGCATGGCCTACTACGCGCTGGCCACGGACATCCTGGGCAACCTGCAGGGCGGGAATGACCTGTCGCACGCCCAGGGCTGCCTGCTCGCCGCGCTGTACACCGGCCAGCTGGCGCATCCTTTCGCGAGCCATGGCTGGATCAGCCAGGCCGCCCGCGCCTGCCAAGTCCTCGTGCGAGCGTGCGTTGCCCCCTCTATACTCCGTATTTCTTTTTTTTTTTTTTTTGTCTTTGCTGATCTTGTTTCAGACGAAGCTTCGAGGTGATGCCCGATGGCGCGCGCAAAGATCTCATCACGTTTGCGTTTTGGACGTGTCTGCAGCTGGAGAGGTAAAAAAAAAGAAAATTAACTTCGATCCCCCTCTCTTCCTGCTGGCTCTAACGCACAGTTCTAGTGACATCCTCGCGGAGCTGGACCTGCCGGCCAGCGGCATCAGCCGGCTCGAGGGCCGCATGGAGTTCCCCAAAGCCGTGTTCGCGCATTCCATCCCCAACGAGCTCGAGGCGCCCGACACGCTGATGATGATGTACTACTCGGCCCAGATCCACCTGCGCAAGGTCCTCAACCGCGTGCATACGAACCTGTACAAGACCGAGAGTGGGTTTTCTTTCTTTCTTCTCTCTTCTCTCCCGATGACGAGGCTGACGTGGGTCCAGAGACCAGCACGGGCGAGAAGCGCACCAAGTGGTCGACGCGCATCCAGGAGCTGCTCAACGACATGCTGGAGTCGTGGCGGCGCGGGCTGCCCAAGGCCATGAAATGGGACGACTGCGAGCCGCCGGCGCGCGACATCAACATCGCGCGCATGCGCGGCAAGTACTACGGCGCCCGCTACATCATCCACCGCCCGCTGCTGCACCACGCCCTGCACCCCATCGCCCCCAAGGCCCTGCTGGCCACCACCGCCCCCGCCGAGTCGCCCGCGCCCTCCGTCGTCTCCAGCTGCTCCAACCCGCACATCTCGCCTGCCCTGGCGCATGTGCAGCAGGTCGACCTGGCCACCGCCGCCGCCGACCATCGCTGGGCCGCCGACATGCCGCCGCCGCCGCGAATCGCGTCCGCCACCGGCCAGGACGCCGCCGGTCCGCCGCCATCATCATCATCATCATCATCGTCGCAGCAGCAGCAGCAGCAACAGCAGCAGCAGACCCAGCCACCGCAGTCGCCGCTCCCCGGCACGCCGTCGCAGGGCCCGCCGTTCGAGAAGGACCTGGACAACAAGCTGCACGCGGCGTGCGTGACGTGCATCGAGGCGGCGATGCAGAGCACCATCGCCTTCGACAACGTCGAGGGCCGGCCGATCGTGACGAACATCTTCGGCACGGCGCACGCGTAAGTTCTGCCCGCAGGATACTATGATTTACTCAATTCTACACGTCAGAAAAGGTCCTCCACTAACCTCCCCCGCGCCTCCTTTCCTTGCAGACAATTCGGCAACATCCTCGTGCTGGCGGCGACGTACACGTCGCGGTTCTCCAACTTCGTGGACCGCGAGCGGCTGCGCCAGCTCATCGACCGCACCATCAAGTTCCTGCTGCAGGCGCGCAACATCTCGCCCAGCCTGCTCAAGGACGCCCACATCCTGACGCAGATCCGCTACAAGCTGTTCGACCAGCAGGCCACGAATAATAGTACCAATACCAATGCTGCTACTAATCACAGCTTCTCGTCGAATGACGGCTGAGAGACCTCGCTCCGCTTTCGGCTTGTCTTCAAGTTTTGATCGATCTTTTTTGTCTTTGTGGCTTTTTTTCCTTTTTTTTTTTCTCTTCTTTGCTTTTTTGTTTCATCCTCTTCTTTTTTTTCCTTCATTTTCGCCTCTCGCTTGTTTCTTTCCCTCTCTTGAGCGCGCGCCCGCGCGCTAAGAGCGTTGAGGCTTCTGTTTGGTCGGCTGGCGATGACTTTTTGTTATATTTTGTTTTTTGGCTGTATATAACTCGCTCACCCCCTCTTTGTGGGCCTGGCATGCCCCCCTGTCCATACGATTCAGGCTGTTCCTTCTTCCCCCCTCAAACTGTGCAACAAATTGTCAGAGCGATTTGCTTCTTGTGTTTTTTTTTCTTCTTTACTTGGGGCGGCACTTTTGCGTGTGTTTGGTCAACCCCAAAAAAAAAAAATAAATAAAAAAGCAAAAGAACCATCATCGAGGGGATTACCAAAAAAAAAAGGCTGTCTTTTGGATTTTTTCGGGCTACTTGATTTTCTGTTTTTTTTTTTTTCTTTTCTTTTCTCCAGCACTTGTCTGACTACCAAAAAGCCAAAAAAGCAACACCGCCAGAATAAACCTCGGAGGGCGTGCGCGGGGCTGGCTCACTTTCGGTCTTATCTATCATCACCATCCCTCCCCCGCAGTCAGTCTTGCATCGCTTAGCTCGCTCGCTCGCTCGCTTTTCTCGGGTCTGGCCTTCATCTTTCTTCGTTTTTCGGGGGAGGGGGGGCGGTTTTTTTTTCTTTTCGGTTATTTTTAGGCGCGCGCGAAGCTTGGCTGTTTGCGCCGATGCGGTGCAAATGTGTGCGTGCGTACCAGGGGGATGGGGAGAGCAGGGCAGGGCAGGGGGAGAGGGAGGACAACCAGGGGCAGAACGAGGGTTTGTCTGTCTAGCCTCTTTCTTGCTCGATGATGATGATGATGATGATACTCCATATACCGGCCATCGCCATCGCCATGGCTGTCTATCCCGCGTCGCTCTCTCTCTCCTCCCGCTCTCTGCCGTACCCCATATTTGCCATGCGGGGAGGCAACGTTTTCTTTTCTTTTGCTTCTCTTCGTGTATTTTGGAACCCCTTGATTTCTTTTTTCTTTTTTTACTTTTGTCTGCGATCCCAGGCCGACAAAAAAAAAAAAAGAAAATAATACCCCCTCAGTGACCCCAAACAGTTGGGTATAAAGATATATTCTTTTTGTTTTTTTTTTTTTTTTTTTGTACAAACCAGGTTGTCCCGGTTGAGCCCATTGTTTGACTTTTTTTTTTTTCCTTTCTTGCTGTGAATATTTAGCTATCTAGCGACGACGACGACCAGCTTCTTCCTGTCTATTATTATTATTATTATTTATTATTTATTATATTTATTTATTCTTAATTACTAGCTATTTACGGAGTAACTAACTATCGTCACGACTATCTCGATCCCAGATAGTTGCACATGCCCGTTTTTTTTTTTTCTTCTTTGGCCGACACGTTTCCGGTTTGCGTCCCCTGCCTTTTCAAGCCCTGTCTGCTTTTTAATGACGATGATAATGACGATGATGAGGCTGTTGTTCGGATCTCCGTTAAATGATACCCCCCCCCCCCCATGTGGTGCAGACTTCTGTAACTAGTGGTTTAAAATTTTTTCGTCGCTGTCTCAAACCCATTTCACTACGGGGCTATATCACCTTTTTCTTTATCGGGGAGCAAGGAGTACGGAGTGCTTATACGGAGTATGCATGTATCTAGAGAACAAAAGTCTAATTCTTGAGGCTCTATATCACTTGTACTATATGATGGAGTATAATAGTTAACGCCCTCCTCTTTCTTTTTTTTTCGTATCAGTTCAGGAACTCTTTTCAACGCTTTGGCTCGCTGGTAGACCAAAAATAACACTGCCCGCTCGGTTCTATCGATCCCAGCAAGGGACGCAACACAGAAATATATCAAATCCATCTCAGCAGTTCCATCTTTTCTTTTCTCCTTCCCCCACCCCCAACGCCAGCACAGTCAGACTGTCATACCATGAGCATCCCGCTCAAAACTCATTAAACAGTAAACAGCCATCCAACAACAACAACAACAAAAAAAGGGAGTATTCCAACATTCGCTAAGATCATCTTCACAAACAGCAGCAGCAGTAGGAGTAGTATTTTCCATAATAAAACCAAACAAAGTAAAAAAAAGTTTCAAATTCCCTCTCAGATAAACCCAGGTCTCTCACCACTACCACCCTGCTGCATCCGATTCTCCCGCCCACGACCACCACCACCACCACCACCACCACCACCATCCGCGGACGACCCCGGTAACGGTGCGTGCTGGTGGTGCTCTGGAGGCAGCGGAGGCAGATCTCGATTCTTCTTCTTCACGGCAGAGTCAGCAGCGGTGCTGCTGGTGACGCTGCTACCGTCGGCTGCCGCGGCAGTAGGCTCGGAATAATAATACTGTCGTACGTGCGCTGGGCCGCCGCCGCCGCCGCCGTCGCCGTCGTCGTCGTCGTCGTCAGCTCCGCCAAACCGCTTCTTGGCCGTGGGCTTCCCGCCAGCTGCTGCAATAATAATCGACGACGCGGGTGACGGTGTGAGGCCCGAGCTCGCGTGCGTCTCGGCGGTGTCGCCGCGAACCAGGCCCAGCACCTCTTCCTCCGTCGCATCGCGCACCCTCACCACCGGCGACGGCGACGGCGCCGGCGGTCGATGCGTGGCGAACCCGGGCAGTCTAAGAATGCCATGCTGCTGCTCTCGTCTCGGAGATCGATCACCACTACCCGTCGTCGTTATCGCGGCTGTCTCTGAGCTCGACACTGTGCGGTCGCGGTCACGATCACGGTACAGCAGCCGCTGGAACGAGAACTGGCGGTGCGACGAGGCGTGCACGGGCGGCGTGGGCGGCGAGCTGTTGCTGCTGCTACTGATCGAATTCCGGCCGTTGTCATCCAGCTTGAGATCGTCTGCGAACCGGACGGACCCGGCGGTCTCGCGGCGCGAGCGGCGCTGCTGGTGGTGGTGGTGGTACTGGAACGGCTCCGCCAGCGAGCTGCCCAGGCCTGAGGCAGCCGTGGCTTCGGAGTGTTTCTGGCTGTTATTATTATTATTATTGTTATTGTTATTATTCCCTGCCGGACCACCCCCGGCCACAGCCCGCAGCTCCACGCCCGCGCCCGCACCCTGGCCCTGCGAGACGTCGCTGACCCGCCGACCGCTCGACGCACGGCTGCGGAAGCTGCTCAGGAACGATCGCCCGGTCCGAGGCCGCGAGCTTATCAGCTCCTCGTCGTAGTCCGGAAATCGAGACATGCCCAGGGGCGGGTGGAGGGTTTTCTGAAACTGCGCGGTGCTCGGAGATCCCGGGCTGAGGAGCGTCTTGCGGCGGCGCAGGCCATCCCACTCCACGATCTCGTTGTCGCCCGGCACGTCGGACTTCTCCAGCCTCCGTTCGTTGTGGTAGCGCAGCAGCTCGTCGCGTTCCATCTTCTGTCGCGGAGTCGAGATGCGCCGGATAATCGCCGCCGTGCCGCGGATCGCATCGGCTTTGGGCTCGGTTTCTGGCTGCTCCTGCTCGGCCACTTCGCGAACCTGGTCCAGGTCTCCCTTGAAGATGGCCGCATCTGGAACGTCTTTGGCGGATTTGGATAGCTGAAGCAGGACGACCCCTGCACAGATCTGGAGGAATCCCATCACAACCGTTGTGATACTGATCGGAGAGCCCTTGAAACCCTTGAATAAAATGGCAGATGTGACAATCGTGGCACTGGTGAATATAACGTAATATGTCGGCGTCACCAGCGCCGCGTTGAAAATATTCAAAGCTTTCTAACAAGGACTGTCAGTCGCAGATTTCTACCATGCAGAATGGGTAGAAAGAGACTCACGTTCAGGTAAATGATCTCGGTCAAGAGAGTCAATATCACAAACACCAACAAAACATAGAGAAACCATTCCTTGAACTGCGACTGCCCTGATATCTGTGCGATGATAGCGGCTCCCAGACCTTGGGTAGCAACTACACTCAAAGCACCGATCAGGCTGCAAATGGAGAGATACACAAACATGCTTTTCTTGCCATAGCGAGGGCCGGCCCACAGGGCAAGAAAAGTGCACCCAACGATAAGAACTCCAGCGTAAGTCAGAAAAACAGGTCGAATAACATACCCCTTCATATCCTGGATATTCGTAACCGAAGACTGCTGCGGCGCGTTGAGCGCAATCACCACAGAGCCGATGATGCAATTGAAACAGCCGACTTTGCCCACAAAGCTCAGGCGCTCTTTCAGAAAGATGGCCGATAGGATTGTGGTCACGACCACCGACAACGCACCCAGCGGCGTGACGAGAATCGCATCTACGAACGCATAGGCCACGAAATTGCATACTTCCCCAAGAACCATGAGGATCATCCCCGCCCACCAATAGAAATTCTTCAGATACCCATAACCTTCTCCTGCCTCTTCGTTGTATTTGACATTGGCCTTGAGCAAGCCGAATTTCTTCAGCACGAACGAGACGCCAATGAAAAGGCCCGATGCCACGGCCAGCGAGATGCCAACGGCCTTGAAGGCGGGCGGCCGACTGTTCGGGTTGGTGGAAAGGCCACCGGACCTGGCGACCAGCGAGAGGTCATTCAGAACCGAGTCAAGCATTGTGAAGTCTGGAGTCGCCAGAGACAAGCCCATAGGAGAGTCCGTGGCCGTTGTAGGCGGTCCTGTCGTTCAACGCCGGGTGGGATGGCAGATCAATTGCAGAAACGGGTGGCAGCAACGGCGCTGGGGGTGCAGGATATCCTTGGGCGGCAAGGGGAGCGGGCCCCTATTGAAAAGTAAACAAACTAGATCGCTGTAGGCCATCTAATGATCATGAACAAGCTGAATCATAACTTCATTCTCCGATATCATGGCCACCAGGTTATGGACAGGCAAGCAACTCGCGACGACGGGCGAGACGGCAACACAACCCCTGTCTGGCTTTCCTGGAAAGTTGGCTTCGTCGAAGCAGCAAATGAAACCGGATCAGGCTCTGACGCAAGGCTTGCTTATGTCAGCCATCTATCTTATCTGATCGCCACCGCCGTCCCAGCTTGGCTGACGTAAGCCGTGGCGATCCCGTAAAGCCGCAAATTCGCCGGCGAAACGCTCGACGACCCGCGCGCTGCGTTGGCTGCCTGGCAGCGCTGGCCAAGGGAGCAGCTGGAGCCCATACGCTCTTGGCTTTGGGTCATAGTGTTTGCCAGGTCGATCTGCCCCGATCTCCACGTCCCCGCAATGTTTGTTCCTCCTCCTCGACACAAATAATAATGGGGTGGTCGCACCCAGCGTCCAGCCTGGCCTACAATCTTTCAACAGATGTAGGAACAATTAAATAGAGGGGGAGGAACAAAAGGAAAAAAGGGAGGCAGACCGTATGCCCACAATAAAGAATACAAAGGCCACTGGTGTTGCGTGCCGGCACTTTGTGAGCCCTTCTCGTGCAGCGCGGCAGTGATGTCGTTGTCTGCCTCACCACACTGCTTATGTCGTCCGCTGTTGCCGTGCTGTGCCTGCTGCCTTCACCGCAGCAATGGGCTGTCTCTGCTCGGCGTTGCTGTGTGCAGAAATTTCTCACTTCAGGATGCGTGTTCTGCTTTGCGACTCACATCTCATTCTTTATCCCAGCCTTGTTTAGCTGCTGAACATCAGTGTTGACTGTTTTTTTTTGGCTTTATCTCTCTTTCTCTCCGTCTCAGCTGTGAACGCAGCCCTTTTTATCATACTTGAATTCAACCTTCTCTCTGCTATATCGCCATGTCGAGTGAAGAACTCGCGAAAAAGATCAATGACCTGGTGGCTCTTGGAAGTACAACCAACCTAGAGGCCTTCTCTTACTACCACCACAAATTCTGCAACTACCCCCGTGTGGTGTTCTCCGAGAAACTTCTGCCTCAGGATGCTGTGGCTACGATTTTGCTCGACGGGCGCCGTGGTGAGGTCTATTCTGTCTGTGTGCAGGTTGATCATGACAGAGACGTCTCAAAACGCGCTGTTATCTTGTATATTTCGACAAATCAAAAGATGAGCATGGTGAAAACTCTCTATCTTGAGCAGATCTGGGATCTCCTGCAGAAACGCGCCCAATGTTATGCAGAGAATGCCCGTGAGAGGGAATTACTAAAGCGCCAGCAAGTACAGGGGCCACTGGACTTCTCAGGACCAGCTCGTCCAACGCCGACTGTTCCCTCTGACCTGTACCATCAAATGATGAGAGTTGTCTACAAGCAATGCTTTGAAAGATGGTTTAAATGGATCCAAACGGCTCACGCTGACATGTCTCGTTTCAAGACCACTTTTAGGGAAGCTGTCGGCGAGGACATAGCTCTTTCAAACCCATATGACTATTGGTGGCTCGAGCCTTTGTCATACCTTCTTGAGCAGTATACCTGGGTTTTTGAATCAACAGAAGCGTTAAAAAGCCAGGGGCGAGACCCGGTTGAAATTGTGGCCCATGCCGATTTCGCCGTCAAGATGGAACGCCTAGAATCTGCGTACACCATCATTGAACGCGATGATGTTGCACTCGGCACCATCGAAGAGTGGCAGGGAGCCGCAGATGAGCAAGGTATGTTAGGTCAATTACCACTCCGAAACACAAAAGGGAAATCTAACCTCATTTTCCCTACTCTCAGAGGTACCTATCGCTGTCCACCTCCGACGATTTGCTGAATTCCAAATTTCTATCGTCCAGTTGGAACGCCTCACTCAATCCCACCGGTCTTTTATGCACTATAAAAACAAGCCTCTCGAAGTTGTCTATATCGACGACTTAAATCCTTCCCCATTGCGCACTTTATATCCCACTGACACCAACACATGGAAAGAGTCTCTTCGTCATGCCCTTCATTCTCGAGGCTTCAAGCTGCGGCCCGAGTACAACGACAGAATGGAAAGTCATCTCGCCCCCCTCTGCGACGCAGCTGAAGCACAGAACCAAGTCATCCGCCCTGCCGTGCACCCGCCCACCCAGCTCCTCCAGTTCTTCCTTACCTACAAGATTAGCCCTCCTCCTTTTAGTTACATCGGCTCTTCTCGCCCGATCTGTGCCGCCTGCGCCGCCGTATTCGTCGCCTGGGACCAGCTCTATGAAACGCCCAGCTACATGACCCGAGGGTCCGACGGCGTGTATCCCTTCCCATGGCACGTCCCCACGCAGTGGTCTGGATCTACGGCCCCGGAAGACGGTGGGATGTTGGAAATGGTGTACAAGAAGGTCGCAGCGAGACTGGCAGGCTCGCTGTTTGAAGGCCAGATCGCGATGTGGAGGGAGGGAATGGAGCCGCTGTTTGAATATCAAGCTCTTCCGGGAGAGGATGTGGAGATGGGAGGGCAGCAGCCCGGGGACGATGTTGATCAGATTATGCTGGATGTTGAGCGCCTGGTGGAAGACCCTGAGCCTGAGTTGGATAGAGAAAGTGAGCACTTGGAAGGCCACGGGCAAACTGGTACCGATACGCTTGAGGATGAGGATGAGATCAGGAACACCGAGGTTCAGCCCGTGGGAAAGGAAATTCTGAATTAACCACAGTCGTGGAAACTTGAGGGTCTATGATTCCTGTGTTAACAGGTCCGCCAAACCCCTTGTCATGCATGGCATATCGACCATTTTTCCGACTCAGCTGCCTCTAGTGTATTCATGTCGATTTCTCGGATGCAATAATTGCTCCTTTTTCATCACGTCTCTTCTCTATATGCAAAAAAGGAACTAAAAAAATTGAAAGCGAGCAACGTAGGTCTGGAGTTAGTAAGTAGTTAGTGTCAAAATTTCTGAATTCAAAATGATAACCTTGAAATTATATCTTCGTGACTTCGCATTGGCTAGCTGTACTCCGTATCTCGTAGCATTAGAATCAAGCTGCAGGCCATAGAGCTTCGAAAGAAGTAGATGTTGATTAGTTAACTATTCCTGTGGCTTCTAAGCATTAACTAAGGGCAGATACAGTGAGCATAGCAACTTGTATTCATAAGTTCCATAACAATGTAAATAATCCAAGCCCAACCAGCACCAAACGTCTAGACATGACAGCCGCCTGTCTCATAAAATCATTAGATGTGCAAAAGATAAGTCATCAGAAAAAGAAAGCAAAGAAATCAAAAGGAAGCACATAAAGCATGGTAATGTGGCATGCTCAGAGCTTCAAGGCAAATAAAAAGCAACAGAGCGGCAAAGAACAAAGTTAGATGGCGCAAAAAAAAAAAAAAAAAAAGAAAAAAAAAAAAACATACAAAAGCGCTTGAAACTACCATGCAAAATATGTCAGTCACTAAACACGGGCATTATTAGACGTTGGCTTTCGCGACTTATTAACCGGAGGCGGCGGCACGTCATCTGGATATGGCAATTTCCATTTATTCGAGCTTGCGACAGCGGGCCGGCTACCATTCTGCGTAGGCGACGGCATGGGCAGTACCAGATTCTCCGTGATAACGGTGCTCGTATCGTCCACGAGATAGTTAGATGCAGGCAGCGGCGTCTTTGGCGGAAGGGGGGGGCGCGACTCTTGCGCGGACAGCTCGGAGCTCACACGCGGGGAAGAATTGTATGGAAGACACTGTGAGCTTGCTTTCGCGCTGTGCCTGCCGGTTGGTGGGATCCCAATGCTGGAATGCTGGGAAGGCGGTCTGAAATCACTGGAGAATTTATCTGCCGATATTTCGATGGCAGGTAATTCAAAGATTGGTTGCGAGGGCAAGGGTTTGAATTGCTGAGAGCTTGACGGCCTGTGACCTGTGGCTGACTGAGGAACTGGTGGAGGAGCGGAAGTTGGAACAGGAGGACGCTGGTTGCTTCCTGGTGGTGGAGGTGGTGGCCGTGTCATGAGATTGGCCTCACGGGCTTCAGCGTCAGCAATTGCGGCTTCGTGGGCCTGCATGCGGCGATGTATCCGGTGGATTTTGGCCATTTTCATGGCCGAGTCCTGGGTCATCCTTTGAACTTCACTCCTCGCCAGATATAGGCGCGTATTGGTGCTGATTTCGGCCAGACGAGTCCATTCATTCATGCCGTACTCTCCAACACCAACTTCAACGTTAAGGCGATAGTAGTTTTCCCTTGGCACGTTTCTTTTTGCAAGATGCTCTTTCAACATGTATTTATGTGTCGTTTCACATCCTTCGATTTTGGCAATAAGATTTCTCCGGGCCTCTGCAAATTGACCCAGAGAATCAGCAAAGACATCCTCCCACCATTCATGTTTGATATTGCGCGCGCTGGAAGGCCGCTTTCCGGTGCCTATACTGATAAAAACACCAACTTCTCTGCCGGGCCATTCATTGACGGTTGCTTCATCCAAAATCTGAGGAGAGGGATTGAACTTCCCTCCTCCTTCATCCAGAAACATCTGCTGGCCGATCTGGATAGGCTTGAAATGATGTAGCATGGCGCATGTAGCACGGCCAGCTTGCCATACAGTACAATTGAAGTCAGGTGCAGGTTCTTTTCGCGAATCATATGAACGTAGGAGCATGGGGGGCACATTTTTAGGCGTTCCTCTGAAGTATGCTGTAACCGCTCTGAAAGGAAAAAGTCAGCTAGGGTAAAGAGGGCGGAGACACTGAATTCCAGAGGACAAAGAAAGAGTCAACTATAAAATGAGGAAATAGATACAACTTACGTCTTCGTCCTGTTCTCCCTATTGTCATAGAGTTGGGCATTGGGATTCCCCCACCTCCTTGGCCCCGGCGGGCTTGCTTGCAAGGACGCCCTATTCACGCTGGTAGTACTCGTCGTGCGGCTCAGGTTGGAGTTTGATCTGCTTAATCGTCGTCCCCCTCCGCTGAACGCAAGGCTGGTAGTTGATGGTGAGGTGAGGGGCGGTCCCATATAGTTATAATCACCACCCGACGAATATGATGGGCTGCCATCGTTTCCTTCATATTCTGATACTGTATGTTCTCTAACACATTGGCGGATAGCATCTTCTAGCCTTGATGCCTTGAATAGAGTTGATCGATATGGAATACCGGCAATGGTCTTGTCAGTCTCGAAGACATATTTAGTTAACCGAGGATAGAGGTTCTTGCATGTCTCTATGTCCAGGCGCAAGCGGCCCAGCATCAGAGCAATAAGCCCGCCTGTTCCATAGCCGGCAATGAGGTCAAAGTGATCGCATGGTTTTGGTATTTGATGACGCCGCGGAGCTTTCCCCTCAGCCTCGACGTAAGTTCGATACATCAATTCCTGCAGCATGATCAACGTTGAATATCCCCGTACGCCGCCGCCATCTGGACAGTAAACAGGGCACACGTTAGCAACGGCCTTGAATCCTGGCAAAGAGGGATGGATTGGCAGGATGAGCCGGCTCTGGCATATCGCCCAGCGCATAAAAAGAAAAGGAAGCTCGACTCACCAAGGCACAGGATGCGCAACGGCGGACCCTTCGTAGTGTCTTTCCGACGAACACCGGTCGCTGTGACATCCTCCATGACTGAACAACAACGGCAATGCGTCGTTTCGCTGTCGTGTGAAAACCAATAAATGCTGTGCCGGCCGTGAATCCCTCGTCTTACTTCGAGTGCTGCGACGCCACCGCCGAGACAGGCGGGAATGTATGACGCGGTTTGTAGGCGTGAGGTCCAGGACAAGGGGATGGAGGAGGCCGTCTAGACTGCTACCGTAGCCACGGGAAAGGCACGCAAAGACGGCGGAACGGAGAGTGAAAGGGCTGACGGACGGTTGATGAGGGCGGCCTCGCCAGCTGAAAACGATAAATTGATTCACGCTGGCCTGGCCGGGGTTGCAGGCGAAGGCAAAACTGCCACCACCAATCACTACCCGCCGCACCACATGGGAACGCGCAACGTCAAGCGCTTATGGCCGCTGCCGATGACTGTGTTCCTAGCGGCATCCCGGCTCGTCAGGCGCCTTTGGGCCACCACTGACCATGTACTTAGTTACATACTACTAACTAGGCCCTGCTGCGAAGGCTGGTACTCCCCGCGCGTCAGCCTTAGGTTGAGGCCTTAACTACGCCGCGAAGTTTCCAGATGCCATATTAGGGTTGGCCACTTTGAATCTTGTTTGCCTCACCTTAATCATCCCCGGCTGCGGATCTTGATCAATTTCCAGCATCTATTCCATTTCGAGTGCCTATTCATTCTGTATCAAGACCTTCTAAGATCGCCATTTCTTTCTCACAGCACCATAGCAACAATGGAAGAGTCTATACCTAAAGCACAGGAGCTATAGTATGCTTTAACCCGTCATATAAATCCCAAAAAACTAACATATGCACTATTCAGTACATCTAAGATCAGATATAGGTAGAAGTGGGTTTGCTCAGGAGAGATTCAAGGGTTTGTGAAAGAACTTCAAGAAAATGGCACAGATTTAGAATTAAAAAGAAAAATATGTGAAAACAAATATGCAAATCAATGCTGAAATGAAAAAAAGTGCAACGCAATAATGAAGACCACATGTGTGATGCTTCTAAATCAGAAAATTCTAAAGGCTGCACTGAAAGGAAATGAGAGAGAATCCCTGCCAAAAGAGGGTCTGTCGAAGGATGCTTCTACTCTCCAAGTACCAGTGTACCTCCCCGTTACTAAGGCTTACCTTCAAGCTCTTCACTAGAGATGTGGTTTTTCTAAACCAGGAATTTCTAAAAGCTGAACTGCAAGGAAGTCAGATCTCTGCCAGAAGGAGATCATAGGTGGTCTGCCAAAGGATGCTTTTAATCGCGATGTACTGGAATACGTCCCCCTTATTGGGCCTTACCATCAAGCCACTCTCAAAGGTCTCTATAATTCAGAGTGTAAGACTATGTCATATTCTTAAGGCCCCAACTGATATCTAGTGATGCTTAGTATGGTTATATTCGGCTCTTCAAAAGGAACAATATAGTGAAATTCAAGTGTCAACGGTAGAACGCTACGAGAAGGATCAATACCCCGCATACTTCATAAAACTGTTGTCATTTTCTCTTCATATATCCCCCGAAATACGCCGAAATCGCATTTCCCGGACTGCCAATCTCTTCCCCGCTGTGTTCCGTATAGCCAACGGCAACCTGAATGAAGCAGATGACATCACCGTCCGCAACCCTCATCCGTTCAGTTCGGATGCGGCCTGGCTGTCTCGCGTGATGTCATCATGTGGCGAGTAGCCAATGCCAAGCCACAGGCACAGCCGCAGTGTCAGGTGAGCAGGCACATGGTAATGCTTAGTCATCGATCGGCTCCAGAGCCAAGCCCGTCTCGAGTACCCCGTACTCCGTATCTTGTAGAAAGGACTGACGACGCAGCACCCAGGGTGCCTCCCATCGCTCGGAAGTGCCGATGGGCTTTTCTCAAGTGCCGGAAGCTGGAGTACAGTATGTCATTGTTGGGAAACTTGGGAATACCAATAAGAGGGGGCATTCCGGATTGTTTCCCTGCCCTCAGAGTAGATCTGTTCTCTAAAAAGCCGCCATCTTTTCCCTAGGGGAGTCTAGTTTAAAAAGTACTAGATCCCATGGGACCTTGTGCTACATACATATGCATGCTTACATTTTTATGTTGCGCACCCTATGCTCTCAAAACCCCGATGACGCGGTCTTAGACTTCTGGCTCCAGAGAAAGGATCCAGAGGGCCGAATACAATAGTTACATGCGCCGTTACGGGGTAGATGGCCAGGGTAAACCCCCGGTATGATAAACTCGTCTCTCCGATGTTCAAAGTAACATCCATACGGAGTACGACTACTTTGATTCCAACGGTGCCCTGAAACCTCCTTTTGAAGGTGGATCAAGTGCGAGTATATTTAACCCTATACAGCCATTCAATCACCCAATGCATATACCACGACATTTTGCTTTTGAGGGAATAATCAAATAGTAGCTGCAATTCATTTTATACACGAGAAGACAACAGAATAGGTATCGCATCTTGTTAAGAAGACAACGGTAGGGGGTGATAAAAAATAGGCTATATAGTATGGGGGGGTCGTCATCCATCATCCATGTATGTACGCATATATAATTGTTCGGTGTATCTTCTACTCTTCCGTCCACGGAAGGCTGAAGGTGCCCACCCAGTCTTCGACTTCCTTTCTCAACTGCACAATTTCAGAAACCTCCTCGCCCTCGCCGATATAGTCAAAGAACGCTTTCAGGCTGGAGGGGTTCTTGCGATTCTTAGCCTCAGCCTCAGCCTTGGCTGCCTTGTCCAGCTTCTGTGTGATGACAACCGCTCTGTCAACGATATCAGCGACGCGGGAGAAGTCCTCCGGTGCGAAGCCGCGGGATGTCATGGCAGGGGTGCCCATGCGCAGACCGCCGGGTTTCATCGCCGACTTGTCGCCTGGCACGGTGTTCTTGTTGCTGGCCACGCCGCAAAGTTCGAGGATGCGCTCCACGCGAGCGCCGTCAACACCGCGGTTCTTGAGGTCGACGAGGACAAGATGGTTGTCTGTGCCGCCAGAGACGATATTGTAGCCGAGGCCGCCGTTGCTGGTGGAATTGCCAAGGCGGTTGGCCAAAGCCTTCGCATTTTCAAGCACGTTTTGTTGATATGTCTTGAATTCCGATGACTGGGCTTGTTTCAATGCCACGGCGAGGGCCGTGATTGTGTGGTTGTGCGGGCCACCTTGGTGGCCAGGGAACACGGCCGCATTGATCTGGTTTTCCAATTCATACATTTCTGGGTTGCCTTTGGCATCTCGTCGGCGGATGCCTTTTCGGTAGAAAATCATGGCTCCGCGGGGTCCCCGGAGCGATTTGTGGGTTGTGGTCGTGACGATGTCTGACTGTGGGAATGGAGACGGAATAACACCGGCGGCAACAAGGCCAGAAATATGGGCCATGTCGCTCAGAAGATAAGCGCCAATGCCGTCGGCAATTTTCTTCATGCGGGGATAGTCAATAAGTCTGCTATATGCCGATGTTCCAGCAACAATAAGTTTAGGTCGGTACAATTTTGCCATCTCTTCAAGCTTGTCATAGTCGATCAAGCCAGTGGACTCATCCAGACGATAAGGCAAGGTCTCGAAATATTTGGAAACTGCGGATATTTTCTTGGTTGGGGTTTGGTAGCCGTGGGAAAGATGGCCGCCATGGGGAAGATCCAGACCCATGAGACGATCGTGGGGCTGGAGAACGGCCGAGTAGGCATAGAAATTGGCTGGGGAGCCGGAGAGTGCTGCAAGCGGTAAGTCTATAAAGCTTAAAATTGGATTTTGCAAGCAACTTACGCTGCACGTTCACGCCCCATTCTTCCGGATTCAATCCATATGTCTGTAAAGCACGCTGCTGGCAGAGCCGTTCGGCCTGGTCAATGAACTCATTCCCACCATAGTATCGCGCGCCAGGATAGCCTTCAGAATATTTATCTATATTCGCCGTGTTAGGAAACTGTTGAGTAAAAGTAAGACTAGAAGCTACCGACTTTGCATAACACTCCCTAGAGCATCGAGGACGGCTTGCGATGTGAAGTTCTCCGAAGGGATCAAATTGATGAAATGCTTTTGTCTTTGTTTTTCCTATAATTGGCCATGTCAGCGTTGCGCCGTGGTAAAAATACCGGAGCAAGCGACATACATTCTGCACGATGTTGTAAATAGTGGGGTCAGCTTGCTGGAGGTGCTCGGTCAACATCTAACAATTGAGACCAAAGTTAGCACTGCTCCCAGACAACCAGCAGAGAGGTTTCAAGGCGGAGTCTTGTACATTCTGATGTGCTTCGGTATGCACGGACGCAACGCTTTGCCATTGCACAATGCGCGTTGCGGGTGAACTCCATCGCAAACCGCCGGTCGCCTTGGTATAGCCGCCCGACAGGCGGAGCAGCTTTGCAGCCTGGCGACTGCAGCGATTGAGCGACATTTGGGGGCAGGGCTCGCAGGCTCTCGTCTTCGATCGTGTGTTCCTCAAACGCCAATGGCCAGCGCAGACAGATATCAACGCCGGGATATCAAGGTCGCTCTTCTTGCTGGTCGTCTCGCTTCCCGTCGGGTGTCGGCCGAAGCGCTTTCCCGCACGCCACTAAGCCTCTCTTGGCCTAGCCTATAACACGTGACCCGGGCCGCCGCCCTTTTCCCGCGGGCATCGCGAACTCGCACCGATTTTTCTCTCTTTCTTCTTCACACAACTAAATCCAAAATGACGAGATGGCCTGTTAGGCAGTCCCAGCTCTCGCCCGGCTGGTTGTCAAAGACCGGCGGGGCGGGCGGTGCTGACATGTCCCGGGTCCGCTTCACCATCCTTTCAGGGACAATTTGAACCGATCTGATTGGAATCGAGTTGTGTCGTTTCTGCCCCTGGGGAGTTCGTGCTGTTTTCTATCCTGCGAACGCCTGTTTCCTTGTTGTGGGGTTTCGGCTAATCTCGAGCCTGCCGAACCCTAACGCGCTATTCTTTGTTTGGTTGTGTTGTGTCATTATTATTATTGCTGTTTGTTCTCCACCAGAGACAATTATTCACTGCTGCCCCACGAACGCGTGTTGACTGATGTTATTAAATTTGGAATAATTAATTACAAATGCCCAAGAAGCTGTATCTCAGCTGCCAATTCGGCGTGTGCAATTTTCATTGCCTGGCACACCCCGTGCGGAGACCTTTTGACAGCCCCCTGTTTCCACTCTATCGACTTGGAGTCTTAGGGCCCAGGCTTATCTTTTACAAGCCAGATGATAAACAAAAATAACACTAATAATAGCAGTATGCTTCAAAATTAGGTGAAGGACTCGTATGTACAGAGTATAAGGAGAATATTTTGTATTTCAAGCTTTTCAGGTCAAAGAACTCAAGTGGCGATGCGAGGACTTTGTACGCGGTATCACCGTTCCCAAAACAACACGGGTCTGTCTTACGCAACGGGTTCCTACTTATCATCTCATCATGGAGCGGAGAAAGACTTGCCCAGCCGTCGTCCGTCCTCTTAGACCGACGGGAGCACGCTTGTTATTCCGTACTACTCCGTACTACTGGCAACATCAAAGCCCGACCCTTATCCGACTATCGAGCTGGCTATCGTCTTGGCTCATTTCGGCACATCCATCGCGCAGGAGACACGTCTGCTTTGTAAACAGGGTGCAGTGCCCATATTTGGAATAGACCATTTGACAACCACGGCGAGCCTGGCTAGAGAGCTCCACTCAGGCCGCTTTGGAGGGCTGGTGTTGTTGTTGTCGAACTCCGGAGCGGTACGAAGTACAGAGAGTCCTCTGTACGGAGTAGTACTCGCTGCTTTGTCCCCTCAAACGCGTGGCAAGGAAAGTATTTGATTAGTCGGGTGCTATCCTGGACGTAACCTTCTATTTGCCTCGGCCGGTCCACAAATAAAAAAAAATTGACGAATGACATTTCCCCTAATTCGTAGTTCAACAAAATAAATAGGAATATACGGCGTAGTATGGAGTACGGAGCATTCCTCCTCCGTATATCGGGGGTGGTTTAAGGGGGGGGTAGAAGGTTCCTCAGATCTGGGCGGAGCTGGGTTGTGGCACGTCACAAGGAGCAGTCGATTCGCTGATGGAGAATCAAGGGCCAGGGTCGCCATGCCTGAGTCAGGGCGCGAGGAAACAGGCGAGAGCTCAACTCTGTGCCCTGTTCAAAAATTGAAGGGTGGCCAGATCGGGAGCCGGTTCCCAGGCAACGCCCAGTAGTGAGGGCATATTCGTTCATGAATGACGCTTCGACAGCAGCGATCCAGATTTCACACTGGCGTATGAGCAGCGAAACATCCACATCGGGTGTTCTATTCGGCCACGGCTGCGAATGAGGGCTCCAAAGTGGCAAACCCCCCTTCCAACCACATGCTGTGACCCGCGTCGACAAGTCGGCCAGTTGCGAGCGGACCACGACGCTCCGGCGGCCTGGACAAGAACCAACTCAGCACGACGGCAGCAAAAACGACGAGGCGGTGGAGCTCGGTTGCGGTGTCGACGGACGTTCATTGGCGGGGGCGATACGGGCTTGTCGTGTGCGAAGAGTTGAGTTTTTGTTCCTGAGAGTGGCGCCGCTATTGAAAGCTGGCCGATCTCCTGGCGGGCGCTAGCCTGCAGGACCTGCGCGGGCAGGCCAGGGGCCTCGCCTTGGAAATAACAGGGCCCTAGGCCCGAAGCAGCATAGAGACGAGCGAGCTGGACGGGCGACTCGGCTGTGAACAGGCGGTGGTTTGCGGGCGATCGCGAGGTCGCGCCAATCACGGAGCCGGAGCGCATACGAGCCGTTACCCTCGCCAGGAGCGCAATTTGAGGAATCAGGGTCTGGATCCGTTTCTGGAAGCGGGAGGGCGGCACCAGGGCGTAGTCGTGCGTTAACGACGCTGGCGGGTGTTTGAGCGCAAACGCACTCCGCAGTGGCAGCAGCAGCAGCAGTGCTGGCCCTCGCGCAATAACCCTACAGCCTGCAGGCGGCGCACTGATTCGAAACGGGGGCGTGAGCTCGCAGGCGTGCGTGGTGGTGCCTGGCGATCGCCACGACGGAGCCGGCGAGCGCGGGACGGCCAATGCAATGCAGGACGTGTGGTGGTAATGGGCGCCCGCCCCGCCGCGTATTGGCGTCACACGCCGTATCGGGATGACCTATCGCAGGGCGCCAGGGCCCGGCCGCGCTGATTGGCTGGCCCCCTAGCCCGCCGCCGCCCGCCCGCACGCGGCCCTTTTTAATGCCCGCCGCCTGCCCGTCTGTTCACCTCTCTCTCTCTCTTTCTTTTCTTCTCTTCTTCATCCAATCCATTCCTTAATCTTGCTCTGCTCTCCCCCGGTTTATCAACCGATTACGTTCGTTTAAATACCCCCCTGTTTCGCAGCTTTTGCTCTTAATCTACATTTAATCTACTCACCATGCGTTTCTCCATCGCTGCCTCTGCCGCGCTCGTCGCTGGCGCCTCTGCTGGCTATGTCAACTCCAATGCCACTCACATTATCACCGAGGTTTTGACCGCCTACACCACCTACTGCCCCGGCCCAACCGAGGTTGTTCAGGGAGGCAAGACCTACACCGTCACTAAGGTAAGTTTCGGCTCCTTAGCTCTTCCGCATCGCGTGCCGTCCGCCGTGTGACGATCCGCACCCTGGCTCAATTTGCCTATGAAATGACCATTTTTCGCTGACCATGGCTATTTTTGCTGTCCAGGCCACCACCTTGACCATCACGGACTGCCCATGCACTGTCACCCGCCCAGTTGTTACCACCACCCAGACTGAGTGCAAGGAATGGTGAGTGTTCTATGTACCATTCCATAAAGAGAGTTCTCGCAAAACTGACATCCCATAGCCCACCACCCACTGGCCCAGTGCCCACTGTTCCAGCTCCCAGCGGCCCAGCTCCCAGTGGCCCTGCCCCCAGCATCCCTGCTCCCGTTCCAACTGGCACCGGTGTTCCTCCACCCCAGCCCCCAGTCAACCCACCAGTCAACCCACCAACCAACCCACCAACCAACCCCCCAGTCTACCCCAACGGCACCCAGCCAGTGCCTCCTTCTCCTCCTCAGGGAACTGCTCCTGGCACTAAGCCCAGCGGCCCACCCAACTTCACCGGCGCTGCTTCGCGCGTCGTTGCTGGCGGCGCCGGCCTTGCTGGTGTTCTCGCTCTTGCTTTCCTCTTGTAAATTTAGTCTTCGCGGGAACATGGGTCGTCGATGGCGCAACCGGTTTATCGCACTAGATGCTATTTTTATGGGAAGGACTTCTTTTCTGGGGGGTGAAAAAACTTATTTTCATGAATTCTATGTAACTAATAAAGCACTGGCAAGGTCTTGCCTGTTGCGTTAATGGTACCTTTGCCTTACATGGCATTTTATGACATGTTCTTATGCTCGTTTAATATTGGACCTGCCTGGCAGGCGTTCTCACTACATCTCCATTCATTCCTTCAGTAAACTCCATCCTCCGTACCAATGCTCAGATCACTAGGTCGCCCCTAAGTGAATCGATTGTTTCTATGCGAGACTTGCTACCAAACAAACAAATAAACAACTCCAATGCTTGACTCTCTCTGATGGGCGATCTTCGAACACTTCACCGATCAACGCGCACCAGCACATAAACATCGTCAAGGCAAGTCGACGACCTCGAAGCATAACCAACATGGATCCATCATGCTGCAGATCCACCTCTGTCCTTGCATCCATCACATTCGCAATCACCCTCGCCCTGCAGGCAGCAGGTACAGTACCAACTGAGAAGCCCTGCGGGGAGATCGACAGCACAGAACCTGTACGATATTTTTAAACCCCCAGTCCTTGCTTTAGAATTGCCGGGACGGAACGCACGGATCAAAGGAGGGCAGGGATTGAAATCCTATACACATGGTCATATAGTTAACTATAGTACCGCGTAATATTGAGTCTATTGACTGCTCACCGGAGCCCACACACACGTCTGGCGGCGAACAACACGTCCATCCCACTTCGATCTATATGCAACCAATGCATTTTGGTGCTGCTCTCCATTTGAAATGTGACTGACTATGCAACCGTTTTGTTTTCTTTACCTCGATGATCGTAATTAAACCGCACGCGCTGGCCTGGATGCCGATATCTTGTCCTCCCTTCCCATGAAGCGGCCTGCCAGGTCGCGCGCTCGCGGCTGTGAGATTCTCGTCTTACAAAAAATTCTTTTCCCACTGACTACCAGGCCCGGCTTCAATCTCTCGAGCATGCCGGAGAAATCTCGGGCTTTTTTTAAACACAAAATATCCCATTATCGAGTCTTTACACAGTACTCCATGGGGACGTGATGGACGGGGACCTCACCCGTCGCGCATCAAGCCAACTCACCGTGCAACCTTTGACTCTCCCGCCGGACCAATGACTTCCTCACCTACTCACTATCTCCCATCCCGCAGAGTGCGCTGGTTGCATTTCGCTCGCTCGCTCGCACTCGATCGTTGGTTTGCAGGGCGGCGGCGGCGTCGTCGTTGTCGTCGTCGTCGCCTCGTTTCCCTTGGAGGAACCACGTCAAACGAGTCGATGGGAGAATGAGCAAATAAAATATAATGGCCGCTGCAGCTGCAAGGCGCATTGACATTCTTGAGCCAAATAGTAGTACAATAATATTTACATATGTGTGTGCGTACATATCCGTCCCAGCATATCGCCCGTGCTGAGAAGCGTCAAATTTAATTTATCATTGTTATTGATGCCCCGTGAGTCCACGTCACTGCGTCATCGCGATCTGGACGGAGGTGTCCGACTCCCGAGGAGATGCAAACGGAAACTGATAGTTAAGCAGTTTGGGTGTGACGGCACGTTAGCTCGCGGCCTGGCCTGCGAGGCAATCCATACTATCTTGACTACTATCATCGGCGAGGCGCCGTTCAAGCCCGACCTGCTGGAGAGCTAACTAGTTCTTTCCGGCTCAACTCAACGATCAGGCAGCCCAAGATGCTCTGTTCGTATTATTCTCTGCGTAAAACGCCGGCGATTTTCCATGCCCTATCATCTCCCTGACCGCTTGATATGCCGTATCTCTACAATCGACCTCCCTGGTTGGTGTAACTAGCCAACCAGCACGATCAACACACACCGGCTACTCAGCGGTCTCCGACCTGCAGGTTTGACTAACTACAGCCTGGACGCCCATGCATTACATGTAACTAACGATTTGCTGTGAATCGTGTGCCGAGCATGCATGCCTGCATGAAAAACGTCACTCTCCCGCGCAATTTAAAACTTGACTGCCTATCAGACTACCGTTAAAGGCCATAATGTGTGGGGGGAAACGCTTCTCTCACGGAAGAAAACAAAGCATTGTCCCAATGGGGTTTGTTGATTGATAAGAAAAACTCAGAACGCTCTACTCCGCATATTCCTAGCTTCAAAAAAATGTAAAAAAAAGGGTATCACAGCTTCCCCCTAGTCTGCTTCTTCACCCTCTCCGCATAATATTCCCTGATCCTCTCCCGCGCGGCTTCCACAGTATCCACATCCTCCACCGTCGGTGGAACATTCACTTTCGCATCAAATTTGCCCACGGCAGCATTCTCAATCAACTCTCTCAGAACTCGGCGCAGCGTCTTCCCACTGCGCGTTTTGGGGATGATCCCCTGGCCCTGGATGATCCCGCCCAGGGAGGCGATCGCGCCGATTTGCTCGCGCACAAGCTGGTTCACGGAGCTGAAGAATTCCGGGGATGGCGTGGCGGTTGAAGAACCGCCCGCGGCGGAGGAGCGAAGGTGGATGAAGGCAAAGGGCATGTGGCCTTTCAGCGAATCGGGGATGCCGACCACGCAGGCTTCGGCGATTTGGGGGTGAGAGAGGATGGCTTGCTCGATTGCGCCTGGGATTATATAGCGTTAGCGTCATCAGGACTGTGTGGCTGCGAAGGCCGGCTATGCATAGTTACCTGTGCTGAAGCGATGAGCAGCAACGTTGATAATGTCATCGGATCTCGACATGACGTGGATATATCCGGACTCGTCAATCATGCCCGCATCTCCCGTGTCCAGCCATTTGCCATCAAAGCGCTTGAAATAGCCCTTGTAGAACCGCTCATCATCATTATAAAGCGTGGTAAACGCCGTAGGCGCCAGTGGAACAGCAAGAACAATGTTGCCCATCGAGCCCCTGGGCACTTCATGCCCCTCATCATTGACAACGCGGACATCGAACCCGGGCATAGCCTTCCCCGCCGAGCCAGGCTTCACGGGGAACGGCGCGTGCGAGCCTCCGCCGCTGATGCCGCCCAAGCCGGCTGCGCTGTTTAACGCCAGGCCAGACATCGGCGACCCGGATTCGGACGTCCACCAATTGTCGATCACCATGGAGCCGGAGGCGCCGTGCTTGTCCAACAGCGCCTGGTAGGCGCTGACGATGCTGGGCTCGCTTCTCTCGCCGGCCAGGAAGATGGCCCTGAGGTGTCTCAGGCCATTGCGTCGCCCGACTTCTTCGAAGAAGCGTGCGTCCGGGTCGTCCTTTCGAATCGCGCGCAGAGCGGTGGGCGCGGTGAATAGGACGTTGACCTTGTGTTCCTCGATAAGTCTCCAGAAGGCACCGGCATCGGGGGTTCCAACTGGTTTGCCCTCGTATAGGATGGTTGTTGCACCGGCGAGTAGAGGGGCGTAGAGGATATATGAATGGCCAACTACCCAGCCGATGTCTGATGCGCAGAAGATCACATCTCCGGGGCCCTTGATATCAAAAAGGTATTTAATTGACAAGCTCAGCCCAACAGCATGCCCACCAGCCTCTCGCACCACGCCTTTTGGCAGACCGGTTGTCCCTATACCGCACCGTGTTAGTTATGACGTGCTCTCCAAACCCATGGATAGGTCGTCACCACGCACCGCTCGTATAGATCACATACAGCGGGTCATTACTCCCCACGGGCACCGCTGCCGCTCTCACGCCCCTGCTCCGCGCACTCTTGACAATCCGCTGCCAATTGCGCTGGCCGTGCAGCTTGCGCATGGGCGCCCAGCGGCACTGGTCGCGCTGCCACACGATGACCTTGAGCGGCTTGAAGGCGCTTTTCGCCAGCGCGCCCTCGACCAGCGGCCGGTAGTCAATCACGCCCTTGCTGCCTTCGACGCCGCACGAGGCCGTCATGACGGCGCGCGGCCTCGCGGCCTCGATACGCTGCGCCAGCGACGTCGCCGCGAACCCGCCGAAGACCGCCGCGTGGATGGCGCCCAGGCGCGCGATGGCCAGACAGGCATACAGCGCCGCGGGGATCATGGGCACTGTGCGACACACACACGCCGCGTGAGTTAATATCTGACGTGCCATCGATGCAGAACTATAACTGTCCAGGGAGCCTGGATTGGAGGAGTCCATGACATACTGTATACCAACACCACATCGCCCTTCCTCACGCCCTCCTCGCGCAGCGCGCCCGCCAGCACCTCGACCTCGTCGAGCAGCCGCGCGTACGTGATGCTGTCGCGCGCGCCCGTGACGGGCGACTCCCAGATGATGGCCACGTTATCGCCGCCGCCGTCGCGCACATGGCGGTCGACGCAGTTGAAGGTGGTCGAGATCTCGCCGTCGGGGAACCACGACCAATGGTCGTGGCGGGCGCCGTTTGAGCGCAGCGGTTTGGATGCTCGGCGGAGGATCTGAGACGGTGCCTTGTGCCAGTGGAGCTGCGAGGCGTGCGGGCCCCAGAAGCTGGTCGGGTCGCGCAGCGACTGCGCGAGCGTCGTGTCTTGCGGGTGAGGAGGGTTGTTGTCCATGGCCGGGTGTGGGCTTTGCCGGGCCGCGTTGGCTGTCTCTCTCTCTCTCTCTTGCTTCTCTCTTTCTCTCTCCACCCAGGACAGATGCAAGGGCGTGGGTGAACTCACGGCGTGAGGCGCCAGGCACGCGGAGATGAAGCTGGCGAGAAGGAATGCGATGGGCTTCAAGGAGCTTGTCGCCCGAGTCACACTTCCCTTTCCCCTCCCCCAAGTCAAGTCAGAAACACGATGACGACGTGAGACAACCCTGCCAGCAGCAACAGACAAGCCCGCCGCATGCAGCGCTCTCCGTGCCCCGATTTAAATAAATAAGAAAAGAAAAAAAAAACCTCCGCCTGGCCAGACTTCCCTCGGCTAAGCACTGTTTGTCTCCAAGCTGCTTCATCATCTTGTCGCTGCAGCGGGCCAGCCTTCACGGCACTACTGCCGCCGGTAATCTCTTTCGCCAACGGAGCCCTGCCCGTTCACCCAAAAAAACCACTTCGCGCGGGCCGAGCAGCAAATAATGACTACGTAGCTAGCTTCTCTTCTGTGTCCTTAAGCGGTGGCCGCCGCCGGACGAAAGGTAACCTACGGGCTCCGTACCTTGAGAAACGTCACAAAACGGACGAGAAGACAGCGAACTCAAAAAAAAAAGAAGGTTCTTGGCCCGCCGATCCCGGGAGTTGTCTTATCTTCTTGTTGGAAGTTCCGTGGGCGCGAGGGCGCAGGGTGACGGTGACGGTGACGGCGACGGGGTCGGTCGTTTCAGCAATGGGACGGAGGGGGGGGTGGTTTCTGGGGCTAAGATGGAGGGGGGGAGAGGTTTGTGAGCGTAAACCTGTCTGTGTGTGTGTGTTGTGCGTGGTGCTTTGATGCGGGGAGTGTTCGGCGTAACGGAGCTACGTATGGAGTCGGCACTGAACGGGCTAGCCAGGGCAAGAAGGTTGGCTGCATGGATAGGCTCATCAGGGCGGAAGGCCGAATTCAATGCGGCTTGAATCGCTAACTAACTGGTTAGCTAGCTAGCTAGCTACGGAGTATATCCGTTGTAGATCGCCGGGTCCTGTTGGAACGTCTAGTTACCGGATGGCTGGTACTGAGGCAAAGGGAGAGAGCGGACGGACGGATGGATGGATGGAAGAGTAATGAGTCACATTGAACGGCAGAGCTGATATCAGTATTATCGATCCGGAAAACTACTCCGTATGCACAGTAGTAAGAGACAAACAAAAAAGGGGGAAGAAGCCAGGAAGAGCAAGCCCAGCCGATCAACAGACAAAAAGGGAGAATACAGCCCAAAAAAAACAAAATACAAGAAATCTTGCCGCCACCTTTATCGCTCACAGTGCGAACATGAGAAGAACTTCCCAAGGGGGAAAGGAGAAGAAGCGATTGTCTTTTTCTTTTGTCCGTCGTGGATCAACATTGTCCCCCCTGAACTTTTTCTTTCGTCTTTGGGCGGGGAGCCGAGCTGCGTTCCGAAACGAGTCAAGCTCCTCGCAGACTATACATACACAGACAAAGAGCCCTGGTGTTGGGGTATCGATGTGCTTCGTAGGCAAGAAAACCAGGGTCCATACTCTCTTTTGCAGGCGCCGGAGCAGAGAAAGAAATCAAAATCCACAGGAACCCAAAAACCAAGCATTACTGCCCGATAACGCCGCGGCTTATATATAAAAAAAGAAAAAGAGCATACATAAAAGGAATGAAAGAAAGAGGTCCCGATAGGAAAAAAAAAGGCGTCAGTCATATCCCACGGCAAACCGGTCATCGTCCAGATCAATCGTCACATCCCAGAATATACTGTAAAACCAAGAGGGAAATCAGACAGACAAAAAAAAAATTATTAATACGCCGTAACAAATGCAGGGAACCTGTATTCAAGAAATCGAGCAAGATCAGAGCGACGATGTATCCAAGAAAGATATATAATGAGACAAAGACCAGGGCGTAGGGAAAAAAAAAGGATTTTTTTTATCGAGCAAGGCACACAGCGTCAACAACAGGCGCGGGAAAAGATAATTTCACACAAAATAAATTATGTAGTTCCTCGGGCACCCAAACTCCACCCGCAAAGGTCTGGATAATTTTAGAGAATGGCGCATTTGAGCCCACTGCGCGTGCCCTTGCGGTCGTTTCGGAAGGACCGGGAGTACTCGACGCCGGTCGGGGCGCAGGCGGCACCGTAGCCGGTGCCGCGGCGGTCCAGGTTCCGCGTGGAGTGCTGCGACTGCTGGAGCTGCTGGTGCTGGCGCTGCTGGCGGAGGGCGCGCACGACGTCGAAGAAGGCCTTCTCGACGTTGACGCAGTTCTTCGCGGAGGTCTCGACGAAGTCGCAGCCGAGCTCCTTGGCCAGGGCGTGGCCCTCCTGCGACGAGACGGCGCGGTCGGCGGCCTTGTCGCACTTGTTGCCGACGAGCATGACGGGCACGGGCGCCGCGGCGAGGCCGGCGTGGTGTGCGCCGTTCATCTGCGCCGACAGGTAGCCGCCGCCGGCACCGCTGGCTGTGGGCGAGCCCGAGCTGGTGGATTCTTTGACGAGCTGGATCTGGTGGTAGAATTTCTGTATGCTGGTGAACGACGATCGCGAGGTGATGCTGTAGACCAGCACAAAGCCCTCGCCGTCGCGGATCCATTGGTCGCGCAGCGACGTGTATTCCTCCTGCCCGGCGGTGTCGAGGACCTCGAGCATGCACAGCTGCTGGTCGATCACTACCTGCTTACGGTACGAGTCTTCGATGGTCGGGTCGTATGTTTCGACGAAGTGGTTCAGACACAGCTAAGAACGCCAGGTCAGTGGATTCGCACAGTCGAGTCGTTTGAAAAAAAGACCAAGCCTAACCTGGATTGTAAGAGCCGTTTTTCCGACGCCTCCATCTCCCAAGACCACCAACTTGTACAGCTTCATTTTGCCGGTCATGGTTGCAATAGGTGCTTGTACACCGTCGTACGATGGTATTTGTCAGGATCAACACACACACACACAACACAGTCACTCTCGCAGCAGATGACTTTTTGGATGGCACTGCGAGCTCAAATGGCGGGTTTCCGTGAAAAAAGGGGGGGGAGGAGGAGGGGAGTTTAGTAGGGGGGGCCGAGGGGGCGTGCGAGCGCTGGCTCGAAGGATATGGTTAGGGCGGAAACGCGGCTCTATAGATCGATTAGACGGGCCATTGCACATCGTTGCGTGGCTGCCATCCCCGTAGACACCAGGCCGCCGGCGCCTCGAGCAGCAGGCGTGGGCAGGCGGCGAGGTGTTGGCGGAGTGATGCAGGTACCGCGGCCCAGTGATTCGCCCTCCCGTGTCCCAGAAGAGGCAAAAAAAAAAAAGGGACGGAGACAAGCAAACACCCACACGGGCCAACAGCGGCAGTAGCAGCAGCAGCAGCAAGCACAACACTGGGCTGAGGGGCGCCGGGACGGGGCTCCGGTCACAGCGCAGCAAACTGGGGAAAGGGGGAAGAGAAACTTACGCTCAGGTTCGTCGAGAGCGAGATGCCCACCACACGAAGGATCGCCAACGGGACAAGCGAGGACGGGAAGGGATTGGAGGGTTTTTGGTCCTTTTTTTTTATTGTTCAGGGCCGGGAACGAGGGGACGGAGAGTCGCTGGCAAACGAAGCAGCGAACAAATGAATGGGCGTCGTGGGGGGCGGGTGGTGGTGATGATGGTAGTGGAGGAGGTGGTTGAGGTGAGTCGCGGCGAGCAAAGCCTGGCGATGAATGAGATGCGATGGCCGGGCGTGCGACGACGACGACACGTGAGAGAAGCAGCGGGTGGCGAACGAGCTGCGCTTGGGCGGGCGGCGGCGGCGGATGGCGAGCGAGGCGACGGGGGGGCCAGAGGCGCGGGGCGGCAAAGCAGTGGGCGGGAAAGGTTTTTTTTGTTTTTTTTTTTTTTTGCCTCGGCGACTTGACTGGCCAGATATTGGAGGAGAGGGAGAGAGAGAGGAGAGGAAGAGCAGAGAAGCGAAGAGAAAAAAAAAAAAAATTAAAAATAAAAAGGCAGAGCGAAAGTTGCAGCGGGCGAGGATGAGCGACGAGGGCGACGGACAGGGGGCGCCGGGCGAATTGGCGTTCGGGCCAGCACAAGCGTGGACGGCGCGGCGGGTTGGTCAGAGAGCAGCCTCCACGTGGAGCCGGTTGCGCTGGGCTCGCCGCTGCGATCGGAGCAGTCCAGACAGCCTGAACTTTCGGAGCAACAACCGGGACGATAGGTACTACTCTCAGACCTGCGTTTTCTTTTTGGCGGCGGGTGCGTGGAGGCTGCGTGGCGGGTGCGGGTGCAGCGCGCGCGGGCGGGCGACGGCTGGGCGCAGCGACTAGCCCGGGCCTGGCAGCTTGGAGGGCGCAGCCATGAACCGGAGGACGGTTACCTAGTAGTAGCAGTAGTGTAGTGGTTCTGTCCCTACGACTCTGTGTGCTGCGTAGCACTCTACCGCTCCTCCTCCTCCTCCTCCTCCTCCTCCTCCTGCGCGCAGGCTGCCCGCCTAGCCCGTTCGGGGGCTTGCTCGCCGCGCCCCCGGCACGGCTCCCCCAGCGGCCCCCCGGGCGCCCCTGCACGCCCGCCCAAACGGCCCTCGCGCGGCCTCCCGGAATAGCCGCGGCATTCCCGTCCAGGCTAGCCCCCCCCTCCGCCGGAACGACAGTTATTCCGCTCCGGCCAAACCCTGTGACATCCCCTGGGCGCTGGGCTGGCCCAGCTAGGTAACTATGTACTAGGTAGCTGAGTTGCCCGTCGACCTTGCGGGCGGCGAAGCTGCTGGATCTCCAGCGTACGACGCTGGCTATCGCACACAGCCACAGAACTAACATGTGATCCCTCGCGGACGGCCACCCTGCGCTGGCCGGAGCTGCGTATCGGAAGCGTGCCCGCCAGCCCTGCCCAGAAACAAAAGTGCTGTGTCCTTCTCAACGTCGCCCGCGCCCAGCACGGGATCGCGCACGCTGGGCGAGCGGCGGCTTTTTGGCTTTTTTAAGCTCGTCGCCAGACCTACGTCCGATATGTGCGCGCGCAGGCACGGAGCTCTGCTCTCCCCGCAGTGGCAAAACTTTGCCGTTTTCTGATATTCGAGCTCTGTCCGGAGCACATAACTACATACCACTTCCCACACGCCCCGTCAAGCTATCGCCTGCTCGCTCTGGCACCAAAACACCTCATCGAAAAATAATATATAGCGGGATAAGGGGCTGCTCCTTCGCTTCGCTCGCCCGCAGCCCGCCCGAGAAAGAACCGTCGATCGTCTGGCTTTGGATGTCCGCTGCTGCTCCACCGCCAGCCGTACCCACTAGCTGACCCTCGCTGGGCTCCCAGACCCAGGGACTCGGAGAAAAATAGTAACAACGCAATTTCGTTCTCGCTCTCTCTCTTTCTCTCTCTCTGTGTGTGTGGGAAAACAAGGTTTCGTATCTAGCCGGCGGGCCATGGTTCAACTGACACAGGCTAGGATTCTGGAAGGTAGGTAGTGGTGATGTGTGTAGCTCGTTTGCACCTTGGACGCTCTTGATCCTTTTCAAACCGGTTTTTGGATCCAGTGATGGGAAGCACTCCCAGGCCCGCGCCGGGACATCTGGAGCGGACTGTCGTACGACGCTTGAGGCATATTTCGCGCAGCGGCAGCAGCAGCTGCTGAAAGGCCTCCATCAACTTACTAATAATGTTGTTAATGCCGGTGGAGCCGCCGAGTGGGCGTTGGGAGATCGTTTTCAACGGGCAGAACGACGATGATGATAATAATAATAATAATAATCTTAATAATATTTGACGCACGCGAGCTGTCACAAGATACCAGGGTTGCTGCATGGCCCATCTCATTTTTGCAGCGGCATGCTTTTTGCATATACATATCCCGTCTGTCACATAAGACATGCCTGCGGGAGGCCTTTGCGTATCCAGAATGATAATGCTACTACTGGCAGGTGGAATGCATCCTTGGACCCTGCTGATTTCTCCCCCTGTACTGTATACAGGTCCAATTCTCATCGATCACAAGTCACAGATAGCAGAACAGGCTACGTGATCATATAACTAAGCTATATGACACAGTAGAAATATATAGATCTATCTCTGTGCCACTGGCTCCCTTGCTGGCATTGGGCCGCGAAGCGAGGGTCAAGGACGAGCCATGTCTCGGCCGTGGGACATGCCGACAGTGACTACTCCGTACTGAGGTCTATCTATCTACCCCATGATTCTGTCTTCCGTATGCCCATTTCGAGACGGGCCAAATCATCACACCCAAAAAACCAAAAAGATGTAACTCCAACATCTCGTGTCCGCGAAAGCTAAAATGCAGGGCTTCGTTGGGGCGCTCTGGAACAAAGTTCGAAGTCCCCCCCCTTCCAAAACGACCCCTAGCAGCAGCTCATCCGTCGAGGGAGAAAAAAAGAAAAAAGAAAAACAAAAAATATTTTATAAAAATTTTCCCTGACCGTTTCGCGGCCTCCTCCGGGGTTTATCGCGGTTGATTGATGGAAAACCCAGATGCGAGATACAGACAAGAGGTGGAAAAACACTACTAACTAATGCAAGGCAAAGGCCTCGAGCTGGAGCTTTTTTTTCTTCTTTTTGGTGTGGAGTAACTAACATCTTTTTTTTTACTCGTGCTCACTACTATCTCAGCGGCCGCTGAAAGGCCCGGCCGCTAACTAACTAAACCGACATGGATTTGGCGAGCCAAAAAAAAAAGAAACAGAATTTTTTTTTCTGCCAACCAACGTAGGATTCGAGAAGCAGACTGACCAGGGGGAGAAAGACAGGTCTCGACTGTCGTTGTCGCCAATCAGATGGAGTAGCTATACATGTCTATCTTTATCGTTCTGGTCTCGATAAAATATCAAGCTGCTCTTGTCCTTCGGGCGGAAATGTACAGATAACGCACGGAGTTCAATTTTTTTGTTGTAAAAAAAAAGACAAAAAAACTAAAACCAGACTGGTCTCTTCTCCCCCAACACATCAATTTACTATTCCCTGCAGCCACGCAGAACAAACGCGGCTAGCAAAACGTGCCTAAGGATAGTCTGGGGACCAAGCACCCCAACCAAATGTACTACCCCGTATACGAAGTGACTTCCAACGACCAAGTCAAAGAATCTCTGTGGCCCGGTTGATCTGTCCGTCCAGATTGATATCCGTGGGAAGCATGGTGCTGCCGATCAGCACTCCTTTAGTACTTGTTTCCCGCCGGATATCGTACTCATTTCTGCATCACGTATTCCGTATTCTCGAATCGACCGCCTTTCTGTTCATTTCTATCTTTTCTGTGCCAGAGTTGTGCGCATTTCGAATTGAGAAATACGCTTGTCCTTCCCTTTTGCGCGGTTTTGTTGCGGGAGCTTCCAAGCCGAATGGGAGCGATTGATTCACACAACTTGAAGCTCTTGGGCTGTTAGCCGAAGAAGCTGTGCCTGATACCAGATTCTCCTTCTTAGTTTTTTGCTTTCTATGAGACAAGACCCCTTTCTGTCCCAAACTTCGAAGACAAAAAGAGAATCTGAAGTTCTCCGCCGGGCCAAGTGTGGATTGCCGTCATTCTTGCTAGGAGCAAGATGCCCTGAGCGCTGTCCCGATGTTTTTTTTTTACCGACAATCTGGCATCCAGTCATTATTGTACTCCCTAGCTCCACTGTCATTTCATCAACACTATCCCACCTGCTAGCTAGTCGTTTCACACAAAGAAATCCCTTGGTGTTCCTGCCAGAGATACCCGCAGACTTTCTCCTCTGGACGGTGATCGATGCCTTACTCTACACGGAGCACAAACCCGTCAATGCCCATTATTATTGCGCCGGGTCTACGCGGCCACCGGTCTCATCCTTTCAATGGGGTTATTGGCAATAAGAATGCGACCTCTCCGAAAAGAACCGCCAGCTAAGCGCTGAGAACATTCCAGGCGATCCTCAATGATCTGCGATCCAGCAGGTTCTACGGAGTACGGAGTATACTCCGTACGCTGTGTAGATCAAACGCCGAGACAGTAATAGTTGTCCTGCGCAGTGGATATCTCTTTATTAACCCCCCTTCTCCTTCTCCGAAAAAGCTCCGGGGAGGATCACGCCTTTTTGATAAGGTGGGAACCTGTCTTTTTTGAGGGTTTTTGTTTTTCTTTCTATTTTTTTTGTTCTTTTTGCTTGATAGTCGGCTGGAGTACGGAGCAAATGCTCCGTATACACCGCTTCGAAGCTCCTGCATTTATTATTATTGTGCTGCGGGGAGGCAGCAGTCCGTTTCTTCTCCTTGTTGTGGATAACTCTCCGGCTGTCCTGCATTAGGTTTGAAAGGTGGATAAGTGCCGTGTGGCTCCTCCGGCAAACGCTGGGCCCCATGACGACACGACAGGCCTGGAGGGGAGCGGTGATATTATTACGCAATACAGAGGTACTTGCTATCCTTTTTAAGGCTGAGGGGCCCTTTTGTATGGAGAAAAGCTGGGCCCGGCGCTTCTTGTTCGAAGGTTTGGCTGTTTCATGTTGCCCGTTGGGCATCGTCGATGGAGGGGGGACGATCCCCGCCGAAATGGGATAAGCGATCTCAGCCTCTTGATACGTCGCGCGCGGAGCCCCATGGTGGTTGTGGAGTTAAGGGGGTGTAGACCACACAATCAACTACATATGGTCAACGGGCCGGTGGTGACAGAGAATATTATTATCATCAGCCTGGAATTTGGTGCTATAACTATATACGGGGAATGAATTGCAATTTCGTGTTGCTCCCTAGCTACAATTTTACCAACGATCATACCTGCAGATACACTTTGAAGCGCCAGGAATGCCCCTGAGTGAAAAAAATAATGCTCCTCATTTTTGCTTTTTCATTTTTCTTCTTCTTCTTTAGAGCATGAAGCCCTTCCTTGCAAGGAAGATGAAGATGTTCTGTTCACCGCACGAGCCTACGCTTTGTCAATGCGTGGGAGGATGTGCGGCATCGGTCCTGCAGGCAAGATAGTGAAGGGAATTCCCAGCCGCCTATTGTGCGATTGCAAGTACCCAGTTTTGAACTGAATGCAGATTAGTCCGCTTCTCTGCGACATATGCTCTATGCATTCGTATACCCAGTCCTTGATACCGAAGCTCCAGGGCAAGATGCGGGGAAGGGGGAGTGCGAGTAGAGGGTGAAGGAGAGTTCCATGACTCACCGCGATGAAATCCGTTGTTTTCCCAAAGGCGCCGCCATTCGTCCTCGCCGACTCGTCCCAGTACAGGGTCCTCAGCCACCGATCGATACGCGGGTAGTCGTGGCGGATCATCCGCAGATTACATTTAAAGGTGTGATGGTAGGAGACGTCGAACCGGACGATGGTCGGATACAAGCGAACATCTGCATCCGTGATATGCTCTCCAAACAGATATGGCCCGTGTCCGGGCTCGCCCAGGTGCCTTTCGAGGCGGTCGAGCGAGGCGAACAAGGGGTAGACATTCTCGTCGTACGCCTCTTGCGTAGTGGCAAAGCCCGTCTTGTAGACGCCGTTGTTCACCGTCTGGTAAATCCATTCGTTCATCTCGTCAATTTCATTCCGTAGCTTCTCCGGATACAAGCCTCCATTGGGCTTATTAATTTCGCGCAGTTGCTCTGGAAGCAGGTCATCAAATTCAGTATACATCATGCGGATGATCTCACTACTCTCATTATTGACTATCGTCTCCTTCTTCTTGTCCCAGAGCACTGGTACGGTGTATTTCGCAGCATACCCCGGATCCGCTTTCAGGTACAATTCCTTCAAGTAACGGAAGCCGTATACCGGATCTTCTGTGGCCGAGCCAAACTCGCCGGAAAACATCCATCCTTCGGGGCTGAGGCGTGGATCAAGGACGACAAGCTGGATGAAGGGCTCTAGGCCCTTGAGGCTTCGTACGATATTAGTGCGATGTGCCCAGGGGCAGCTGGTGGTGATGTAGAGCACGTAGCGGTCTTTCTCAGGCGGGAATTCGGCCGAAGGAGAGCGGGAAATGGTGGAACGGAACGAAGAGGTCTGGCGGCGAAAACGGCCGTCTTGATCCGCTTGGTTGTAGATCGATGTCTCCTGCTGAGAAGAAAGTAGTTAATAACGATGGTAACCTGGGTGGATTTCTCTTTTGTACTGCCTGGACTCCGAACAACCAAAGGTCTTGTTGGCAACGAAGGGAGACGAGCTTTGTGGGTTGGGGCGGGGTACCTTGGGATCTGTCATGCTGGTAGGATCTCACGCCAAACTGACTCGGGGTGGCGAGGTGGTATTTGCTCTGAGATTCCTAGTTATGGTTTGTATTTTTCAACCAAAAGGGTTAACCTCCTGTGCTGTTTGGTAGTAGTTAACTAACTAGCAGACATCCTCCCGCGATCCCATCGAGCTCCGCGGGTCGGATATCCCGATGTAGGGCGGGTAGTTCCGCTCTGGGGCTCCGTCGCCGCTTAGAAATCATCGACGTCGTTGCCGTGGATGGGCATTAATCATCATCAACGGGCGAGCCAGGCACGTACGGAGGCTCTTCTTCATCCACCCCGCACGTTGCTTTCATGATGTCCGGCCGCACGAAATACCATCAGAGACACCGGTTCGCCTGACTAGACTCGATTCCTACCAATGCAGGGTCCCCCCAGGCTAGCATCGTGACATCACGGTCTGGCCTGGGCGCCGGACGGAGGGGAAAATGGAGGGCCGGAGACCACGGGTGGCATTCATTGGAGGGGCGAGAACGAAGCCAGCCGAACGAGCTGATTATTGTGACGTACGGAGAACGGAGTATAGAGAGGGATGTCATTATCTCCCGCGGCCTTTTGAAAGCTCGACGGCACAGCACACCTGGTGCGGATCAACCAGCCCAACCCAGAACATAGGGAGAAGCAAAGTTCGCATGGAACTGGGGATCTGCTCTTCGGAGCATCCTTTGCGGGGGGGAAATGCAAGGCAGGAAACCGCTTGTTTGGTTATCAGCATGGAGCTCCCTCAGCAGACGTGCGACATGGCCTCGCCAACAGCTGCGGCACATTCCCCCTCGATGGACAGTGCTTTTGGAGGGAGGATCAGACCGAACTGGCGGCATAGTTAGGCCGGAGATGGGCGCAGCATACCGCTTCCTGGCGTGGCGGTCCTGTCTGGTGGAAGAGCTAAGCAGGATGCTCTCTTCTTATCCGCGATCCGCCGGCTCTTGGTCGGGGAGATCAAGACGCGATCCTGCCTGGTGGTGTGAGCAAGCGATCACTTTTTGAAACAGGATACCCCAGAAGGTTGGCATGCTCTCTGGTGGGCCATCTGGAGCGGCCGCGGTCGTTCCCTTGTCCATACATAAGGCACACCGGCCGGGTGTGCGTCCGAGATGAACCTGCAGCTGCGGGCGACGGCGATCGTCCCATGTCTCACCCCTAAGATACCAAGATCAGCCATCGAAAACTGGACAAGACCCATAATAATACAAAACAACAAGCCCTGGGAGCCAGACGCGGCGCTGCCACACGTTCTTGCTCCGGCGCGAGAGGATCGCAGATATGATCGATCACCCTTCTGTACTCTACTCTAGTAGTAGTAGTCCGTCCTCTCGCCGCGACGCCCAGCAGCTCTGTGCCAAGCGGAACGGACCTGACGCTTGCGGCTTGGGGCATGTGCTTTTGGATCCGGTGGAGGCCATCGCCGTCGAGGCTCTGGCCCAAGCCGGGAAGAACCATGGAACCGAGCTGGCAAGGTTGCCGTCCAGCTGTTTCGCCCTTTTCCACCACCACCACCACAGCATAGCGGGCGGGCATCAGCCGCTGCCACCCGTGCTGGCTAACTAAGGAATGGAGATCCAAAACCGCCTCCTCATTATTCTTAAGGGAGCGCGTGCATGTGGCCAGACTGCGGCCACCCCCTAGCAAGGTTTTGCTGTTTTGTTTTTTTTTTCTTTTCCTTTTCTCCTTTCTGGTTGACTGCAACGGTCCCCCCAACGGCCAGCCAGCGCCCTGGCTGCGTGTTTTCTCCGGGTGGAAACGGGGGGTGTGATGCCCCACTGCAGATGCGAAGCGTTGGTTCGCCACAGCGACGGCGCAAGACAAGGCTTTGAAGCCCAACCCGCCTGCGAGACGGGCGGTCCTGGCAATATTACTGCTATTTTGGCGTCATCCACGCGCGCCAGTGCCCCAGCGTGGTCCCGGAATTGGCTCGCATGCTAAGGGCCCATCACGCTCGACTCGCGTATCGCTGGTACTGTAGGATTGGGGAAGGTGGTATGCCGCAGTAAATTACACCAGCACGAACGCCTCGGTTCAGTTGCAAGGCCTGGCTAGGATGGCAGCTCTCTATAGTCCTCCTGGCGGTCGGTTATGTCGAGGCGCGAGCAGAGCATCCATCGCACGCCCGGTCAGACGCTGGCCGCCGGCCAAACATCGCGGGTCCCAGCCCACAAAGACGCAGCAGCACCGCGTCTCCCGCTCGTTCGGGGCCGCTAAAACATGCACTTCAACTGCGAGAGCGGATTGAACCCACGCCGGCCGTAATAGCGCGACGGGACTCCACGGGGGTTGACTAAACGTTTGCTGTTGCGCGGTACCAGCGCTGCATGCGCTAACGTTTCCTCACCCCACCGCCAGCCGCCCAGGACGGGATCGTCGGTATCGGCTTGTATGTATGGGCGTATGTGCGTTACATTACCGCCCCTGAGAGCACGCCCGGAAAATTACGCTGCGCTGGGTGGGCAGCTGCACCGCGACGATGGAGAATGCTAATACTAATAATGTTATTAGTTCGGCTGCCCGTCCTGGTCTGCGACTACTACTACTGCTGCTGTTGCTGCTGCTACTGCTACGCGCGCGTGTGAGTGGTGTTTCTGCTTCAGCCCGCTGCAACCCCCGTTGGATCGCGCCGTTGAAGCTCTTGTCCCCTCTGGCTGGCCGTGTTGCCAATCCGCCCTGATGGGCTGAATCAACGCCCGCCGTGCTGCTGTCCACTACCCTGAAATGCACAGACAGCTGCTGGGTGTGTGTGTCCTCCGTACGTATGTGCTCTCACCGAGGAAATAATCCTCCTGTACCCTGCCCCCCCTGCTTGCGACATGTATAACCGGCCCGTGTTATTGCCCCCCAAGCTCATTCCCCCTTGCCTGCCCGGCCTTCCTGCGTCTCGAAGCTGTTCTGGTTAAACGGCCGCGGAGTGGCGCCGTTGGTCACACATCTTCCTGTTGCTCAATGCCTCGAAACGCCTGGTGATTTCGTTCGCATCCTGTTTGCCCTCTCTGCTGCGCATTGAACCACAATAATGCTAATTTGCTGTGCGTCGTGGTTTGACAGTCATCTAAGAATAAGATTGTGCCCTGTCACTCGCAATCACCGGGGGCTGTGCTCTTCTTCCCGCAACCAGACAGTCGCTGGATATCTCTTCCATCACTCTTAGATCCGCTCTTTTCACGCCGAATCCAGACGCCCCTCTTCTCGACGAAGCACAGCCACCTGCCCCCCCTCTGTCCTTCCTCGCAGACGTACCTAGCCTCGATCGACGCGCCGTCGGCGAACGAGACATTAAGCTATATGCCCTTCTAACCTCGACTCGTGGTGGTTGAGGTTTTCATCGATACAAACAACCGGAGGATGTGCTGGGTGTGAGCTATGGCCACCGATTGGGAGACTGAGCGTGGCTACCTCACGCAGGAGCCGCCCAGCCCGCCTAATTTGTTCTATAAAACCCCTCCTGCATCTGGCTCGCGGCATTCGACGCAGCGACGAGATTCATCGTCCGGCCCAGCCTCGTCCCCGCTTCCATTCTCTGCAAACCCCCGCCGCGATGTCGAATCGCGGCACAAGGTCCATCTGGCGAACGACGAGTCTATCTCACCACTGGATCCGCGCAGGTTTACGCCCACTCTACACGCGTCGCTCGTGGCGGAAATTTTGTCGTTGCGCCGTGACTTAGACGCTAAAACGAAGGAGATAGACACTCTTGAATCGTCGTTGGAAAGTGCAAGGTCCGAAGCTGAATCGCTTCAGGAGACGATATCCAAAAATTCGCAAGAGACTCGATCCCTCAAACGACAGCTACAGCTGCTTGAAGGCGGCTCGAATTCGGCCATCACCGAGCTGGCGAATGAGCGCGACGAAGCACTCGAAAATATTTCAGATGTTCGAAAAAGGCTTGACATATCGCAAAAGAAGCTGCGAACCCAAGCAGAGCAGATCGAACAAACTCAGGCGGCTTGGGATCAAGATAAACAACATTGGGACGACGAGCGTCGAACCCTAGAGAGGAAGGTCCACGTCACTGAAGGACGGCTGAAGCTGGTTCTTAACGAGATTGCGGCGGCGGAAGCATTCAACGAAAATAATAATACAGCGAATGACGATGGGTATAGGCGAGATAGAGCCAATACTGGTGCGAGTGATGCTACCAGTATTCGATCGAGCGTCGCTGAAAGATGCAGAACGAGCACTCCCAGTATGGGCAATGATAGGGATGTGCATAATTTTCGCTACTCTATCATGAGCCAAACCAATGGCAACATGACCAAGTCCGCCGCTCTGAACCTTGCGGATGAACTGGCATTCGACGAGGAAGAAGAGGACATGTCGACCTACACTGACGACGAACGTCCTGAATCGCGTGATACCTTACCAGAGGAAAATTGCGTACCAAACCAATCGCACCCACTAGACCTAAAGGCTCGAAAGATTTTGGGGCTGTCGTTTGATGGCCATGAGCAAAAACCTTTGGTAGCCAATGGTATATTTGATGAGAGTGACGCAGTAACGATATCCAACCAAGGTAAATTCGAATATAAGGACATGGGCATCCAGTACACTCCGCCGCCGTCCCCAAAATCGATACCCGAACAACAACCAGGCCCCGTTTTCGAATCGCGCGGCATACAATCGACTCTGGCTGATGTTGCAGTCGACCAGACGGATAAATCGAGGCTGAACGTCACAAAAGCAGAAGAGGCCAACCTTACTGTTGACTGTGGCACCCTCACCGTTCCTGTTGCCATGGTATCTTCTCCGTGTCAAACAACGGACGAATTATTAAACAACGTGACGGGCTTGCAACACAATGATAACGGACCTGTAAGTACGCGAGAGATGATTTCCTCTGGAACTCAAACAGACACTGCAGAGTCTCCGAAAGACACGGAAACTCGTTTACAGATGCCTATCCCCATGATTGCTGTTCATCCTCCTGGATCGAGCCCGCCATCGCCGCGCAACAGTGTAGTCTTGCCCCCAGCCACCAGGAGCGCTGCATCTCAGACCGAAGTCCTCCTGCTCCAGAATACGTGCTCGTCGGCGATGCAAACGGAGGAGATTCGCGTCGACAAGCGTGTCATAAATGCAGCCGCCGCCCTACTGCCGTCGGCCATGCCGGACAAGCCTTTTGACTCTGAGGTGGCTGATGCGCCTTGTGATCTACCAATGACTCCGTATTGTCCCCCTCCTAAGTCTCCAAAAAGAAAACTCCGTCATCCACCACCAGTTGACGGCCCTATCAAAGCTGCCAAGCAACAACATGGGGAGACCTATCATATTTACCCCGGCAACAATGATAACGGGCCGCTTACCGAGGACGAGCAGTCAGATATTCGTCGGCCATTTAGATCCAGTAGCCTATTTGCTGGCTTTGACGACGTGAGTGACGACGGCACCCAACGAAAAGGGCAAGATTTGTTCGGCGATGATGAGTTTTTGCGCCGCCCTATGGCCTCTTATACTTTAAAGTCCGGGAGATTGGTCTCAAAAGAGATGCCTTCTATCCTGGATCATGATTCAGATGCAGAGATGGGTGGGCAGTGCTCTCCAAAGCAATACAGGGCCAATGGACAAGAACAGCAACCTTCAGGCCCGCAAAATAAGTCGCATTCGAGGCGGGCGATGAGAGCTCAGCTCAAACAGATTTCTGGAGCCAAGGAGCCAGATATGCGACGTGCTGCAATGATTTTTAGCTCCACAGCAATGCATCAATCATACCGTCCTCGCAGTCCGAGCACCAGCAGCGCCAGTCCACAGAATCCGGCGCCTCCGCCATTCCCTGTACCGACACGATTCAGCTCTCGCAAGCCGAGAGGTGGTAGTGATGGTGCACAGAGCCCCACACCGTACGGTAATGGTAGCTTGTCGGGGCGCATGGGAGACGGTTTTCTCCGAAAATCACGTTCAGCAGCGGTGGTGCGCAAGCAGCTAAATGGACATCAATCTCCAGCACTTTCGACCTCGTCCATGGCTCCAGATAGCCCGTTATATCCGCCAATGCCTCTTGACGAAATAACAGCACCTCGCAACAAGCGAAATGCTCAACGGCCCGCAAACAACCATATGCCTCCCTCCAAGGCTCTATCTCACTCTCGAAAAGATTCCACTGCAACGACGGTACAGCCAACAAGTGTGGTTGATGCCATTGCGCAGACAATGGTAGGCGGCTGGATGTGGAAGTACGTTCGCAGAAGAAAGTCGTTTGGGATGACGGAAACTTCGAAAGACGGCTGGGAGATAGGAAAGAATGCGGATGAAGCTGTGGCTGCGAATACTGGTGTTAGGCATAAGAGATGGGTATGGCTGGCGCCGTATGAGCGAGCGATCATGTGGAGCAGCAAGCAGCCCACAAGTGGCCCGGCTTTGCTGGGTAAGAGTGGCAGAAAATGTGAGTATCTGGTTCTTACTCGTGTGTCCCCGATTTGACATCCCGATTTATTTGCTGATTTCTCAAACAGTAATCATTCAGTCTGTTCTCGATGTCAAGGATGAAAATCCAATGCCCAAGGGAGCCAGCCCGCAGAACCACTTCCGCCGTTCGATCTTGATTTTAACGCCTCAAAGAGCCTTGAAGTTCACTGCAATGACCCTCGAACTTCACTGCATTTGGTTGACTGCCTTGTCTTTTCTCAGCCATTCTTCTATGGCTTTAAACGATCTCGCCGCACTACCACCCATCCCACAGGAAGAATATGCCCAACGCCAACCCACCGCATCTCTTCGTCGAAATCCGATTAGAGATTCCATCAGGGTAGCCAAGGGCAAAACTCGCTCAAGCAGCAAGTCGAAGCGGTCATTCACTCCGCAGCCCGCTGCGGTACCAGAACTCCCGCACATCGAGGATCGGGGGGACGAACCCGTCTGTGATGCAGCTGATCCTCCATTTGTCCCGAGATTTGCGTCTCACACCAGGAAAAGGAGTAACACGGCGCCCCGGCCCGTGCCTGCTGCTCTTCGAACCTTTTCCAGCCACGCACCCGCCCCGTCGACCTACAGCGCGACCACCGCTGGGTCGTCCGAGCTTCATTCCCCCTCATCCATTGGCCCGAGTGGGCTTCACAGCGGCCAGAGTAGCATTAGTCGTCGAATGTCGGAAGCCAGCGGGGCGACTGGTACAGGAGCGACGAATTTCTTCGATGCCATTGGCACCGTGAGGATGGAGGCGTTTGTCGACGGCAGCGTGGCGTCTCGCAGACGAGGGTTTCGCAACAGACACGGTGGAAAAAGAGATCCTGGACTTTACCCGCAGAGTCCAGATACTGATTTCACCCGATCTGATGATGCAAGCGATATCTTTTCTCGAAATGATGACCCGTTCAAAGGATTCTAATGGACGGACTTCTTTTGTTCAATGTTCTTTTCCTCTCGTTTGAATACCCTCCCTTTTTTTTTCTTTTAATTCGTTTCTCATCTGCCTGGCTTGGGTATAAAGATGTTGCAGGAACCATGCACGCTTTCATCTCGTTTTATCCGGGGCAGCCATCATATCTTGGGGTTTTAGCATTTCTGGGGAATTTGAAAATCGTTGTAATTTCTTTTGACCTTTCTTTGCGACATATCTCTCGCTTAATTTCATTACTTCTCATGGCGGAATCTTTCTTCCTGGCATTGCATTTTCTGGTTTCTTTTCTTGACTTTCTTTTGGGCCGGCAACGACTGGCTAACTGGATTACTCACCACGGTGTTTTTTCTATTCTTTTTGTCTGTTTGTAAATTATCACTCTTTCTGACCTGGACATCCTGCGGGGGTGCCCGTTCTATCTACAAATATTGGGGTTTATGTGCAGGCGTCAAAATGAGAATCTTTTTTTCAAGAGGGGTATTCTTCCACTTTGATGGAGAGCCATTTTTCTAAATCTCTCGGCTGCGGGCTTCTATATTAATTATTTCAAAAAAGGCGCAAATCCCATCATGACAGTCCTGCAGCCTTCGCGATTTCTTCATCTAAAGGATAGATTTTTTCGACTGGCAATAGATCCCGCGCCTCGTCGATCTTCCCCGCATGGACAAGCTGCCCCATAGTGACCATTAGGTCTGTAACATCGCGAATTGACACAATCCATTCATCCACATATCGATCCACTGCCTTCTCGCCCAGCCCAACTTGAATGGATCTAAACGGCAGCGGTCTGAACGCAAAATCCCGTTCTGGATCCCACTGGATACGCACACAGCTCTCGTGCTTTTTGCGCTCAAGCTCGTGACAGAGCGATTTATCGGGGCTGTTGTGGTTGATGAAACTGTTGCATAGCGCCCACTCGAAGCCCGAGCGCGAGATTTCAATAGCGAGGATACGCTCTTGGCCGGGTTTGGACGCCCAGCCCGAGCGGTAGGCCATCCAGAGAAACGACGGCTTGATCCAGGTCATCCGCGAACGTTTAAATGGCGGGACAAACTTTCCAGCGAGGAGGGCGGGCGATGCGATGGCGGACGAGTATGCCTGGTAGACCGTGATGGTGGTATCTGTGTACTGTGCGCGAATTGTACGATAGGGTGATGAGGACATTGTCAGTAAAGTTTGATGGAGGCTTAAGGTTTCTCTAGAACCTTTGTTTTGAGGCCATTTCGCGCTTTCTGGAGGCCTTTTTAAAGAATGGGGATTGCCAGCCTTATCCGATACTAATTCTGGTCTCCGACTGGGGTGACATCAACGCAGCCATTGTCGAGTCATACCTACGCAAGGCTGGCCACCTTAGACATGCGCGAAATCATGCTCTCACAACGACGTTGTGTGGCACAGAGTATAATGAAGAAATGCAAAGAGGGTTTATGATTCTATTTGAGAGTATATATACACCATGCCCACATCGACAAACTTCTAAAACAACCAAGACGTACACTCAAAAAAGTTCTCTCAAACACTCGCAAGTATGCCCATTTCCGGTGTCGGGCTTCGAGTCAGACACCAAAAGCCAAAAGCTACCACCATGCGCAAGGCCGATCCGGGCCATTAGGCTGTCAGTCAGCGGTATCTTATTATCCAAGGCTTTACTATCGCCTAGATATGGTATTCTCCCTCGATCTTATAATTTCGCAGCTTCCTTGACGTCTCCGATTTTCAATTTGGCGCCGTACTTTTTCAGTACCGATTCATTATGATACTGTCAAAGTAGCTTCATTAGCAGCCGATAGCCTCATGGCGCGTTGAAAGGAATGACACACCTTCCAGAACTGTTTCGACGCATCTTTGCCGGCAACACGTTTCAAGATTTTTGCGCCGCCGGGGTGCTCTTCGATGAAGTTGGTAATATCATACACGCCAGTGTCAACAATGATGTACATGCCCTTGTCGGCAGTTTTGTGTTCAGCGACCTCGGCGGGTGAGAATGACTTGGACATCTTGGACTAGGGTCGTAAGGCGCGTACCTCAGGGGTGGTTTGAATCTATGGGGCTTGCACTTTGTTCAAAAGATGTGGGTGGACAAGATCGAAAGGCCAGAAAACAGAGAGGCCAACGAAACTGCCAGGAGTGAGTTAATCAATAGTTAATAGTAACTGACAGCCCGTGGACGGCGCATTTTCACACCACCGGAAGCTGGAGCAACGACGACACTGTCGCCGAACCGAGGTAATCAGCCGGTAAGCCAATCAAAAGCCTCGGATTATTGATTTTCTAATCCCGCACGTGAGATGAGTCATCCAACATGTGATTGGTTTGCTTATTCACAGGTCACGGGGATCGGCTTATTACCGTGGACTTGGAGAGAGGCAGAAATGTCCAAAGTCAGGAGACCGTAGATTGCAATATCACGGCTATCAGTGTCTCCAGACGTTGAGAAGCCAATCAACGGGTTTAGTATTCCCCATAAAATAGGTCTACTATGACGTATGACCTTCATTTTTAGTAGTCATATCTTCAGATCTAAGTGCATTTTCGTACTGGACAATTTGATGCCCAGTCGAATGTATACCAGGTCTTTCATTTTGCATTTTTGGGCAAACTATAACCTGCTAGGTATCGGACGACACAGGAGCACATGATGATCATGTGACTGAGCATCTATAATATTGCATCTGGTCTTGCTCCTAATGAATGAGACATGGATACTTATAGATGAACATGCTATAACTGAGGCTATGAGAAAAACATATGAAAAACCCCTAGCAAACCTTCATCAGTCCAATAGACAAAGATAATGAAATCAGTATCATGATCAAGAGAAGAAGATGACAAATCTATAGTTCTTCAGTTTCTTTTTTAGAGATCTGATTATCTAATAAATCATCTGACTTCTGCTCAACACATCTTCATAGCTTTGACAGTGGCATAGACAGTGAATTCTTCTCTATTAAATAATCAATATTCATAAGCTTCAGTTGCTTAATAAATTTTTTAAATTTCTGTCTAGACAATGTCTTTGTTAAGTCATCTGCAGACATATTATCACTTTCAATTCAGCTAATATTCAATTTCTTATTAGTAACTGCTTGTCATAATCAGTGATGATGAATATTAATGTAATGAAGCTTGATAATTAGTTGCAGAGCTACTGAAATCAGTAATCATATCATTTGTAAATTATCACATAAAATATCAAAATCTCTTTCTAATTTCAACATAATATTCTTAAATAAGTGTTTCCACCACATGATTTCTTTTGTCATATAGAATAGTGCTAAAAGCTCAGCTTTCATTGAAGACATTGTAACAGTCTTTTGTCTGAAGAATTTTTAATCAATCAAATCTTCAAAGAGCTTAAATACAGAGCTCTGAAAGAAGTGTCTTGAGCTCAAATCATCTGCAAAAAAAGAATCACTGATGATTATTAAATGAGTGTTAATGACATTAGTATTATTATTCTCTCTCTGGGTATTCAATCTGTCATCAGCATGAAATTCAAGAGCATAGTACTTCATTGAAAAAGCATATGAGATAACTCTCTCAATTGTTGTATGATGTTCTGATTCTGAATTAATCAAAGCCTCACTTAATTTTGCAGTAGCAAACAAAATATCAGATCACATTATAATAGCAGTATAGAGAGCTGAATCAATCTTCTGTTAGTAGACATATATTCATTGCTTATCTTGCACCTTCATATAAGAAGCTATATCTGCAGTTACCATTGATGTATGTGATGACTTCAATCTCATAAGATTGAACTTATTAGTGATCTTCTCAATATAACTATTCTGGCACAGTCAAAGCTTCTGAGCATTTCTATTGTATAAGACACAGATATCTAGAAATCACTCTAGCTCTTCAATTTCTCAAAGCTCATAACACACTCATAGATTCTTCAATAACTGCTTAAATGTTCCAACATTCTTTCTGTGATATAAAAATACTATGTCATTCACATAAAAGAAGATAATAATATTCTTATCAATAAATAGACATGATTCTTCACAAATCTGACAGAATTTTAGTTCTCAGAGTGTTGAAGTGAGATCTTCATATTAAAGTTGTGAAGATTCAGAATGATTATATAAGACACATAGAATCTTTCAAACATTTCTTTTCTTACTGTAACTCTCTGTCAGTCTGCAATAAACAGATTTATCAAATGAAGCATTAATGAACACATTAACAGCATCAATCTGGAAGATCTTTATTTCAAAATAAGCTGTTATAGTCATTAAAAGATGAAATATCTGCACAGTGAGTGTAGTGATGTAGATGTTATGTTTATTATTAATATTCAGATCTCTGCAAAAAATGAGTCTTGTCTTATAATGTTCCAAAAAACTGTTAACATCAAATTTGTATGTATAAATTCACATTAAAGAGATTGAACATATTTCTTCTGAGCTCTCTACTTCTTCAAAGCATTTCTTCATTCATAGCTTCTCCATTTTCACATTCATGGCAGTCTTAAATCCATCAGCATGTGGATGTTGTAACATAGAAAAATAATGCTTCAGAGACTTCAGAAGATTCTCTCTGTGAAGTCTAGAATTCATAATTGTAAAAGCTGTTAAATAGTCTCTATAAAATGAATTCAATTGTGCTATTTACTGCAGAATTACTGTATAAGCTGTTCATCTGTCAATTCAATCTGTGTTTTGATGCCTTATTCTAGCACTTTGCCTAGAAGATGAAGATTGCTTGTTCAAGCTCACTCTGACTGAGTCATTCATCACTTTCATGGCAAAACAATTGACTGTTGAAATCTCATCATTAGTGCTCATCATCTCTGCAGCAGAATGATTGACTATTAATTGTCTGTCATTTGTGCTCATCATCTTTATAGAGCTAGTGACAGAAAATGTAGTGAATGTTATATCTTCAGACAGCTCAACTACAACACCACTCATCATCTTCATAGCTTTCACAGCAGAATGATTGGCTGTCAATGAAAGTTGATTCAGTGTCTCTATTTCAGTTAATGGCATTGTTGAATCATTCAGAAGAGATTGAATGTAGATGTCTGAAGCTAACAGCTCTGATGTAGACTCTAATATTAACAATGCACATGTCTTTTCTGATTGATCAGTTAGTGTCTTAGTCATTGTTTCCATCAATCTTATTAACTGATTAACAGTCTTGTGACTTTCACATGATGTATTCTTCTCAGAGTCTTCATCTTCACTGTCATGCTTGCTCAAGCTCATCTTGTTAATATCACTTACTTCAACAAAAAATATTATATCTGGCACAATGAAGCTCTTCTGTAATAAAAGTTTGCTGCTAATCTCATTAAAATCAAATAGTGTATCTTTGTTGAATATAATGTCTCTAGTTAATATAACCTTTCATCATACTGAAATTCAAATGCAAAAAATATTTATTGATTTGTATTTAATAAAATATTCAACTTTCACTCTAGAAGTCAGCTTCTGATTTCTTCTGTATCATGCATTCTTAATTAAAGAATATGCTCTACAGCCAAAAACTCTTATATGTCTAATTTCAGTTAAAGAAGTTGCAGTTTGAAGATATTTCTCTAAGAATTCAAGAAAAGTGTTTCAATCAAGATCTTTAATCAGAATTCTGTTTAAAATATATGCTGCAGTCTTGATGTATTCTGGCCACAAATTCTCAGATAAGTTGGCTTCAATTCACATTGTATGTGCTGCTGTCATTATTAAAGCTTTCATATGTTCTGCAGCTCCATTTTGAGCTGATGTGTAGAGTGTCAAACATTGAACAACTATATCATATGTTCAAGTCAACACTGTCAGTTCTGACTGCATAGAGATCTCTCCATCAATTCAAATAGTTAAGATAGTTAATTGATATAAATTGAGAATTACTCTTATCATTTTTGCTGTACATGTCAAACTTTTAAATTTTTGCTGCATCATTTTCATGTAGTGCAGATGAATATAATCACAATATAAGTGAATCATCCATCTATCTTCATTATAATCTGAAGCAAACTGTATGAAATCAACAGACATCTTCATGAACAGACATGTAGATCTTTCCAACAGCATTCTGTGTATAATTTACTTTGCTTTCAAAAGAGCACAAGATCTGCACTCCATCATTAGAGAATTTCAAGAGATCTTTTTAAATTTCACATCAGTAGACATCTTCAGAAGATGTGCCAGAGACTTTCTGTCCAGATGATTAAGTCTCAGATGTTAAATATTCATGGTTTCTAGCAAACTGAAGGTCAACATCATCAACAGTTTTTTAATCAAATTTCTACTCAATAAGACAGTAAAAACACTTCTTGTTATACTGTCTGTTGCAACATTAATAGATCTGTATTCAACAATCATTTTTCTCTCTTTAACAGTCAAATTGAACAAGATATCTCTTGTGCTGACATAGTAAACTGTAAGAGACTTGTCATTCAAATAACAATTCTTTGCATGCAGCAATCCATGTGCTACTAGATTTATATGAAAGTCAGAAACATAGAGAACATTCTTTAGTAATATCTTGTCAGCATCTGCTGATGTTTGAATATAAACTTCAACATCATCATATTCATGAATTTTACAATGAGTATTTCCAATGAGCACAATATCTAAAGAATCAGTGTCTCAGTAGTTTTGAAATCTTGTAAAATCATTGCAAATATGTGCATCTGCATCTTCATCTAATATGAAACTGTTCCATAATGAATAGAGTTCATATTTATTGCTCATGTTAGTGGAGTTAAAAACCATTACAGAAGCAAAGATAGTCAGATTAGAAAATGTCTTGACAACAGCTTTGTTAGCATCATCATCTGTTGCATCATCTGAAGCACTAACTTCTTCAGTAGTATTCAAATTCTTCAATTTCTTCCAATTTGCAATCTTTTTCTTTAATTTTCTTTTGTTCACTGGATTCTTCAATGCTTTCTTGACCTTATTATCAATTTTTGAATCTGGTTTCCAGTTCATTGGTTGAACAAGTGAATTAAAATATGAACAGTACACCCAATCATATTGCTCTTCACAAAGATATGCAGAGTTCATACTTTCATTATTCTTCTCTGACAGCTTATTTTAAACAATTCTTTCAGTGGAATATGCTGATGGCTTATTACTTTGATCTGGCTCAGTATCTTTCTTTAACAACTGTCAAAATATCTGAATATGTCTATAAATATTCAGCTCATGTTCTCAATTCAAATTCTTCTCAGTTAGAAGCTTAGATAGATATGTATAGAAGAACTCTCTATAATTTGAAGAGATAGCTCTCAGAAATTGTTTTGAGACAAAAGATTTGTGAATATATTTGCACATATCATACATGATTGTCTGATTCAATGCTTCTTTATAGTTCAGTAAATATGCTTCAATTACATAATTCTTTGACTCTTCTTCAAGAGTTTTGAATTTCTCTACTAGTCTAGCTTTCAATTGAGAAGCATTCATCACATTTCTAGCATATAAAGCTTTCAGATGTTCTTTTGCAGTAACTTCTACATCATTTAATTTACTTATTGTAAGAATTCTCAGAGACAGATCTACACAGTCTCTTATTGTCTTCTGTAGCTCTTGCATCACTAAGACTCTCTTCTTTTAAGTTCTGTTTCAATTTCTTTGCATATTTCTTGCATGTTTCATATCCACAGAAGTTGTGATTTCTTTGATTTTCTCAGAAGGAAGAAAATTCTCTATAACAGATTTTCAAAGTTCAGAATGCATTTCTTTTGTCAGATTGACATACAGTCACAATCAGTAAAGATTTACTAAATACTTAATGTCTTCAATTCATTCTTCTCAATTATTAGAACTATTCAGCATAACAACTCTTCTAGACAATTCATTCATTTTTAATTAATTATTGAAGTGAGACATTGACTCTAGATTATGATTTTCTGTAGACTTAGATCAGTAAATATATAGATGCATTAGATCTTCACAAACTCCACAATTAAGATTTAAGCTTAAATAGAGGGTTCAATGTATGATCTCAAGATACTTAATAGTAATCTCTATTTGTATGGGTAACAAGAGTGAAATAAAGTATCTTGAACATATCTTTAGATAACAATCAAATTCTTGAAAGAGTCTGGGCTCATAACTATCAGATGACACAGAAGCATGTGATGATCATGTGACTGAGCATCTATAATATTGTGTCTGATCTTGCTTCTAACAAACAAGACATGAATACTTATAGACAAACATGCTATAATCAAGGCTACAGAAAAAACATATGAAAAACCCCTAGCAAATCTCTGCCAGCCCAATAGACAAAGATAATGAAATCAGTACCATGGTTGAGAGGAGGAGGTGGCGAATCTATGGTTCTCTGGTTCCTCCTTCAGAGACCTGGTCACCTGACAAGTCACCTGACTCCTGCTCAACACTAGGTGAGCCTAGATATGACATAAGGCGCGAGAAAGACGGGGTTTTAGTTTGGTATTGAATCGATATTGGTTCAATGCAAATCGAGAGTGGGTATCAGTCCGTTTAGTTACATACATAACTACATAGTACATCATCACATTTTGCTCTTCTCGCCGGCAGCGCCTTTGCCCTTGGAAACCTTTTTGTCTAGTCCTAAAGTTTCGAGGTCTTTTTGTTTGTGATAGTGCGGTGCCACTTCAACCAACCACTCTGCCTGTAAAGGCATATTGCTCCGCATGTATTCTTTGCTTGTTAACACTAATTCATGATAGATCACCCACTTGGGATTAACGTCAAACAAAGTACTTGACGGGTGCAGGTAGACAGTTTGGCCGTTCTTAACCGTCCGGTAGCTGTCGCCACCCCTCTGAAGCCGCGCTGCGTTGGGAAAAAAGCCTGCGGTGATCGCTTTTTGAATTGGCATCAAATTGTTAGCACCAGTAGTGCTGACTGTGACTTCAACACGATCGCATAATTTAGCAAGTTGATCTCGTACATCACGGGCCCGAGTTAGACTTCGTTGCTGGAGGAAGTTCTCTCTTGCCCAGACATAACTAAAATCAGAATCAACCCATTGGTTCCATATGTTCAGGAGCGAGAGATGATCTCCTCCATCCTTAATGGTGAAACGAGCACGGGCGCTATCGGCGTGTATCTTCTTGTCCTTGGGCCTATAAAATAGGGCACTTGCTTCGCCAACCATGGCAATGATTGAAAGAACCTCTTCAACACATCCATATTTGTCGGCGGCAAGAATTGATTTAGCTAGCATTGGATCTGTGGGGAATTCTGCCATTTGCCGTCCAACCTTGGTAAGCTCTCCATGATCATTGAGTGCTCCAAGTGCATAGAGTTGCTCAAGAGCCCGTATCAGTGTTTCGGCGGGGGGAGGGTCCATGAAATCAAAATCTAATAGATCATCGATCCCAAGGGATTTTAATGTCAATACAACACTGCTAAGATTGGTGCGCTGGATTTCTGGAGTGGTGTTTGCTTCCAGTTCGTTATGGTACGCCCATTTTGTGTACAGCCGAAAACACTTGCCAGGTCCAACACGACCAGCTCGACCAGCTCTCTGGCCAGCAGAAGCACGAGAGCATGGAGTGACAACCAAACTCTCCATGCCTGTGCGGGGATTAAATACATTCTCCTTAACGAAGCCAGGATCGATGACATATACAATTCCATCAATAGTCAAACTAGTTTCGGCAATGTTCGTTGCTAAGACAACCTTCCTTGCACCAGGGGGAGTAGGCTCGAATATCTTGGTTTGGAGTTCTGAAGGTAAATTTGCATAGATTGGGCATATGACCATTTCAGGGATTTTCCCACCCAGTTTTCTTGCAGTTTCCTGAAGGTTCTGCTCTGCGGCCTCTATTTCCTCTTGGCCAGTTAAGAACACTAAAATGTCGCCTTTCCCCTGAGTGATATGGATTTGAAAGACTGTGGTAATAGCCGCTGCAAGATAATTAGCCTCTGGTTGGGATGTGTAGTGAATATCAACAGGATATCGCCGTCCAGGAATGTTGAAAATTGGAGCATCGTCGAAATATTTTTGGAATTTTTGCGCATCAATAGTTGCAGAAGAAATCAATAATTTGAGATCTGGCCTTGCTTTTGCAATATCTTTGAGTAGGCCACATGCAATGTCAGTTGGAACAGTTCTCTCGTGGGCTTCATCAATCATTAATGCAGAGTATTGACCCAGGTCAGGCTCTGTCAAAAGTTCTCGTAGAAGCATGCCATCAGTCATATATTTCAGCAGCGTCTTATCACTGGTAGCATCTTCGAAACGAATAGCGTAACCAACCTCGTTCCCAACTTTCACGCCCATTTCTTCGGCGACACGCGCGGCAACACTCATGGCTGCGACTCGACGGGGTTGTGTGCAGCCAACTTTCAGACCACCTTTCGTATATCCCGCTTCATGAAGATATTGTGGAATTTGTGTTGTTTTTCCACTTCCCGTTTCTCCGACTATGATAATGATCTGATGATCGGCTACAGCCTGTAACAATTCACTCCGGAATTGATAGATGGGAAGGCTTTTGCGAGTCTCATCGATCGACGCCGCCTTCTTTTCAGCCTCGTCTATTTGATGTGCTAGAAGCTGTTGTTCTTTTGTTAACGGCTTGCGGTCTCCCTCAAGTTTCGAATCCATTATAAAATTGATTTTTTGAGCATCGTCAAACACATACTCATAGTCCCCTTCATCAACAAATTCTGCCCTACTAATTTGAGCTTTGGCTTTTGCTGTCTGCTCGTTTTCCCATTCTTCATGTTCGGTGATGAATCGCTCTTGTCCACGTTCATCTCTGTCGACATACCGTTTGTAGAGTGCCTCTTCCTTTCGCTTCCGATCTATTTTGCCCTTTTCAGTGATATAGTCCTCTGGTAACATATAGCCGTCACGATGGTCATCTATACGTAGCCTCTCTTCCGCGAGTCGAAGAACTTCTCGATTCTTCGCGAATTCCTCCTTTTCACGCCTGGTTAAATGCGGATTCTCCTTCAGTTCAGCCGTCTCCTCGGCGACCTGTTTGCGTAGTAACGCCAGTCTTTCCGTTTCTCGCTTTTTAAGATATTCCTGTCGTGAACGTAGTCGCAGATCGGGCATTGCGGCGTCTCTTGCAGTTGCATCTTCGGCTAAAGCACGTCGTCGCGCCACGTCACTATTCTTTGTAGAGGAACGGTCCTCGACAAATTTTTTAGATTTTTCTTCATCTTTTTTCGCAAGGCGTTTTGCAAATTCGTCGCGCTCTCTGAGGTCCCGTTTCCTCGACTTCTCTCGCTTCGTTTCTTCGTCACCATCGGAAGTGGGATGTGTCGTCATCACTTCATTTTGTCGCGCCGGCGAGCCCTGCTGCTCAGCCACGTCCACGTCGGGCGGTTCTTCATCCGGTATCTCTTCATCACCCCAACGGTCATCGAAGTCTCTATCATCAATTCGGCGTAATTTTTTCAAATGGCGACGTTCAGATGATTCTCCATCATGATCTCTTTTCCTATTTTCTTCCTTGTTGCTGTGTGAATCATCGTCACGGCCGCGTCTTTCCTTGCGTCTCGACCTTGACTTCTCCACGTCTGCTGGCGCCAATTGTGGTTCATCTGCCAAGTCATCTCCCATTTCCACTAGCCGATACCTTTTCTTTGTACCATTCTCGGCTGTCTTTGATCGTTGGGCGGTATTAATTTCCGATTTCGTCCCAAATCGAGCCCACAACTCCGACGAAAACGATTCTATGCCCACAGCATCAGCATCTAAAAACGCCTCAAGTTTCTCTCTTAAAGAGGTAGATGTTTTTGCGGAGGTGGCAGTGGCAAGGATGAAGTCAATCACGGTAAGGTCCGATGCGCCTGTGAGGTGTAGAAGTGAATCGGATACGTATCTCCTAGCGTCCATTGTGAATGTATTTTAAGTTCAATGTTCGGGATAAGGGTCACAATCAGCTATCAATTGAGAAGGATGTTTAAGAAGAGGAGAATAGATGTTTATAGAAGATAACCGTGAATGTGGAGGCATTATCGTCATTCTTGAAGCATCATAGCAAGGGAGATAACTGAGCTCCCCGTCTTAATGAGGACGAAGTTAACTAACTAGTAATGCCGGCTTAAAGACCTTGGGAAGAAGGCCAAGAGTTAGTTACCTAGACTCCACCACTGGCCTCTGTATTTCCTGTTGACTTCTATGCCAAAAAGAGACACGAAAAACGGCAGTATATGATGTTTGCACAGGCTCATGGATTAATGAAGCCAAAATGGTAGGCTTTGGGTGCTGGGCTAGTTGGAGTTGGTTAACTCAAACTAACTCCACGTGACCTTGGTGTTGTTGGAACCTTATTGTAACTACGGCGAGTGAAGACGTCCAGTGTCGCATATAACCACTCCCATTGAGGTGAATCGAAACATCACTTAAAATTCAAAAGCACTCATTAGGTCGTCTATCCGTTAATATAATATACAGTAGGAATTGCAGCAATCTAATACAGCAAAAATCAAAGCAGCCAAGCATGGGTAAAATATGAACATAGTGATACAGTTGCAAGTAGAAACACAGCCTGCATAATGCTGGAATAAAATGTAAATATGCAATTCAAGGCATCAACAGAGCAATCACCCCCAAGATCAAAAAAGCGACCTTGGCTCCTTAGCATCCCTGAACAAACCATCAATTAAATGCAGCAATAATGGAGAAGGGATCTCATCATAGAAAACCAGTACATTGCAATGAAATGCAAAAGAGAGCCCTGCGTGCTTTGTGAAAATGTAGTATGCGGGCAACTAAAACGCAATAAAATAATGTAAGTTGTTGCTGAACATGTGCTGTTTTCCATGCTAACAAGCAAATGCTAGGCCCATTTCTGAAAATTGCGCAAAACATCCCAAGAAATAAGCCCACAAAGGTATCCATTCAAATGCACAACTGAAGTATCTCAATAACGCCTTCCCGCTAATTTTAGGTTGCAAAGCTCTGTGCAAAGATTATTCTCAAGAGAATCAAGTTGATAATTAAACATCGATCATTTCGGCATCCTCGACAAGAACTTCGTCCGCTGGGCCCCAGTTACCTTCGTAAATAGTGGCCCCAGCGCGCCGTCGCCGTTCAGTCCATTGAACGCCGAACGATTGAATGACTTGGGCAGCTACAGGCCGATCGGCTGGATCAGGAGATATCATCCATCGGACGATTTTGTCGAGGGCTCCAACGTTATTAGGATCAATCATGAAGTCTGGAGGATCGGAAAGTTCGCCACTCCGGACGGAAACCAAGTGTGGCTTCACTTGTGGAACATGTTGTTCTCCTGAAAGCATGTCGAGTGTCAACGGCTCCTCAAGAGAAAAGCTATCTTCGAAGGAACAACTACTTGATAACGGATTTCCGGTTGCATCGCGAGGAATGCTTGTTTCGGAGCTCCAGGTCAAGCTTGGAACATCGCTGATATCGCCATTTCGAAGTTTTTGCCATGACAAGCCATTGTCAGGTAATTCAACATTGCCAGCGATTTCGAACATGATCAAACCAAGAGCGAAGATATCGGCGGGTTTATCGTAGCGTCCCTGAAGAATTTCGGGTCCGATGTATTCTCTGTCGCCCTCGCCTTCGATGCCATCAGCAGCTGGCCAGCAAGCTGCCATGCCAAAGTCTGCTATTTTTAAAACGCCTTCAAATGTGATTAAAATATTGGCTGGCTTCAAGTCCAAGTGAATGAAACCTGAATCATGGACACATTTTAGGCCCTATAGAAAAAGATTAGTCCAATAGCAATTTTCGGGGGAATTTGATTGCCTACGTGGGATAGTTCAAGTAAGATTTTCCAAATTCGAAAATCATCAAGCCTTGCTTTCAGTCCAACTTGCGAGAGAAAAACATCAAGACTCCCCTCTTCACAGAACTCTGTTTGAATGTAAAGGTAGTTATTATTTTCCCAGCTGTCAACAAAGGAAATAACATGGTCTGAGTTTGTCAGTGCTTTTAGTATGACCACCTCCATGCATCGTCTTTCCCGATCTTTGATGCCTGTGAATGGCTGTTTCGATTTCTTCACAGCCCATAGATGGAGAGGGGAAGTAAGTTTCTTAGACGATCCTGGCACAGTAGCTTGAAATGTGGCCATGGATTGGCGCTCAGTGACGCAATAAACCTGGGAGAATTCTCCAGTTCCTATCAATTCAACCTTATCAAACCGTGAAGTCAAGCACGAGTCGACATCTGGTGAGCTATAGTTATTGAGTGACAAAGTCGATCGCTTCCCAAGTTGTGGAAAGGACTCTCGTGGGCCGGTTGGAGTAGCAGGAAAGTTCAACGATGAGTCTAAGCCGGGCCTATGGTCGCTGAATGCGGAAATAGATAGACCACTCGGATCAGGGGGTAATATATGCTCCTGAGGGGTATGCGGTGACATATGGTCAATCGATTTGTGATGGAGTGGGCTTGCTATAGGTAGTACATTAGTATCTTGTCAAAACAATATAAGCTTAGCTAAGAGTACTTACAGCAAGGACCAACGCCACCATTTTCAAACATTGATCCCGGAGTATTGCTGGTGTTTAGCTGGGTTTGCGAAAGAGAAAATTGAGACGCGGAAGATCCAAAGGTTTGCTTTGTTGGAGTTGGAGGTAAGTCAGAGTCCATTGCATTTTGAGTGTCGTTGCCTGCGGAAGGAGATCGATATTGAGAGTCGTCCTCGCCATCAATACTGACAAAGCTCCCTCGTCGGGAAGGCGGAGGTTTTATAAAATTTCGGCCAAAAATTCCCATACCCTTAGGTGCCCGGGGCTTGCTAGTAATAACAGAAGTGTTTGTAGGTGTCCAAGGTGAGCTGGAAGGACCAAATGGGAACTTATCGCTATCAAAGGACTGGGAAAAGGGTTTGCGAGTGGGTATAAACGAAGCCCGTTTGCAAGGAGTGTCAGGCATATTTTTGCCGCCAAGAGGTGGGTTGAGAACATCTGCCGCATTTCGATTTTTCTTCGAAATCAAGCCAGTAGAAAAAAATGCAGCAGGAAGAGGTTTGACAAATCTATAGCTTTCGGGCGTTGCGAATGAAGCTTCGGAGCCATTTGACTCTTCGTGTTGTAACCGGCTTGAAACAAGGGGCTTTGAAGATCCAGCCGGCAGTGATTTGGAAAAATTTAGTATTGGCCGCGGGCTCAGAGGCCTTGCGGGTCCTGGGGCATGGGTTGGAGAATCATCAGCAAGACTTGAGTCTGACGACGACTGAGTTATGGTTCTTGAGAGGGGATGGGCACTGAGGGTTGGCTGCGCGAATCCTGTAAATTGGACAGGGGCTGGAGTTGATGTGTTTGTAAAAATACTGCCTGAAGGCGTAAAACTATCACGCTTCAAAGGGGAAAAGATACCGTTATCTCGCACCCCGGAGGCGTTGTTGCGGAGGGCTGCTGGAGTCGAGACTTCTGGGCTTTGATCAACATTGCCTTTGCGGAACAACTGTCTATCATTCTGACGTTGTTGGAGGGTGGACTTCCTCAATGATGAGGACCTTTTGGGAACGGTGGAGAATAGGGAAGGGGATTGTGGGAACAATGACCCAGTTGACTCGTGTTCCTTTGCTTCATTGGAAATGATATCTGGCGTATTGGCAGCATGTTCGAAAACGTCAAATTCAGAACCGAAATTAGCGCCATGAAGACTCCTTCGTTTGGGCACCGGGCTCCCACAACTTGCTTGATCTAGATTCATAAAGCCGTCGGTCCGTTTTAAAGGGCTAAGGGCACCAAAGTTGCCGCTGCGGCGTTTTTCTATCCGCGAGGGAGCAAGTTTTGGCACAGTCTTGTCATCGAAGTCTTCAGCAACAATCACGTTGTTAGGATTTTCGTAGGAAGTGCAGGAATCCATAGCTATCGCGGGCCCCGCCGGTTTGTTGTCGGAGTCTTCCTTTACGGCTTGGAATGACCCCGCATTACCATTGTCGCGCGATTCGGTTAGGGCTCGTTTTGCAGGGCTTAGGGGCATCGTTCTTAATCTTGACGACGATGACAGGTTACCGTAGCGTCGGAGTCCCGGCCGATGGATTCTCGCGCTTGGGGACAGAGGACTTGCGACAGGTGGAGAAGTTGTTGATGAAACGAAAAGCAGATTCCCTGGAGAAGATCCTCGTTTGGATTGCGAAAGAGAGGAGAAAAACTGGCCGGGTTTTGCGGGAGAGGAATGTAGTCTTGATGGGGATAGGATTCGAAAATCGGCTCCCTTTGAAGGGGATCTAGATAGAGAGCGACGAAGCTCGTTGAGGGCAGAGTTTGTGTGGGTATGGTGAAGGCTAGATGGTGAGGGGAAATGAAGAGTCCCGCCCGCGTCACGGTGCGGCGAGAACGAAGCCACCATTGTTGGCTCCGCCAGCTTGAGAGGGAAAGTTGCGCTGATCGTGGAAGGAAAGTTCGCTACCGTCGTTCTGTTACAAATCGATCCCCTATCGCAGGGTGCGTCTCTAAGAGACAAGAAACAGATAGTTCAGTGGCGAAGGCGTGGGAATGAGAAGCGTGTATCCTCCTGAATTCTTGCTAACCTTCTGGAGTGCCAGGGTGAATTTGACGGAAACACGGCAGGTGAGGAGAAAGCATGCGGTAGAGCAAAGGTGAGATGGAGAGAGCGCAGGAGTTATATATTAAAGGAACCGGGGTCGATGATTTCCTCCATTCGCGCCAACGTCGAGACGTGCCACAAGGGCAAACACACGTTGCAATAATAATGCCCAATCGCCCTTGATGTTTTGAACGAGCAGTGAGGCAAATTGGCCGGGAGTGGGCGCCAGGCGAGAATAAGCGCGCGCGTTGTTTGGTTGAAACGGGGACGACGGGTTGAAACAAATCGTGCAGCAGATCTAGGATGGCTGTTGTTGCGAGACTCGACGCGCGCGGTTGGGCCGATGCGGGCGCGTCGCGATGCCGAGGAGATAAGATAGCGGCGGCGGGACAGCGTGTGTGGGATGGGAGAATGACAGCGGGCGAACGGACGGGTTGAGACTCAACGGCGACGATGAAGACGGTGGTGAGGATGGAGGACGGAACAGGAAATCTTGTCGAGGACGAGCGGGCAGTCACGGGACGGGTCGGGCGAGGCAGCAGGCGCTGTTGTGGTTGCCCGCTTCGGAAGGAAGTGGGCAGGCACACGCGCACGCGTTTGTTATGACTCGCCCGATACGGCTAGCGGCGCGGCGCGCATGTTTGTCCTGTTTGTGAGTCTTATCCGAATCAGGGCCCACATCGTCGTCGGCATGACATCATTGAATTCTTTTAGTCTAGTATTTACAAACAAATCTACTCAAAGTACATACTTGCGCAATGGTGCCGTTCAGCCCGGCCATCTAGTCCTTTTCTTCCCGTCTAGTAGTCCTGTATATGTCAAACAACTCCTGCTTCAATTCACCCATAATGGCTTCGGACAGGCCAATATTAATCCGTGTCTCTGGGCCAAAAATACCGACATCTAATGAATTGTGCCTGATGGCTGCTTCAACATCGATCGACGGCTAAATGACGCGGATGAGTACTCCGTATTTGTAGAGGACTGGGTTTAAGGAATTATTTCTAAGCCACTTACTTTAAAAATACGCCGAGATTCTGCTTCATTATCTTGGGTTCTATGCCCTCCACTAATCGCCTCCAAGTGGAAGGTTCCTGGCTCTCTTGGCATACCTTTCGTCATATCCGTTTCTTCAAGTAGCATAAAACTGGACAGCTCATTGCCGTCATGACTTATTGTGGTATCTGGGTATCTGAGAAAGTTAACAATCACGTCTAGCGTCACCCCAGTCCATTTTGCAATTTCATTCAAGGAGACGCATGAATTCTGGATATTGCTGATGCTGTGTATATCATGCTGGATAGATTGAGCCAGCTGAATAGTAGCACAGCCTCGCGGATTTTTGATATGCAGTGGGACAATATTCAGAGTCGGCGCTGCTAGCTCTAGGAGTCCATCCATTGCATTGGACCTATTGGCAAGGTAGAGGCCGAGTACCAAGCTTTCATGCGTGCTGTTTGAACAGTGAGAAAAGTATTTCATGTGAATTTTGGCGTATACTGCCAGGAATATGGATTGAATAGACACGCCATGGGTCCGTGCCACATTTTCCAGGTCTTCGATATCAGCAACGAGAGAAGGATGATAATTTGGCAATGTTCCTGGCCAATGAGAGGTCCTAGAAATACTAGATGGTGGAGTTTTATATTCTTGGCTTGCGCCTGTTAAGTATTTTGTCCAAAACGCCCTGCGGGCTTCAGCGGGTGAATTAGTGTGGCTAAAGGCAATGAAGTGGGATATGTCTTCCATAGCCCCAGACACCATGGATTTACCACAGCATGACATATAAAGTAGGTCTATAATCCGTTGCAGACTCACTGCATCGTACAACGCGTGGTGAATATGTAGCATCACGACTGTTTCTGAGCTGCATTGTGAAGCGTATAGCGTTACTAACCTCGAATTCCTTTCCGGCGAATGAAAGCGGTTTAGGGGATTTTTCAAATCATTTCTCCAGATAACTTGGTCGTTTTTGGATTTAAAAACGGCTTGCAAGTATGTCATATTATCATCGTCTGTCGAGATAAATTTTGTGCGGAGGATTGGGAGCTGGTGGATTACCTTATTCCAGCTGTCTTCCAGTTGCTCTTGTGAGACAGTTCCCTCTAAACGAAACATAAAATCTGGAAAGAAGAGTAGTCCGTTGGAATTTCTCCACATCTCCAGCATGTATACCTGTCCTGATGTTGCTGGAATAATGAATTCTAAGTCTTCCTCTTTAATATCATAATGTTGTAGTAGTGAGCCAAGGTATATCCCCTCCAACATCTTAGAGCATATTGACCTGATATCCAAGGGTTCTGAGTGGGTTTCAACAAACTTTGCTACCCGAGCCATTTTCTCAAGTGTACCAGCCATTAACATATCGCTGACTGGAAGTACAATCGACTCTTTTTTTAGCAATGATGAAACTTTGATTGCACTAATACTGTCAAGACCTATGTGAAATAATGTTGTATTTCTTGTAATTGAAGTCTCGGGAGTGTTTGACAATAACGATAGAACACGTCGAATTTGCTCTTGCATGATTGTCCAAGTTGTCTCCGGCTCTGAATTGACATTCAATTCGTGGGAGTCTTCCGGTTCTTCTGTGTCGGCTACAGAAAACGAGGAGCCGAATACGGAGACTTCATGCTCCCTAAAATCAACTGTCGGACTTTCAGGATTGTGGATAAGTTCTGCAAAGCAATATTGAACCTTCTCAAGTAGTTGGGTCGTTTCAACCTTGCTCAACGTTTCGCTCTTGCAAGCAACGCGCCAGACGACAGAGTCTTCAACTATTTCCAGTTCAACACATACTGGATATTCAACCTCCGCTAAGCTTTCGATAGACTTATATAGCCGCATATCTCCACCTGGTGGGCGCTTTTGCAACATGAATAAAGTATCAAATAAATCTTGGCTTCCAATTGCAGATAGGGCTTTCGCCTTTCGAAGAGGAAAGTGTTGATTCTCCAGTATACCGCCCAACATTTCTTGAACATATCGAAGCATATCGCGTCGAGTACCGTGAAGAATCCCACGAATAGCAACAGAATTCATTGTTGGAAAAATGATCTCTTCAGCGTCTGATGCATCTCTTCCCAACATCACAGTACCAAACACAACATCGAGCCGACATAAATATATTGCTAATACAACCAACCAACACGTAAGGCCCAACGTCTGAAGTGTGATCCCTTGGCTTTTACAAAATGCGAGGACAGTTGAGCTGGAGATCTCTGCAGTTGTCTCAGCACGATAAATTTCATGGGATATTCCTCCACTCCGCCTCGGAAAGGGTGCGGGTTTAATCCCTTGCAGGTACCCCTTCCAGAACTGCGAGCATGTTTCACTGTTAGCTGAGTTGACGATGTATTCTAGCACCCCGTGGTAGAGTTGTTGCTCGTGATCAGCCCCTGAGTAGTAGTATCTTGCAACATTCTGGTGGAAAAGGTCGAGTGACCAGCCATCATATAGCGCGTGGGCAATGGAGATAACCACAAATCGTTTTGAATCACTGTGTAAAAGGTTTAATCTAAATAGCGGACCTCCCAGGCCGCTATCTATTGCATGTCTTCTTTCTTTTTCAAAGATGGCATCAATTGACTGTTCGGCTGTCGCTGTCTCCATCCAATCTGTTTCGAAGCCCGCTGATCCAACGATCTGAACAAAGGAAAATGGTAGATTTGGGTTATAAAGTGGCATGAATGAGGTTCTGAATATCGGATTGGCTTCAACACCTTTCACCAATGCTTCTTTCAGCTTTTGGCTGTCAATATGAGGCTCAACTTCCAAGATATCGTGATTGTAGTAATGCATAAAGTCCGACGCTAGCATTTCTGCAAGCATGCTCTCTTGTAATGGCGTGGCAGGAAGTACATACTCAATATCGGAAAGATCGATACCATCACTCTCTAAACATGCACGGAACGATTTTTCAAGGGCCGTCAGTGATATGAGAGTTTTGTTCTTACATGTCGGAGTTGAGGAAAGTTCTTTCATCATAGACTTAATAGTTCGACAGTGCATTATCTTGCTAACTGGTAAAATGATTCCTAGTTTCTTTAGCCTTGACGACAACTTGATAGCATCAATGCTATCCAAACCAAGTTGGAGAATAGAAGTATTTTCATCTACTGTATTGTCAACGTTTGCCAGAATTGAGATTTCCCGGCGAAGCTGACAGGCATTGTTGCTCCATTCAAAATCGCCGGTGTTGTTATCCAAATTGCTGTTGACTGAACGGGGCTTCTCTTCAATGGGGTTTATGGCCGAAATAGCATCCATAGTAGCACACCCAGGGTAGGCCGCCATTGCTGTCGATGGGCTTTCTAGAAATCGCAGAAGGATGGTTTTGAACCGGTGAACTAGAGTGGTTGTATCATTGGCATTTAGAACGGAGCTCTTGGCTACAAGAGTAGCGACCAACAAATCATTTCCATGGTCTGTACACTCAAAAGCGATAGGGTAATCAGCCTCTGACTGGGAATCTGTAGGGCTCCATAGCAACCTTGACAGCTTGGTTGCGTCCTCAGAAGCCTTTTGAAATACAAATAATGCGTTAAATAAAGGATTATCGACACCTCGGCCCACCCATTTCATGATATCTCGGAGTGGTGTGTGTTGAAAGGGAAGAGTAGATATATGAAACTTATGGCAAGCTTGTATAAGATCCATGATTGATAACAGGGCTGGTGCTGAGACTGGGGCTGGGACGCAACTTGGGATAGTATTGAATAGCGGCCCAATAACGCTATCTACGCCATCGACATCCAGGGCCCTGCCAGAGGTTATCAGTCCAATTATAGGAATAAATCCAAAGTATTCCTTCAGTGCCCCAAGCCAGCAGCCATGTACTATAGCTTGTTCTGTAACACCAAGGTTTCGTCGAACCTCTTCAAGATTCCCTGTCACCATTTCGACGGTGGCATTATGAACCTTATCATTAAGTTGTTCGTCTGTAGCTATGAGTTTATGCTCGTCGATGGTTTTTAAATTCTCTGTCCAAAAATGTCTGGCGCCAGGGTTCTTGGCCAGCGGACCAAACGGCAAGATATCAATATAAGACGGTGTTTGTTGCCTCTCAATATCAAAATATGCTTGGGCAACGGTCTCTAAGAGGAGTGGAAGACTGATACCATCATATAAGCCATGAAACATATTCAGGCACATAACTGTTTTTAATGGCCCTCGAATAACCCCAGCTTCCCATATTTTCTCAGTGAAACTGCGAAAGGTCGAGCGCCACTCAGTATATCGGGTTTTTGAAACAGTCAAAACATCCGTATCACTTGTCTCAATGTTAAACCATGGGAAGGCATCGTCTTTTAGTACTACCTGTGCATGGCCGTCAACAGTTTCTAGAAATTTGGTGCGTAAAATTTGAGTAGTGCGTTGTGTTTTGCGCCAGGATTCCTCCAAGTGCCAAATGTCGACGTTTAATTCTAGCTCAAATGTAAAGTTTGAAAGATACATCCCTTGATTTTCAAGGAAGCTATATATCATCCCGTCTTGTAGTGGTGTGCTGGGTGCTATAGATTCAATAGTACTTGGGTTGATATGAAGCTCCGTGGACAATGTGTTTAGATGTTTGTGTGCAAAAGCCGAAACTATTTGTTTAGCAACCCGATACAGCTGCTGGTGTTGCTTGACATGATCAGATTTGCATAACTCTTCTGATAGTACGGAGACAACCGGGTCTAGATAATATATGTGAGCCTTCTTTCCTTCAAAAGAACGATGTTTCTATACTCACGTTTCATGATCAGTGCTGGCCGAGCACTAGAAAAGCCCGCTTCCCTCAAATGCTGGGCTAGAGATATTGCAGAGATAGAATCTATTCCAAGCTGGAAGACGTTCGATAACAATGTTATGTCTGATACGTTGCATCGTGCCACCTGGGAAATAACCGACATAATTTTCTGAGTACCCGGTAGTAGGGTAGGCTGTGTTTCATTCTTGTTTGGCGAAAGACTCTGCATTTCACTTGGAGTCAAGCTTGAATAAATTTGCTTCAGTAACTTCCTTTCAATCTTGTTATTTGGGGATAATGGAAACCTAGTGAGGGGGATGATATGTGTTGGTATCATGTATCCAGGAAGAGCAAGGTGACAGGCTCTTTGAATATTACGCAGAATCTCCAAGGTATCTGATGTAGAGTCAATAGACACAGCTGCTTCATTTTTATATAGCTTTTGCCGCGTGATAAAAGTCACGAGCTGTTCTTTTCCAGCAGAAGGATGTTTTAGTACCATCGTTGCTACTTCTCCCTCCAACGCCGCACCAGATTTAATAACGTGATTGATTTCGTCAATTTCAAGTCTTTGCCCTCGTAGCTTGACCTGATCGTCTATACGGCCAAGGAAGCAGAAGCTATTGTCGTGGAGCAGTCGTACAAGATCTCCAGTTCGGTACACCTTTTCTCCCCACGCATCCATGTATTGGAATCTTTTGTCTGTTAATTCGGGGTTGTTTAAGTAGCCACGACCGACAAGCGGGCCTGATACGCAAAGCTCACCAACACCGCCCCTTAATACCGGAATATCTGTTCCAGGTATGAAAACATAAGAGCTGACATTGTCGAATTGAGGGCCGATATTTGAGGGCTTGTCAAACTGGGTGACCCTGGGAAGCATGGTACAGCCAATCGTCACTTCTGTTGGTCCATATCCATTATAAATTACTTGTTTCTCGCCCCAAGTATCTAAAATCTCTTGATTCAGTGCCTCACCGCCAGTTATAAATACGCCACGGCAAAGGGAAGGAACATCTTCAGGTCGAAGTAGGCGTGCCAGACTAGGGGTCAAGTCGATGTGTGTTATCCTGAGTTGTCTAATAGCCCCGGGCAAATCCTCAAAAAGAATATCCCTTGGACAAGCCGTCAGGCAAATCCCTGCACTCCAGCTCCAATATTGCTCTAATACACTGACATCAAAATGAAATGAAGCGAATTGGAGCCAGCGAGACGTTTGATCCCAGTGGCCAGCAAACAATCTTTGAAACGCAAGCATTGCTTGTATGGCGTTGTTATGAGTGATTTCGCAACCCTTTGGAACACCGGTACTGCCTGAGGTATAGAGACAGTAGCAAGTATCATCTCCGAAAATTTGATCTTCCAAAATGGGAGGTTCGCTTGAAAATCCATCTAGAAGACTTGGCTCATCTATGGCAATGACTTCTATACCACCAATTCTCATCAAGTCCTTTTTGTCTTTGGAGGTGCATAGGAGAATATTCGACCCGGAATCCTTGATGATAAATTCCTTTCGCGCAATCGGGGCGCCGGGATCCAATGCAACATATGCGGACCCTATTTTCATAATTGCAAGAATGGAAAAATATGCTTCTGGGCACTTGTCAAAACAGATGCCAATCAGCTTTGATTTTCTTGCGCCGAGCCGCATAAGCAGATTCGCAAACCTATTTCCTTGATCATTAAATTCTTTGTAGGACCAGCTTTTGACTGCCAATTTGTCATGAGAGTGTTGATAAGCAAATTCAAGAGCAGTTCTTGAGGGGTGGTCGTTGGCGTTCAACTCTACAAATTGGTGCAAGAGGCGAACAGGAGCTTCTATCAAAGTATCTTTTCTAGGAACTACCGACGAGAGTCCTCTATCTGCCTGCTGAAATTGAGTGCAATCTGAATCTGGGGAAAAGATGGTGTTGACTAGTAGCCAGTCAAGTTGATCGAGTAGTAGTTGAGCCTGACCGACAGGTAGAATATTGCTCTTGAATGTTACGCAAAACTGCAACTTGTCGAGTGTAGGAACAATCTCAATGGAAATGGGATACTATCGACTCTATTAGCTCTGAAAAACTTGCTCTCTGGTTGACTCAACATACATCGGTCACAGCCTCCTCTTGAACTATGTTCCAAGACTGCTTCCTGTCTGCGGTTGACATGAATTTCTGATAAACAAACAGCGTATCAAACACTGTAGTCTCTGCGTGTGCCATACGTTGAATTTTGGCTAAAGGAACATATTGGCCCTTGATTAGAAGTGCATTCATTTGCATTGTTCTTTGAACAAGCTCCATATTACTTCCTCGAATCTTGTAGCAAGAAGGAACGGTGGTAAGACATGGAAAGACAATATCATGAGCGTCAGTGGAGATACTTCTGCCAGATAAAACAATTCCGTACGTAATATCATATTCCCCAACATAAGATGCGAGTAGCCGTGCCCAGGCTGCCTGAGAAGCTGCCTGTAAAGTAATCTCTTTTTGAGAGCAAGCTTCAACTATACTAGATAAAGGCTTTGAGCAAGGCTGGGAGAGTACACGTACTTCAAGTTTATCAGTTCGAACAGGATTTAAATCAGGAAATTTTGTGACAGGCATATCTTTGCATATGTCTTCCCATATATTCTCTGTCTCTTTCTCCTCAGTAGAGCTTCTAGATAAAATCTTCTCTAAGATAGGCGATATTGCCGGTGGCCTCGGGAGTTTGGCACCATTATAAAGTTGGGAAACTTCAGATAGAATGATATTCAAAGAATGAGCATCGTAAAGCGCATGAAGAGCTGAAAAGCGGAGAATTGTACGATCAGACAGCGTCTTCACCGTTAAGTACCAAGCCGGCCGGAAAAGTTGATTCAGGTAGTCAGAGCCCTTTGGCACTGGAATCTGCTCTGGCATGTCATCAAGGTTTTCACATGGTAGGTCGTTCCATGGAAGCTCGAATGCTCCACATCGATAAGTAATCATCGCAAATGGCGAGTGTTCGTCGTTGACATGGCAGAAGCCTGTTCTAAGCATTTCATTCCGTTCGACAGTAGTTTTCCATGCCGTTTTTAGAAGACCTTCGTCCATAGGATGCGTAGATTCGAGGCACATGTGATTAAAATATAAGTCACCTTCCGAATTGATGAATAATGCTAGCATTCCAGCCTGGACTGTGGTACATGGCCGCACAGATTCAATTTCACCTGCAAGACCACCTAAAGTGTGACAAATAACGTCCCAATGACGGCATTCAAAAGACTTAAAACTTAATGGTGATTGATCCAGATGTATTCCATCTGAACTTGGTCGCCGAAGTCGAAACGCAATTTCAGCAATGCTTGGGGTCTGCGAAGAAATCAGAAACAACTGACTTCCGGGTAGGGCAAAGGAAGAAACATACCTCTAGTATATCACCTGCAGAAATCTCGTACCCCCTAGTCTTCAAAGTTGAGGCGATCTGTATGGCATTAATGCTATCAAGGCCCAGCCTGTAAATTGTGGTCTCAAGTCCGATGCTCGTCGTATTAATGTTCGATAAAGATGACACTAACTCTCTAACTTCCAATGCTTCGGCCGTCCAGATATTTGTGTTATCCAACGTACTCTCCTTCTCAGCATCAGGTTTCGAAATACAGATGAAAGAACGAGGTATACTGCGTAGCATACTAGTATCCACAGCCCTAGCGGATGGATATTTCAACGTATGGAGAATTGAATCCGTGTAGTCCTGAAGCATCTGATCCAGATCCTCCAATGGAACGTGAGACCCATCACAATGGATCTTGATTTCGAGTAAGTCTTTGCCAGTATCTGGAACGACCTCACAGACAAAGGGAAAGTCCATATCTCCATTTTCATTCACCAATCTCCATATAGCTCCATCTAGCGGCCGGGGGCTTTTCTGTAAAAGCAAAAGTGTATCGAATAAGCGTGAACCATTAGGAGCAAAGCGTTGTTGTATCTGCCGTAGAGAGGTAAGTTGATATGGGAGCACTTGTACTTTAGACTTAAGCAGTTGCAGCATAAGATCACTATTAATAGTGTTTTTGTCTAGTTTCACTCTCATAGGAAGGGTGTTGAAGCAAGGACCAACGATCCGCTCCGCTCCGTTCACAGGCAGGGACCTGCAGCTGGTAACGTGTCCAAAACAGACATCAGAAGCGCAGGAATAAAATGCCAACAATTTTGCCCATGCGGCCTGTAAAAGGCTGAGAATAGTCACGTTGGCGTCTTTGCAGGAGTTTATCACAGAAGAAAGCGGGTGATCTAGTTGGGAGCTAAAGGTGTGGAATTTCCGTTGCGTAGGGTTCCCCGCGCGAGGCTTGGGGGATGCAATGTATGTCGGGAAAAATCCATCTAAATAGTCTCCCCAGAAGTAATCCGCCGCCTGAGTGTCTGTTTGAATCATTAGCTCCAAATAGGAGTCAAATGCCACCGGTGGGGGCAGTTCTTTGCCCAGCATAACATCTTCAACTTCTTGAAGTAGCCGCGCCATTGCCTCGCCATCATACAGGGCATGGTGAATAAAGAGGTGTAGTTGCGTTTCGCTTGTAGTGGCATTGTAAAGCTCTTTGAATATATATGGCAGTGTTGTTCTGTCGTGGTAAATCGCCGAATGCGCTAGGCTTTCCTTGGTATTATCTGAATCCGCATCAGAACACTTCAAGCGGGTCCAAGGTAACTCTGCAGTGTCTAAGACAATTTGCGCAAATGCGAACCGGGCGTTATCTGTTGGCAAGAAATATGTTCGAAGAATATCATGCCGTGAAACCATGACTTTCCAAGCGGATTTCAAATGGGAGACATTCGCCAGAATGTCAAAAGTCAGATGATTGAAGTACGACGTGGAGTCAACGGATGAAAACTTTGATAGCATTGCTTCTTGTAATGGAGTGCATGGCAGAATCTTTCTGATTTCTTTGCCCTGTTCTACGTTGCTTTTCACTTTCTCAATGAATTTTTCAGAAAACAGTTTTCCCAAAGAGGGAAGATCATGCTGTCTGATGATATCGGTGCTGACTTTTGAGCTAATAGCTGTCACGAGACGGGAAACGGTATCGTTTTTCATAATAACCGAAACATCTACCTGACCATACCCAGCCGATTTCAGCAGCCTCGAGAACGGTATTGCTGAGATGGAGTCCATACCCAAGCGATAAAACGAGGAGTGACGACCAATTAGTGAAGGGGATGTGTTGGTCACAGAGGCAATAAGTTGAACAATTTGTGACTCTGCCTCTGAAAATTCTTCAGTGTTGTCTGAAATTTCTGAATTATTCCCGAAGAGATCTAGATACTCAGGGGCTAACTGAGAAAATCTATCCACCAAAGCATTCGTATTGACTTTGCCGTTGACTGTCATAGGTATACGTTGTATCGGTAGGATAAAAGAAGGAATCATGTATTTTGGCAGTATTTGGGAAATGCTGTCGAAAATTTCTCTAGAGAAAGATGCTGAGTACTCCGACCCCTTAAGGACGCAGTCGCTATTTTCAGGAGTAGGTACCCAATACGACACTAACAGTTGATTCCCACTGGACTTGTAAACAAAGGTTGTACAGCTTTTTACAAGAGGATGTCGGAGGATAGCAGTGTTTATCTCCCCTAGTTCGATGCGTTGCCCTCTGAGTTTGATTAGATCATCTCGACGGCCTGCAAAGGCTAGAGAACCGTCAGGAAGCATGCGCCCATAATCTCCAGAGCGATACAATCTGCCATATTCCGCATGCTCAATAAATTTTTCTTTGGTGAGATTTGGCATATTCAAATATCCTAAAGCCTGGTATTATATTAGAATTTATGTCTCTTTTTATGTTTCCATGGATGATAAGAAACTTACAACTTGAGTACCTCCAAAGCAGAGCTCTCCAATAGCACCTTTAGGCACAAGAGAGAAAGATGATGGTGTATCAGAAATAACGAAAGCTGATGTATTTTTGAATGGCTTTCCGACGTTGCTCAAGAAATCCACTTTGCTCACACGAGGTTTGATGGTACAAATGTTCGTTGTCTCGCACGGACCGTAACCTAAGTGTTTGAGAATTAGCAAAAATAGCGAATAATAACAGCCGAACCAAAGGACGTCTTTGATTTACCCTGATATATCCCAACACCAGCCCACTCCTGCGCTACTCCTGCAGTCAAGGCTTCGCCAGCAGTAACTAAAAACTGAACTTGGGGGACGTTCTGAGGCTTGATAAGAGAAGCAACTGTGGGAGTAAGGCTGAGATGTGTGACATTGAATATGCGAATGACCTGTTCAATATCCCGAAAGAGAACATCGTTTGTTGCTGAACACAGGGTCATTCCCATGGCCCACGTAAAAAATATTTCGAACACGGAGACTGGCAAGATTAGTATTGTTATGATGGACTGAGTGTCCGTACTGACCATCAAAAGCATGGGAGCATGCCTGGAGCAATTTGGATCCGTTAGAGGTGGGGTATATTTCGGACAGGACAGCAATGTTGTCCCTCATATTATCATGGGATACCAGGACACCTTTGGGCACACCTGTACTTCCAGAGGTAAAAATGACATATGCGATATGTTGGCCTTCGTTCTGAGGTATAAGCTTGGAGGGAGTAAAGCCGTTCAGCGCCATACCATCGGAATCAAGAGCAATAATATCGTTTAAGGATTCTAAGTTAGCCAGGAGATGGGAAGTAGTGATACAAACATAGCAACTTGCCTCAGACACAATAGCATGCACCCTTTGAACGGGAGTTTGAGGAGTCAAAGGCACGTATCCGGCACCAGTGTCGATGACAGCCAATATGGATATATAAAGCTCAAGTGACTTTTCTAGATAAATGCAAACTAATGATCCGGGTCCAACCCCCAGCGTACGGAGTCGATTTGCAAGACAGTCAGAACGCGTGAGAAGCTCGGAGTAAGATAGTTTTTGAATGCTGATGGTACCCATGTCTGCATCGAACGCTTCTAGGAACTCCACAGCCGTTCTCGAAGGATCGAGAGCTGCGACCTGCCTGACTCCATCCGAAAGGCTAGGGAGGACAGCAGTACTGGTGAAGTGAGCATTCTCCGTAGACAAACATGATAATGGAAGATGTTCGTTTATGTCCTTGAGATTGAGGTCTGGCTTGTCAATAAAAATGGAAGCTAAATTTTCCAGTTGTTCAAATAGGATATTAACCTGTGACTCTGGTAGTGTGGACTCTTGGTAAGTAGCCTTTGCGGATAGAACACCATTTTTGATATCGAATTCTAAAGTGAGGCAAAATTCTAAAGCATCGGCCGATGCGACTTCATCCAGAATATCTGGTGAAACATGGTGTTCATTCGCCGTGTCCTGCCAGACAAACAAGGTGTCAAAGAGCGCTACGCTTGGGTGGAGTTTCGATGCCGCCTTTATGTCGCGAAACGGAAGAAGTCCATGAACAAGCGACCTTCTATTGAGACTATGAAGAGTGGCAAGTAAGTCCTGGATCGTTCGAATTTTTTCCAAATTGATGCGAATTGGAAGCGTGTTAATGCAGGGGCCAATGATGTCCTCAATACCGTCCACAGGAACTGTGCGACCTGAAGTTACAGAGCCAAAAACAACATCTGATATTCCATTGTATTGTCCGAAAAGAATTGCAAGGGCGCCTTGCAGAATCGTTTGACGACTGATATGCAAATCACGGGAAACGGCATCCAGGCATGAAATATCGACATCCAGCCTACGTTTTGTTGACCTCAATCTGCGGGGTATATCGCTGTGTTCCTGAAAGTTGGGCCATACTGTAGGTGAAACATCTTCGAGGTGGTCTCGCCAATAATCAATGGCGTCTATCCTTGCTTGCGATTCGAGAAATCTGGAAACATGATCAACAAAGAGTCGATACTGCGGTCTTTGTTTGCATGGCGATTTAGTCAAATGAGTCTGAAGATCGGCCGTAATATGCTCCCAGGACCATCCATCGTAAATGGCGTGATGAATGTGGACGAGAGCACGGATCCGGCCGTTACGCGCTTGAAGTTCAACCAAAAGAGGACGCAGTAAATCATAATGAGTATGGAATGCCAAATCATATTGAAACGTGTGACTTTCAACAAACGCATCTTCGTGAAGAGATTGCCAAACGATCTGTGCATATGTATGTCCCTGAACATTGGTCTCCACGAAACCTGATCGAAGGATTTCGTTTTGTGCAGCAATGAGAGAGAATGCACTACGTACGTCAGACAATGATATTTCATGCCCAAATTCCAATTCGACCCAATTTGAATATGGTCCTTTGATTCTCATGGATTCTGCGATCATAGATATCTGCATTGAGCTGCACGGCAGCACTTCATAGGATACTGAATGGCACCCCAAGGACCGTATGGCGGCATTTGCAGCTTCAACAACATTGATCCATGGTTCAGAAGCTGAAATGGAGATTGAGCCAGGGTCTTCTTTAGAAGGAAGAGTCTTCGCAATTTTCGCTATGCCTCGAATTGAATCCGCCTCCAGTATATGTGACACATCAAGATTCAGTCGCATGTTTCGCAGGCTCGAGGCAAGTTTGATCGCTTTGAGAGAATCAAGACCCAGCATCGTTAAACTTTCTAGGGGATCTACTGGAGATGATAGAATTTTGCCAGCACAGTCAGCTATTTTGCGTTCAGTCTCCGAACTGTACTTCGAGGGGTTAGTGCTTTGGAATTGCTTAGAAGCAGAATAGCTCTGTTCTAAGGCTTTTCTGTCAATTTTTCCTGATGCTAGACGTGGTAAGGTATCCATAGGAATAATATCACTGGGAACCATGAATTTCGGAAGCCACTTTTGACATATTTTTCGTACGGCTCCAGGGCCCGAGCCTCCGTCTTGTGAGACAAAGGCGACGAGAATGCCATCCACGACACAAGCGGCAGCGCTCACAATACCGGGCGCTTTGAAAATGGCGCTTTCAACCTCCCCCAATTCCATACGTTGGCCTCTAAGTTTCACCTGTCCTGATGTCACCCGACCAAGACATTCAATTTGACCATTGGGATGAAGTCGAGCTTTGTCGCCGGTTCTATAAAGCCGTCCATATATTTGGCTCATAATAAATGCTTTCTGGTTTTCCTCCGGACGATTGAGATACTCAGTTGCGAGTTGTAACCCTCCGACAACAAGCTCTCCGATGCAACCAACTGGAAGAACTTCTGGCTCCCCACTCACAGAAGGCTGTATAGGAATGATCAAAGCAGAGACAGATTGAAGGGGCGTACCAATGTTCCCCACACGCGAGCCAGTGGATAGCTTCGGGGCAATGGTGCAATGTATTGTGGCCTCTGTAGGCCCGTACATGGCATAGAGAGCACCGTTATCTGAGCTCGAAAAACCAAACTCATCAACAACCCTCCGCGTTAACATTTCACCAATTGTTAATAAAAGTCTCAGAGATGGCACTGCCTTTCTTTTACGGAGTAACTCCCCAGCCACTGTAGGGGTAAGCTCAGCGGCATCAATTTCCAACTCAGTCATCACGCCAATCAAATCATTTAGCATCAAATTGCGTTCGCAAGCCACAAGAGTAGCACCTCTAAAAAGAGGGAAAAGTATTTCGAAAACAGAAACATCGAATGTTGGGGCAGCAAACTGTAAAAATCTTTTAAAATGTGGGATGTGCTCCTCGTGGGCTAGAAGCGCCTGGGTTGCAGCATAATGTGAAAGAGCAACACCCTTTGGCACTCCCGTGGAGCCTGACGTATACATTACATATGCGAGGCCTTCGGGAGGAATATAAATATCACCTTCTGCCCCTGTACCACCATAATCGCTGGTTTCATCATCAATGGCAATAACAACAAGCGGCCTTTCAACACCAAAAAATGTTCCAATTAAACTTTTCAACGTAACGACGCAGTTTGCAGCGACATCGTTAACGATGAAGTTAACGCGGTCTGGGGGAGCATCTATGTGCAGGGGGCAAACTGCAGCTCCGGCCTTGAGGATGCCTAGCCAAGTAATGTATAACTCTGGCGACTGGGGAATTAAAAGGGGAATTATTGGGGTGGTAGGTGGCGAATATTCAAGTGAGTTCCGAATGCGCGACGCCAGGTGCGAAGAACGAGCATGAAGTTCATCATAACTAAGCGTATACCGGGTTCTATTTTTATCGAGAAACTCCAAGGCCAAGTTTTCTCCGCAGCGTTTCGAGACCATGCCATGTAAAAGGGATGGGCCTTGTATCGAATGTGGCTCGGGATTCACAACAGAGAGCTCAATATTATTAGATGACAATTGAGAAGAGGCCGTAATATTGGACTCAAGCTGCCTTGCAAGTTGCGCAAGATAAGTATTTGCGACACCGCCGGTTGATATAATATATCCATTGCCCTGCTCTAACGAACAGCTCACTGCAAGGCTGCAGTCTTCGGGGGGCGTGGCGGACTATATTTCTAGTCAGTCACCAAAGTAAAAAAGTAAATAGGGTAAAAAGCCATGCATCAACTGCGAATACTCCGGTGTATCCAAGTCCCTTTTGGCTGATCTCGGCAATCTTCACCCTTTCAAAGCTCCTCTTTAACAAATCGGTTTTCACAGCATCTCCATTTAAAGAAAAGACAGGGGTATCATCTCCGGTCAGGATTTGAAGAATAGCAGCCCATGAAAAGGCCACATCATCTAAGCTGAGCCCCGAAGTGCCACTGTTCCAAGTAACACTTGTCGACCGTAGGCTGGAACCCTCTGCATAGTCGAGTTGTGGGAAGGACGTATACATGTTCATGATTTCTTCATCCATGTTTAGAGCTCAAAAAACAATACACGCAAGGTTGCTGGGCTGCAAGAAACGTTTGGGGATCAACCTCGGGGTTTTTGGGGGGATAAATAAAGGGTTTTATTCGAAAGGAGAACGAAAAAGATCAAAAGCAGGAATGATTGCAAGAGTCCCGGCGACTGATGAAGGAGGTAAATTAATCACAGGCGTGCAATTCGTCCAGTTGCACATCAGCCATTACTCCACGCTTGGCTTGCAAATCACCTGGTGCTTCAAGGGCGCGACCGGACGTTCCGACTGGTGAACGCTCGGCAGGGATAAACGCAGGCGACGCAGTGGGCGCTTGCACCCATTGATTAGTAGAGCTCTTATCAAGTATGTAGCGACGGCGACACTCATGGGCAAACGGGGGGCATCAAACTAAACCTTGGAAAAGAGTGAAGCTGAAACACACCCACGGCCTGGGGACAAGAGAAGGAAATCAACCGCAAGAGAGACTCAGTGGAAAGGCCATTTTCAAATTAAGCCCAAGAGCCCGCATTGCTTTTCCCATGAGAATCAGGGAAGCGAGCTGCTAAAATAGCGAAGGCCAGGAAGTTTAGAGGCGGTCGCGGATGAGGTTCCGAATTCCGGGTGTTCAAGTCCCGACTTTAGGCACCGGATCTAATCTTATCTCGCACCTTTTCTCGGCACGGAGCGTCTGGCCAAGATAAACAACCGCTTGGGTCGGTCACCGGTGGCGCCCGAATTGTTTGGATACCGAGTACCAAGGACTTCGCCGTTATCGTGGAAATGAGAAATGCGTTTTTTACGCCAGCAGATATCACGCCTGTTTCGGCGGCCATTGACTCCGCGGGTATTTTCCAACATTAATTTCAAACGAATCAGTCCAAACCAAAAAATTGAGGAGGAAACATTTTTAGACTATTCACCCACTCGATATTACCCTGTTCGCATTGGAGAGGTCTTTGTGTCGCGATATCAAGTGATCGGAAAGCTCGGGTACGGTGTTTCCTCCACTGTTTGGTTGGCCTTGGATCTAAAGTATGTGAATATTCCTGCCTTCAATGCCGCCCGTGAACTTTAAGACAGATAAATAACATACCTGCGTTCTAGCCAGCATTATCATGTTGCCTTAAAGGTCTTCATTCGCTCACAGACCATAGGATTCAAAGCAAATAGTGAAATAAATACTTGTATTTGCTCCTTGATTACGTTTCTGACATGAAGTTATAGCTATGGGATATTTTCGAGGGTCGAAATCTATTTTCTAATCCAGAACACAAAACCTATGACAGCCAGACCCATCTCGCCAGCATCATCGGACTGCTGGGCCCGCCCCCGCTAGGTCTTCTAAAGCGTGGAACAGTGAGCGCTGAGTTCTTCACTGCAGAAGGTACATATGCATAAATCCAACCCAATATTGAATCTATGTACTTACCATTTTGCAGGAAAACTTAAGGGTGGGATTGAGCTCCCACCTGCCAGTTCATTGGATCAGATAGAAGCACGTTACCAGGGACAGGATCAAGATTTATTTCTGAAGTTTGTAAGAAAAATGATCCAGTGGGCACCAGACAATCGCAGTACAGCCAATGAACTTCTTCATGATGCATGGTTAAATTCAAAACTCTAAGTCATACATACTTCCTGAAGTGATAAAAGATTTCATAGAAAAATAGAAAGAATTTTGAATGGATACTCAAAGTGTCTTAGTTCGACTATTTATCTCTCCTCATCGAAGGGACAACTATTGACCGAGCCTTCTATGCCTTGACCCTGGCCTGTGATCTTCATACCATCTTTGGCAAATGCTAAATCTTTTTCGAGCCCGCCCCTAAGTAAGAACAATCCTACCAAATCAAAACCTTTCTTCCTACTGCTGCTCTGCCAGAATTTCAATTTCCAATTATCCGCACTTTACCTCTCACTGATCAGCCCATTGCCCCCCCACTACCCCAACTCCTTGCTCTACACAGAGCAATTGCATATACCCTCCATTTTCCAGTCGTAGGAGAGCACATTGACAAGATACTTCAGAATGTGGAGGAGCTTGGGGTACCAGATATATAGAATACCATTGCAGTCAGAAGGGAATAATGCAAAATAAGAAAAACTAGGGTCAAACCCTGGTCACATACCTCACTGCCTACCTTCATATTATACTGACAAGTACAGATAAGATCTGAAGCTGATATGAGGTTTAATAGCATAGGTGTAGACTTTGCTACATGAGGATGACAATATTTTACCAGAACTCACTATCTGTTTATAAAGTGACTGGGATGTGATTTTGCTAGTGCAATTAATTTTGAGGAAATGACCAGAGAATCGTGCGGCAGTCAATCAAAGCACTAATAAAGACAACTGTACAAAAGGTTCATGATGAAAGATGCATTAATAATTGGATTATCAGTAAATATTCTATATCAACATATTCTTTGCATTTTCTATTAGTTGATGAGGAATAAGTAGATCGGGGTTGCTTTATTTACATTACTTTATTCTGGCAGGTATGGAATAGAAGGGTAAAAGCCACTACACTCAAATCTATACAAGGAATAAAATGTCCGACATTCTCAAGTCAGAAAGAAAGCGAAGTATGCAAACCCACTTCTCTGACACAAGATCCAGCCGAAGTGCCCCACAGCTCTCCTGAATGGTTGTAGACTTCGCTCAACCTCTTCAAATATTTGACCATGGCCAGAAGGTAAGGTGTAGCTATAACTGGTTAGAACTACAGTCTAAGTTTACAAAGAGATGAGTGCTGTCTGGGCAGAAAGCATGAGTTAATTAGGCATCCACATCTGGTGATCTCAATGGAGAATCCAAACAACCGAGGTAAACCACATCGCATAAATAAATGCATTTCCATAGTAGCTATTTGTAAATTAGACTTGGGTCTCAATATCATCAGTCGCAACGCCTCTATAAACCATTCCTGATTCTCCTGTTCTAAGTCTCAATGGGGTCTCGTACATGCGGTTGTAATTTACCAATTCACCATTCAGCATTGCGGAACCAGGGTCTCTCCTTCGAAAATATGGGGCGGGATCACACCAAAAATCACGACAATTTGTGGCAATTCCATATGAAAAGGGGTTGCGATAGCGAGCTGCTCGTCGATCTCTGAGGCCTTCTTGAGCAGTAGCCATGAAGGTATCCAAGCCCAGCAGTGTCTTCCATTGAGAGAAATAACCGCCATGCCTGTGGCTATGCTGTTTCTGACCCGACGAAGTTGGCAAAGAACTGGCTCCTGGTGCCGCGGAAACACCACCAGTGAGAATAGCAGATGTAACAGCGCCGGTGGCTGGATCAGCATATTCGATTGAATGCCCTTTCATATTCTCGTGAGTTGTTTGATTACGGGATATTTGAACAAGCTGTACGACACATAACATAGTCACCCAGACTAGTTGAAGCGCTGTCCAGACTGTGAGGAGGATAGTAAATGCATCTCGTTTGATAATACCACATAATGATGGGGATATAATGTTACATTCCGTTCCAGAAGGTGTGGGCAAGGTGTCAATGTCTGTACACGCCGGTTAGTTTAAATACAGATTCTGTAGAATAAAATAAGAAAAATGAAAAACTTACATGCAAATATGAGTCGAATGAAAAGAGTGATCCCAATTTCCAAGGCAAAAATATACAAAACGAAGTGACGCAAGTTATTCGATCCCACACAGTTATCAATCCAGGGACAATGACTACATCAAATGAGTAAAGGCCACATAGTGTAAGCAAGAAACACTCACTGGTCATATTTTGAAACACAACGCTTGCAGCGTCGGCAATGCTTGCTCCTTAGAGGTTTTCTAATCAAACAAAAAACACAGAAATTGTCGTCATCAAATTTCCATATGCCCAAGAGATCCATTACAGTGGTCTTTTGCTGGTTTCTGCTAGAAACCTTGGGAACAAAACCTGGGTCTTCAAGCATAGATAGGAAATAGAAGTAACCAGTGAGCGTTGCAAATATAGCAAAAGAGAAATTATATAACGGAAAGGAGGAATAGGTGTCTAAGAGAAAAGTCAGTATCAATCACAGGATGTTCAGATGGGGCATTTACATGGAAGGACTCTTGAGAGCCACTGGACGCCAACCCAGAATAATGAGCCTGCAAACACACCTGCTAGAAACGGCTGATTGTATCATCAGTTTCTAAATCCACGAGACATGGTTGGATGTGTCATTGGAGACATACTGTTCTTTGAATCAAGCGGAAATCGGAAATGCTGCGACTTGCTACCCACTGAGCCACCCACTGCATGCCAAAGATGCAAATAAGCACTAAGGGTATCGAAATAAAAATAGAGAATTCACTCAGAATCCAAATAGCAATATAGATTATAGTAAAGGGCCAAAGAAAGAAAAACTTAGAAACATATCGTCGCGTTCGTAAAATCGGGGCCAGACCAAGTGGTAGGTGTGTTACATCGCCATTTGGTTGATACCCAGATTCGCTTAAGGCTCGATGCCAGGCAGAAACTGTTTTCATTTCCTCTGCTACAGTTCCCGGCGTCTTTCCATCGCGCGTTTTCGCATACCGATCAGCGCCGTACTCCAGGATTTTGTAAATACACGGCGCAGAACCTTTGACCAAAGCCCAGTGAAGCGGTGTAAGCCCACCCTCGTCGGCAGCATTTACATTTGCTCCCCATCGAAGAAAAAGGTCAACGCATGCAGGAAATCCTTTGTATGCTGCCCACATCAAGCCCGTGTGTCCTTGAGGGTCAGCCACGTCTACTGGAATATCTTGGTGTAGCAGGAGCACAAGAAGGAAAGCATTGCCATCGATCGTTGCTAGATGTAGGATATTATAGCCTTGGGCGTCCGTCAAGAGGGGGTCTGCTCCATACTGGAGGAGGAGATTTACGATATAATAATGACAGCGCTGGGCGGCCCACATTGCGGGCGTGGCAACAGATTCGCCACCTTTCGCATTTGCATCCGCGCCGGAATCTAGAAGGAATTTGCAGAGCTCATAGCGATTGTTGATAGCAGCCCACTAGATAGCATAATGAACCAACGCGATTGATCAGCAAAGTCCATTTGCACAGAAGTGTGTTCACGAACATGAAGAGGTGTTATGTCTTCCTCGTCCCGGTATTTCACATCGTATTTCCCCTTGTCAAAGAGCTTCTTAATAGCTCCTATCTCCCCCAATCTCGCAAGCTGCATAATATCCTCCTCGATCGGTGGGACTCCCGTGCTTCTGTTACTGGGGTTAACATCTTTCAACTCAACGCCATCTTCCCGGAGCATATGTTGGAGCGAAACATCGGAGTCATTACTGGAACTCGACGAAGTAGCTGAACCCTGGTCATTTGGGCCGCGCGACTCTTGTTTGGGTGGTAAGGCAGGCATCGGCAATCGGTATCATTCGTGTGAGGGGACAAAAAATTCTTCCGGTTTTTCAACAGGTGGGTTTCTTCATAATTATCACGGTAGCACTGCGTAAAGGAAGACCGCTAGCAAGAATGCAAGCCAACGGTAAATAATAACCGCTTGCGCTGCAGATTTGAACGGAGTTGCACTCTGGCTGGAAGATGCCCCAGCCAAAGCCAATAAGAATCTAGCTTGCTTTAGCCGCGTTCTAGGCTCCCACCAACTAACTACGTAACTACGTAACTACATAACGAACTACGGAGTATCTATTTGAGAAACCCCATCGAGCCAATCTGGAAGCTTTCCATGTCCATAATTCAGATAAACATTCTCGGAACATATTTCTGGCGGAGGGAGCATATGATATTGGCCAAGATAGTACTTACGCGGTAGTTACAGGGATTGGGACGTTCAGACCTGGCATTAAGTGCAACCTACATCACTTCCACCTTCTTTGCCTACAAATACGGAGTAGATCTCCACATAAGACCATAGTGGTGCAACTATAGCCTTGACCCCAAGGCTTTGCCATCGACTGCTACGCCTACCTCCTCTGCTTTGTGCCTAGAAAAAAGGCTCTCGGTGGGCCCATGGCATCGTGTGTTCACCCTTCCACAATCATACTCGAGGGGAAGGATGCATGCGAAACAAATTGCAACATTCTGAGTTGTTCAAGAAGGCTGCAAAGAAATGGTATAAAAGCTACCCCTCCGGCTAGCTGAGGACACCTCACAGTCGGGTTCATTGTTTCCACGGTTGAAATCCAATACCTGCAAAATGGTTCTGCTCCTCGCTATTGCATCTGTGGTTTTAATGCCGACTGCCTTGTTGGCAGCGACACTCCCAAGTGGCAGTTCAAGAATTATTGGTGGAACACCAGCTAAATTAGCTCAGTTTCCTGATCTTATTTCTCTTGAAGAGGGCTCTCGCCATGTCTGCGGAGGCATGCTTCTCAATGGAAGATTTGTTTTGACAGCTGCCCATTGTCTCATAGATAAACACAACCTCACTGTCCGTGCAGGAACTTTGGTAAGCCATCAAGAAATGGAACAAGACTATGAGGTATGTATGCATGCACATACTAACTGCTCACCTCTCACTAGGCACCACTGAAAGGAGGCCAAACAGCTCGTGTTGCGGCTACGCAGATACATCCCAAGTACAATGAGCAAACTTCTCTCGATGACGTTGCAGTGTTATATTTATCGAGTTCGATTCGTCAAAGCCAGACAATCAAATATTCCAAACTACCAGATTCTGGATCAGACCCGGTACCCAATTCCCTGGCTACGGCGGCTGGCTGGTATGTATTTTTGGCCTGCTTATTATGCTTTGTCGGAACCAATACTAAGCCCAAAGACAGGGGAGTCACTTCAACAACACGTTCTTATCAGCCCGACAAACTACTTTTTGTCTCAATTCCTATTACTAGCCGCTCTACATGTCAAGAATTGTATATGAAATTGAATATCAGCATACCCGAGGAAACGGTATGTTCCGGATATCAGGGCAGAGCTGCATGCGTTGGAGACAGTGGTGGTCCTTTATATGATGCAGCAACTATGGAAGTCGTTGGCATAACGTCATTTGCTCATTATTGTGGGCAAAAAGGGCCCCCGGGAGTGTATATGAAAGTAGCTTCATATCTCTCCTGGATTCATGATACCATGGGGCGGCTTCAGAGATGAGGTACAGCCATGAAAGAGCCACGTACGTACGGAAATCAAATTTAAATGAGGTATTGCATTGGTTTCATTTTTGCATTTCCTTTCGACCGGATTCCGGCCAGAATCTGATCTGCTCGTGTTTATTTCAAGTAGACGTTGAGTGCCTCGAATTCATCTGCCTTTGTTACCTGGCGGTGTACATATCTATATACATACACATACATGACATTCGGCTTCAATACCATCATCTTTTAAACGCAATTTTTATGACCTGGTTTATTCCTTCAAGAGCATACCAAAATTAGGGATATCTCTGAGGCAGATCTCTAGTAGATCAGCCAGATACCACGGCAGAACTTTCTGGCCACCCTGTGAACCTAGCTATTTCGTAAAACTGGAATAGTTTAATGAGAGCCACGACGAGACAAGATATATAAACACGGATTTGGTGCCAATTAGGAAATATCATGTTGTCATGTTTGATTTTGGCGCCGACAGTATGGAGATCTGAGCCATTGAGAGAGGCAAAAATTGTACTATTCAAAAGCCTCAGAAGCAGCAGAGAAGTCTCAGAAGGGTTGTCTTTAATCTACTATGGCACAATGTTTTGGAAAAGCAATGTTACAGCGTTCTTGGAATAACGAAATCTCTCCGGATAGGAGCTCATCGTTGATTTTAAGATCAAAATCCATCAAATAACAGAAGTTGATTTCAAGTCGCGTTAGCTCCGTTTCCGTTACACCTCCAACCTTAGAAAATCGGTTGTGAGAATGCTGAAGATCTTCAAGAGCCTTTGCTGCAACCCGTAGACCACCAAGAACGAGTCGATGCGCATTATTCGGGGTCACCAGTATAATTCTTTCAATGATAGCCATCCGAGTAATATACCAGCTTGTAGCCAGGTATACAGCGGTTGACATGGGACAGTATTCATGTAACCTGAGAAGATAGTGCTCAAGAGAAATGGCAGGTATCCGTTTAGTAGAAAACTTTTTCATCAGCGTCTCGTCGCGGTGAACTGTAAAATGATCCCGTCCGCAATTCTCAGTAGGAAGCTGTGGAGAGGTGTCTCCTTCACTCTTAAGTATTATTGCGCTAACGTGCAAGCAAAGTATGCCCAACGCCTCGGCCGGAGTAATGTCGGAAGGAAGGTTCTTAGCTGTCATCGGGGGTCGTAGTAAACTGGAGTTTTGGAAGAAATTGACGCAAAATGAATGAGGATATTCAAAGGATTGTGTGAGCCTCGCCACCACATGGTTGCCGGAACTTGGGAGAATCTAAGGATGACAAGCTCTTCCTCTCTCTGCAAGTCAAAATAATGGCATTTCAATCTTAGAGTGTATCCCCTTTGCTAACTGGTAATTTTGTAGGCCTCTTTGTAAAGTGATGAAGATGCCGTTCAAATTTCTTGAGCTGAAATTAGTCGGACGTCCAAAATTGCAGTCTATGAAGCGATCGGCCCAAAGCTTCTGTATTTCCCTCAGATACGAAGGCTGGGCGAAGAATTGAAAATGAGTGCCAGCTGCTAGGTAATGTGTTGTTCGCTCGCCGCAAAGGCCACGTCTTAGCTCGGTGAAGAGACCCTACCGCAGCGACTTGGCTTTTTTTATGCTGTCCCTTTGCATCGAATTAGTAGAGGTAATGATCTTGTCTTGAGGGACGGAAAAGACAAGTTTGGTAAGTAGTTAAGTTTTTAGGATGTTCAAGCAACAGATGGACAACATCGATTCGTTGGCCAACTTGCAAGGTTGCGCCAAGAAGTCCACCGCGACGTATCGCGAGACTTCTCCGCAAGGAGTTGCGGCCAGCACCGCCTCCCTATACAGCTGTTTACAAGGGACCTTCCATTCTAATGAGCTGGCTGTTTCTCCATACACCGCAGCGACTAATTAGTTGCTGAGAGGCCAAGGTCAGCCTGATATGACGGCTAAGAATTGTCTTTGATGACTAATCAGAATTAGGGCTTGGCGAAAGCGTACTCGTACAACCGCTAAACCGTTTTAGGTTCAACAAAAACAATGGGCGGACTGACACGGTTGGCTGGACGCGTGCAAATCGAAGCTCCCAACTCTGTCGCCGATTTTATTTCTCCATAGTGTCAATTTCTGACCATTGATCAAACAAGGATATAGCAATGCCTCGACCCCCGGCAAAGCGTGGTCGCCCACCGCACCAAAACGCGCTCTCCTCGACAGCCGGCGTAACGAAAAAGAAGGATATTGCGCAAACCGCGAAGACTACCACCAGCACAGCTTCAAGAAATACAAGAGAGAAAGAAGGACAGGATGGGCCTTCTATTGATACTATCATCCCGGCTACTCCGTCACAAGTACGCCATGCCGGGGTGGCACTTCGAGGCTCTACGAAAGTGAAGCGAAACCAGGCGACACCGCTTACAAGATGCATGCCCAGTAGCGAGGTAACGCCGTTGCAAACAGGAAGGGCCGCCCACCGGGGCCGCTTTTCTGCCGGCCCAAAGGCAATCGATACAGGTTCCTTAATTCAAAAATTAGGAACACCCGGCTTCGAAAGTTCAATGCTGAGTGCCTTCAGACCCCGACCGAGACAGGGAAGCATTCTACAATTAATGGCGGACGATGGATCGTCGGATTTCGACAACGATGAGGATTTTTTGGGAAGCTTCGAACCAGAGGATGAGTCTACACCTTTAAATGCTGGGAAAAGACAGACGCTCATGAGAGGTGATCTGAGAACTGGAGATATTTTGGTTGATGCTGTGGATACTACAGATGAGGGACGAATACCTGAATCTCCAACGAGAGCCCTGCCTAATCGCGAAACGACGTTATCTTCGCCTAGGAATTCAGACAAAAGAAACTTATTCGGTGTGCCGGTACTTGAATCGCGCGAGGCGCTCGCGAGTGACCGGGTGTATGGCAGCGATAATGACGGGAACACTGAGAATGGGATGTCCGAGGATGAGGATAACCTTCCACCTCCAATGAGGCGACATTCACCAAAGCTTTCCCTAGAAGCCTGGAGCCAGACTCTTGCTCCCCCGAAAAGCAGCAGCCCAATCGCTTCTCCTGCCATTTCTCCTGTTAAATTGGTTCAACCCGCAAAGGTACGTAAAACAAAGAAAACGGACGCTGAACAGCGGCTTCACGTCTCTACTGCTACTCTTCAAACGGATCTTATGCCACAAAGGCGTCGAGGAAGAAGGTTGAATGGCAGAGGTGAATTTGATGTGTTTGATGAGGATGCGAGCCGGAGTCCCTCTCCTGAAATGCGACCAGACGAGGACGAGTTGAGTTACCTACCTGCCCGTATAGGACGAAATACCTCGAAAAAGAAGCTCAAGGAGAATAAAACCGCCGTGAACACAAACAGGAAGGGAACCCAAAAACGGGCTGGCAATGCCAGAAGCGCGAAGGTAGCTTCGAAAGCACATTCGGGAGATCGATCAGGCAAAGCCCGTGTTACATATTCTCGGCGAAATGTCACAGACGAAGAGAATGATGAGGTTGAAGTAACAGATGCTGGAGGTTTTGGCGACGCCTCGACTGTGGACGACAAAGAGCCTTTTGTCAGTGAAGAGTTGCGGCTCCAGGCCAAAAAATTTGCCGAAGTGGATCAATGGTCTATTGATTTTGAAGACGTAGTCGTTGAGCAGAGCAGCTCTTATAGGTAGTACGGCGTACCGAGTCCCGGATTTTTTTTGGTGACTCGTTCTCGTATTGTTGACGCGGAGTTCAGGGAAGATGCTTGCGGCTACAGAGCGCGCGAGCCACGGCGGTCATTTCGGAATTCTTCTTGTTTTTTGTAACTCTCACTCCGAAGCTTACGGCCCGTCTATAGCCACGGCTAGCCACCCAGGCGGACAAGATCAACATGGCCATCTCGCACTGCAAATGCCTTCCATCACCCGCTAACAGTGCTGCTTGTTTTCTCATCCGATCAGAACGTACTTTGTTGACGCCTCGCTATGGACCCTACCGTTGACCAAACGCTTGCCGGAAAATACCCCGCCAAACAACATGCGCGACGAGTGGCAGCGGCCCTCAAGGCGGCTGGACACGATGGATCTGGCGTGATTTATCTTGAGAGCGCGAAGACTCTTATGGCTGAGGATAGTGATGAGCCTGTGCCATTCCGGTGAGCCGCTGAATGAGTATTCTGTTTCTCCTCCAGCGACCAAGCCCTAACAGCGCCCGTCCAGCCAACGGCGTAATTTTTATTACCTCTCTGGCTGCGAGTTGCCCGATTCCTATGTTACATACAATATTGATGCCGATGAGCTCGCTCTCTACATTCCCCCGGTTGATCCTGAATCGGTGATGTGGACGGGTCTACCCCTCACCCCGGACGGGGCGCTCCAGATCTATGACGTGGATGTGGTTCTCCCCAGCACTGAGGTCAATGCCCGCCTGGCCCATTTCTGTGCAAACAAAGAGAGTGCGCCGAAGCGGGTCTACGCCATTCCCGACAGAGTCTGTGCTGAAACCACGTTCCTCCCTTTCGACGACACCAATTGGGATAGGCTGAGTAAGGCACTTGAAGAGTGTAGAAAGGTCAAAGATGACTATGAACTTGCTATTCTCAAGCGTGCAAATGAGATTTCTGCTGAGGCTCACCTTGCAGTGATGAGAGCCTCCAAGACAGCCAAGAACGAGCGCGAGCTAGAAGCCGTTTTCCGCAGCAAATGTCTGTACTATGGTAGTAGGGAGCAATCTTACAGCCCCATATTGGCTTGTGGTGTCAATGGCGCTACTCTGCACTATCAGAAAAATGACGTGGACGTGGAAGACCCAACGACAGGGGAAAGAGGCACTTTGTTGATCGATGCAGGCGGAGAATACAGAATGTACGCCTCTGATATAACTCGTGTGTACCCGCTATCTGGAAAGTTTTCTCCTGAGGCCCGCGAGATCTATGACATTGTTCTTGAGATGCAAATGGAATGCTTAGGCATGATCAAGGCCGGCGTTGCATGGGATGATATTCATGCTCTTGCACACAAAGTTGCTATCAGAGGTCTTTTGCGGCTGGGCGTTTTACGTGGCTCCGAAGTAGAAATCTTCGACAAGGGCATCAGTGTTGCCTTCTTCCCGCATGGTCTTGGTCACTACATGGGATTGGATACACATGACGTCGGTGGAAATCCTAACTTCGAAGACGAGAACCCTATGTTTAGATATCTACGGCTGCGAGGGAGCTTGTCGCCCGGGGAGGTTGTCACCGTGGAGCCTGGTGTATGTGATCTCCCTTGCTGAATGTATCGTTTATGGTCTATCGTTCTAATGCTCTTTTAGGTTTACTTTTGCAAATTCATTATCGACCCGTACCTCAACTCACCTGATCTGAGCAAATATATTGACGCCGGTGTGCTTGATAAATACTGGAAAGTTGGTGGCGTCCGCATCGAGGACAACGTCGTGGTCACGCAGGATGGCTTCCATAATCTTACCACTGTGCCGAAGGATGCAGATGAGGTGGAGAGGATTGTTCAGGAAAGCTAATCTCCCCCATTTAGGTGCAGAATTCAACAGCTCAACATGATACATACTATTTGTTTGTGCTCTATGTGAACTTGTAAATATGGATTTTACGTACATCCGCCCCAAGGACTGCTTTCTTTCACATCATTAATTTGCGAAATGAAGGGAAATATCCCTCACGTATAGTACAAATAATTATTGGGGGCAGATGAATCAGGCTTGCAGTAAGCAGCAAAAGAAAGAAACCAATGAAGGCTGAATCGCGTTGCAGACTCTGCATTGTAGCATATATGTATGTATACGCAGTAAGTTATAGCTGCGAAGGTCTGGCAACTAGGGAACTTTTTGTAGGTTATATACCCTTTATACTATGACTTACTAGCCCATCCGTGTTCTCTTCCTAGCACTTCCCTTGACGGCAGGGCTATCCATTTCACGATCATGCGCACGCTTTTCCTTCTGGTCCAGTACAAGACTCAAAACATCGAAACCAAATTGGGGGTGTTCGAGACACAAGGATCTGAAGTCCGCTTCTGCTTCGTGGCGCAGTACATGGCTCCTTGTGGCCCAGAATGCGGCAACCGGCTTCCTAATTGTGGTGTCGTTAGAAGCGGTATTAGTATAGACGTATCTGGCATATGAAATTTCGCCCTTTGCAGTACTGTTGATGCGGTGGATTTTCCCGTGTGCGAGAAGCTTGAGGCTTTCGAGGCCGAGTTTCTCGGCCAAAGTGTATACTCGTGCATGTTTGAGAAGTTGCTCGCCAGAGTCGTCAACTTCTGGAATAGAAGGATCCGTTTCCAGACCTTCCGCTGGAGAGCCGAGGCGTTTGGGAAAGTATTCGCCAGTATATTGAAATTGGAGAAAGCATGCCATGGCATCCAAAGATTGGTCCTCAAGGATAATGCGGCGCTAAAGTATGAAGTGGAAATGTTAGATTAAATGACATACTACACAGTAGCCATAGAAGTCGTATAAATGCGATGGATCTGACTTACAGGGCCGTTTTCGGGCAACTTCGAGACTTCTGCCGCGAAGAATGGACTTGTTGTTAGGATTGCCTGATGAGCCGTCAAAACCGTTCGCTCATCGCCACTACCAATGACAAGCTCAATAATCGGTGACTTTAGGTAACTAGATGGTTCTCGAGTTAGAACTTGTGCCAGACAAACTTTGGTTTCGCATACGTGTAGGATAACCCTTTGGTGTGAAGTTCACATTGCGCTGGTATAGAATTCATAGGTTACAGGTAAATATCCGCTTACTTTAAAAATTTATGTTCCTGACTAGGTTCTGCAGGCGTTTCCGTCGATTCGCCGTCTTCCGCAGGGGCAGGATCAACCGCTTCTTCAGTAGCATCGCTGGATCGAGCTTCGATTGGTGCTTCATTTGCGCCGGTCATCTGTACGTCATTGTCACCTTCTGCGCCGATTTCAACTCGGGGAGCGGACATAGCGTCAAAATGATCGAGGAGGGTTCGTCTATTTAAAAGTGTTCAGCTGTGTGGTTTCAAAGCTTCAAGCACAGAAGATGAAAGAGCGAGGTCAATGCCTTATATATAACTATTCACTAGAGCCTCAATTGAGACGAATCAAACTAAAAACGAATGTATGGAATTCACCAACAAACTGCGGCTCAGCTCCCATCTGTCTGCAACAGCTGGCTTCGTCCAGTTCCTCCCATTTGGCTTTTGTGAAGTAGTTCGCCAACTGCCGGCCTTCGCCGCCCCTCTGAAGCTCTCGCCCAGCCTTGAAGCTAATCAGTTTTAACTAACAGCAAGTTGCCTCAGTAACGGCCGCACTTGCAGCTTACTATTGGTAAAGTCACTTTGATGTCCTTCCCCGCCGCAGCCTCTTAAGAAACCATGAATAGACTGACGGTACGGAGTACTCCTTACGACTATCAAATCAAAAGCACACCGCTCCCTGTAAGGAATCGCTGACATTTCTCAAAGGTTCAAAATCTATTCCTTCCGCACATTGTAGAAGAGAGAAAAGATAGAAGCTAGAGTGAATTGTAAGTCCCGAAGGGTGTAATCTCCAGCTAAAGTGACTAAAGAACAGTAAACTTGAATCCACATATTCACTACACGTTTAGAATATGATCGCATACGCACATGGGCATACTACGAGCTCAGCCTATAGCCACACTAGTATGTATGTACGTACGGATTACGTACATTCAACTGGGCCTCCGGCTTATTTGAAGCAAAGTGAGAGTCCCAATCATTTTGTGTGAGTAGTTTCAACGGGCTCTGGTACAAACGGCTCTTGTAGGCTTCTGGCTTCGAGAGAAACCAGCCGATCATCGGTCTGACTTGACTTGAAGAGTCCTTTCTCCCCACCAACGGAGTGCGCCATATCCGCCTCTTCTAGGGGCGCCAGCTCTCCAAGCACCTTTCGCATATATAGTACAACCTGGGCGATTTTATTCCAGTCGATTTCATTCGCTTCGTTTTGCACAGACACGTACGATCCTTTATACAAGTTCCTCCATATCGCAGCCGCAAGGACGGCGTCTCCTTTCACAAGGCCTTCGTCGTATGCTGCTATAACACCACGCCATTGGAGAAACAAGTCTTTAAGATATTTAACGCGGATTGCGCGGGACCTAATGTTGTGTATCACATCCATGCGATCTTCGGCGTGGTTTGAGAAGTGGTCGAATAGGTGGCGGGAGAAGGTTTGAAAGGATTCCGTGGAGGGAAGGGCACGAAGGCGAACGCTTATGAGATACATATGGAGAAAAGTGACTTGCGACCAGGAAGAAAACGTTGGGAGAAGCCCGAGGTCTGCTCCGCGCGTGAGGTAAGCGACAGAGGCCTTCAAAATCTACAAAACATCATTATGACACAGAGGGCGGCTTACCTTCATACCACCATCCTTGACCAACACCAAGGTCTTCTCCACTTGCAGTCTTGGGAATTTCAGTGTTCTTTTGAGACACTTGTGGGATCTTATAATCTGCCTGAGCGGAACAAGCATCAAACAGCTTTTTCGTGATACCATAGGCCACATAAGTCTCAGCTGACCGTAATCCGGCAGGTCCACGTCGAGCGGGCTTAGGCAAAGGTGCTGGGTCTTGTAAAGGAACTGGTTTTGCACTCGAGGTCGATGCGAAGCGGCGCGAGGACTTGCTCGTTAATTGAGAGGTAAACCAGGGCCGTTGTATAGGTTTACGTGTAATCTCTGATAGATCAAAAGGGGCACGATTCGCATCCTTGAAAAGTGCGGTTAGCAAATTGAGGTTCAAATTCTTTTGAACGAGCATTTCAACCTGAAAGAATCGCCGCAATTGTATCAGCGACCTTGGACATTGAACTAAGGAATGTGAGGCCATTGGAATTGTGAGTCACAACGGGATTCTTTGTACTTCTGAATAAGAATTAAGCAATGGTTCGTTAATTTTGCCCTTCATGCTCTACGTAGAGTTGTGAATGGAATAATTGGATCCAAAACTTTCGGACGTTTGCACTGTTTGACTGTTTTGGTCGCTCCAACCTTAACACGTGCAAAGTGTGCAGTGCAAATCAACCCCTTCAGTCATCTCTTGCAACAGCAGGTTACGAAGTAAAGTGCTTGAATCATATTTGGTATACTTGAAAGATTTAGACCTCATTTCATCTCACTGAGGGAGTACAACACTCTCGAGGCTGTTGTCCACTATTGGAAGCATTTCTGCTAATTTGTTAGGGTCTCGCATCACGGCCGGAATATCCTCTCTTGTTGCGGCGAGTTTCTGTGGCCCAGTTAGCTTTATTCGACAATTCTGAGATAGGAAATTTTCTACCTGTCGAATAACATCATATTGTGCTTCTCTCGAAAGATACTCTCGTATTACTTGATTCGTATCGAAATCTATGAAAACTCTGGTGTCGCGTAGCCGGAATAGAACATTATCTAGCCGCATAAAAAAACGGCATAGTAGTAAGAGACAGGAGGGCATCACCCTGACTTTGCAGGATAGCATTGAAATTCCGTTATCTGCGAGCTCGTCTTCATATAGTATGACATCCTCAAAGAAAAGAATTGGATCATGTCGCCGTAGACGATCAAGTGGTAATGGAGTTGACGAGGACCGCAGCTCATTGCCAGCAGAAATAACAGTCCCTTTATAATCTGTTGTGTAAGACCAATCGAATGGTCGAACCACCTCCTTTATCCCTTCGTGCGTCTTTTCACTATAGAACCAGTCAGTACAGTCATCTCTGGGAAATCCCAAAAAGAACTTCGCACCGACTCCTCTGCCATTCCCCCGAATATGCAACTTTCAGCGCAGATTGTCCCGTCTTATCCACCCGGTCTAAGGCGTCAAAAGCGTTGAATTCTATTCCCCAGCCAGTATGTACATGTTGAATTGAGACCAGATTATCACCAAATATCATTTCCGGGGGAGCAATTCCCAGCTTCTTTGTCATGTCATCAATCGGGCCGGCTTTGAGGATGGGATCTTTGCGAATGCTGATAGTAAACCCACTCCTCGTGATGGAATGCCGGTTAGGGGGCGGGCTACAAGCAACAGCCTGCTCTGACATAGTGGTAATTTCTTGAGCAACGGCCAAAATTCCAAAGTAGCCTGTGAAGAGAAACCAGCACCGCCGTCTCCAGCCAGCAGGCGCGCGAATACCTTGAGCTCCCCGCTGGGTGCCAAGCCTGGCAGAACTAGTGCCGGGACCGCGCCCGCGTTAACTCGCTAGTTTAACTTGGTTGCCATGCCAACATCATTAGCAAGCTGGTAAACATCTAAAGGAGTCGTTTTCTCCCGGCTGATCTTCTGCTGTGCGTATCAGCTTTGAGGATTCAGACCCAAGTTCTTCGTTCCTATTCACCATTGCTTAGCATTGTACTCCCGGAGAGTCTAAGTTGCTTGTCTTTAGCTATGGCGACGAGAGTATTGGAAAGCCGATTCGAACAGCTATCTGTGAACGATGAAAATCTACCTCCCAGTGGCCATGCTGGCTACGAGAAGTCAAAGGTGGATAATCAGAATCCCATATTTATCAGTGCAACTATTTAACAAGATTCAGGTTGCTCTCCCAAAGACAATCTCAATATCAGGCCACTCAACGGCAAGCCAAGTTTCTCTGAATGCTAATCGAGCGAATCTCTTGAAATTTGCCCTCCAAAATGAAGGAAGAGCACATGGCTCTCCTAAAAAGAGTGACACCGGACCTTTATCACGAACCCTGGAAGATGGCGCTACGTCAAATGCTCTCTATGATCAGCCATCTACACCGAAACAGTGGCACTTAGGAATGTTTGAGATCGGTAAGCCTCTCGGAAAGGGAAAATTCGGACGAGTGTACCTTGCACGGGAGCGATCTACCGGATTCGTTTGTGCCTTAAAGGTGCTCCACAAACACGAGCTTGTTAAAGGGAAAGTCGAAAAGCAGCTCCGGCGGGAAATCGAAATTCAGAGCAACCTCAGACATCCGAATATTTTGCGACTATTTGGTCATTTTCACGACTCGAAACGCGTATTCCTTATTCTGGAATTTGCTGGGAGAGGGGAGCTGTACAAACATCTCCGAAGGGAGACTAAATTTCCTGAGTGGAAAGCGGCACAGTACATCGCGCAAATGGCGGCTGCATTGAAATACCTCCACAAGAAACATGTTATGCATCGTGACATTAAGCCGGAAAATATCCTGGTTGGAATTCATGGAGAAATAAAAATCAGCGACTTTGGCTGGAGTGTTCACGCGCCCAATAGCCGGAGAAAAACGATGTGCGGAACCCTTGATTACTTGCCGCCAGAGATGCTTGACACATCGCCTGGAGAGAATTACTATGATGAAAAAGTCGATCTATGGAGTTTGGGTGTTCTCACTTACGAGTTTCTCGTTGGTGAGGCGCCTTTCGAAGACACACCCGTCATGACCCAGCGGCGGATCAAAAGGGGAGAGATGACAATTCCATCCTTTGTGAGCCCAGAAGCAAAGGACCTTATTAAACGAGTAAGACTTCTCCATAATCTCAATTGCGCATGAAAGACTAACAGCATGTGCTAGTTACTTATTCTGGATCCCTCAAAGCGGATTCCCCTAGATGAAGTGCAACAACATCCTTGGATTGTCAAACATTGTGTCAAGGGTGAAAGAGCTACAAAAAGAACCTCTAGCAAAGAAGGCAAAGCTTGAATTCGCTTCGGATCTCTCTATTTTCTTTTTGCATTTTTGGAGTTCAGGAACATTCATTGCAAGGGTGAGGGATTGGTAGCTCCTTTTAGGGTAGGGTTTTTTTGCCAACAGCCCCTACTAGCCATTGTCATTCAAATCTTCCTAATAGTACATGAATTTCTTATTGTTGAAAATCTAGAATATTTCGTTTGTGACACAGATGATAAAATGGTTGGTCATGCTGGTTTGTCACCGGTAAATTTCGTCAAACGGCCGTGTATCTCGAAAGCAGCTGTCCCAAACCTCGTTTACAACTTGAGTTGCATGCTCTTCGTCCTTACAGGCTGGCCTAGCTCTTACGGATAATATTGCCCTTCGTCTCACGCATTCTTGATGATGCTGCGCCAGTTTCCATTGTCCTCGAGTAAAAAATTCCCTCAGCCACCTACACTCACCGCTTAAGTTACTTGCTCGTATCTAGTGTAGAAAAGCTGTCAGAAGGTTTAAGGACTACTTCACTAGCATCGAGGGAAGGGGTAGGAAGGCAGTACCTCGGCGCAAGCAGCATGCCGAAGGTTATCATCCCAATTGACTTTGAATCTCATATGATCATAGGCATGTATCATTTCATGTGCCAATGTGTCTTCCAGGTGCCCCTGGTTCCTCATTTCATTTGCACAGATTTGAATTCCGTAATCTGGATCGAAACCACCTGCTTGCCGACGGTTGCAACGCCGGCAGAAAATATTGTGATTTGAAATGTTCCCACCAAGTTGTTTTATATTATCCTGTATAAACTGTATCATAGGGCCTAATGGAGAGGGGGGTCTGTTAGAAGATTCAGAGCGTTGAATGGAAGTGAGGTGGACGCACTGTATTGGAGGAGGTAGTCCCGTTGATCTTCACAGCGCTTGCAATCTTCTTTTTCGTTTCGAAGATCTCTGGCCACACGAAATTTCTCCATCCCTTCTGGTGTCATCTTTCCTGTAAGACCTCGCCAAAGGTTCCGACAGGTTGTCCATGCGTCATCTCCTGGTATGTAGCCATTTTCCTTGGGTGTACTCGAGGACTTGGAATCGGATGACTGAGATTCTGCCATTTAAAGAGAAGGTGGAAAAATAAATATTCTTACATCCGCATATATATAAAGAGAGTATTTCCCTTTTCATAAATGAATGCTATATCTCTACGGAGCACTTCATACTCCGGCAGAAAGTGTCGAAGGCGGGTCCGGGCGGCAGAACTCAAAAAAATCCAAGTGGAAACCGATTTGTGAGTATGAGGCGCCCTATAACAAGTCAAGGGACAGGTTGGTTCCCTTCGCTATTGTGTTACTTATATCCTGAATAGCTTTGAGAGATGCGCAGATATATCATGTGCGGCTGGGGTTTAACTTGAAAGCCACCATGAAGCCGTTGACTGTGGTAATAAAGCTCGGTGAGTGGGGGGAGCCTCGTTGCCCTCAATGCCAGTATTAACAAACGGCCAGGAACAAGTTCGATTGTAGACGAGAACACCCATGAGCCCATTCTCTCCATACTGACGTTGATCGTCGAAACTGCCGCGAAATTACACAAAGATGGCCATCGGGTTATTATCGTCTCGTCTGGCGCAGTGGGCGTGGGGCTCCGGAAAATGGATGTCGACCAAAGGCCAAAACATCTCCCCCGCATCCAGGCATGTAAACATACACAGGTGCAGGAGAACAGCAGCACTAATTTGTAAAATACTAGGCTTTGGCTGCCATAGGGCAATGCCAACTTATGAGTCTATGGGATAGCTTGTTCTCGCACTTACGTCAACCCATTGCTCAAATACTGTTGACGCGAAATGACATTGCCGACGTAAGCTTCCAAAATAAACTAAAAGTTGGAATTTCGGCTGAACTATTGAGTAGAGAACCCAATATATCAATGCCCAGAATACATTTGCCGAACTACTATCGATGGGCGTCATCCCAATTGTGAATGAGAACGACACCCTCGCTGTTTCGGTACGTTAGAACGGAATCCAACTGCTATTAATACATTCTTGTTCTAATATCTACCTCTCAGGAAATCAAATTTGGTGATAATGATACCCTTTCTGCCATTACTGCGGCGATGGTCCAAGCTGATTACCTATTCCTTATGACGGATGTTGATGGATTATATACGTGCAACCCCCGGAACAACCCTGATGCCCAAGTCATTGAAGTTGTAGAGGATATTTCGGCGCTCGAGGCTGATGTTTCGACGACTGGTTCATCCTTAGGTACTGGTGGAATGAGTACAAAAATCGTCGCAGCCAGATTAGCTACAAGTGCGGGAATAACCACTATTATTACCCGTAGTTCTCTGCCTGGGAATATTTCAAAAATAATCAATCATCTTGAGGACCCTCAAAATGACCCAGCTCATCTGGGAAAAGACGCCGCAACCCGGACAACCGCACCTTTGCATACCCGATTCCTCCCATCGCTCGCCCCAATGCATTCTAGATCCTTTTGGGTTCTTCACGGCCTCACGCCTCATGGAACCTTGTACATTGACCACGGTGCTTACTGCGCCATCCTAAACAAGGCTAGCCTTCTTCCTGCTGGCGTGGTCGCCGTCGAGGGTCATTTTTCCCAGCAAGAAGCAGTACGTGTGGTTGTCGTTGAGCGGCGCTCGGCTTCAGCCCTTAACGGAGATTTCCCTCATCACGGCGAAGAACCAAAAGAAGTTGGGCGAGCCCTCGTCAATTATGCCAGCGCTGAAATTGCCCTTATCAAAGGTTTACGAAGTACTCAGATTCATTCCGTTCTAGGATATGCGGATAGTGAATACATTGCCTTACGTGAAAATATTTCTTTTTTTCATATGTCGGGTCGACCAAGTAGGCCAGGCACACCGGGACTAGACGAATTAAGGGTTCGAAGCGGTACCCAATCTCCAGCCATCGAGCGCGTGCTCGCCTCCTAACCGAATATGGCGCCCTCATTTTCGATCCGAATGGCAGGTTTTACACCCCTCTTGGTATCTTGTAGAAACACTCACCAGATAGCTGGCGGCCTTTTGCGCCAAATACGTTACAGGTAGCTCAAATGTTATAGAGGTGTTAGTGGAACTCGATGCTTTATACAGACATAATCTTGGTTTATTGATAGGAATAAAGACAAATGAATGAAAGCCAATGCAAACTAGTATACATCCTTTCCAGAGTTAACTTGAAGGGATATAGTAGTACGTATTTGATGCCTTGCAATGCGCCGCCGATTTCCGAACATAGACCCGAATTTATCCTTGACCCAGCCAAACGCCTTGCCTAGGGACAGAAGAACAGAAAAGGGGAAATCTAACAAATCAGAGCTATGGCTTTCAATCCTCCCATCTTTTGAGAAACCGCTGCATATCGCGTTCTGCAGGAGCAGCCTACGAAAGCACAAATCAATATTAAACTCCACTGGATAATAAGAGGATAGAACTCACAGTATTCTCTATTTCTTGGACCGAAGCAGCTACTGTGCGAGAAACAGTGGTCATGATCGTTGGTGTAGGCAATTTTGTGCGTGCGATTTCATAATCACTAGTTGGATACAACGGCGGGGCGTTTTTAAGGCTCATCTTGAATGGAGGCGGCTTCGGGATTGGGGCATAACGAGTTGGGCCGGTTTGGGCTGAATATGGCAGATCTGGATCTGCTCCCGGAGGAATTACAACTACTTGTCGCTTAGAGAGGTTATTCAAACTGCGGGGACCTGTGGTCGAGCCGCCAAGGGCCTCAATAGCAGAAGCAACACGCTGTGAGAAGGTGCCGGTCATAGCGTTCAGGGAGAATCGATCTGAAAAAAATGAGGTTGTGCCATTGGTAACGCCGACGGAAAGTTGGAAGAAACTGATGGGTGAGTAGTTAGTGGTTCATTGATACATAAGAGGGAAATGGATAACCCACTATGCATTTGGATGCTCGCCGCCTAGCTTGGGGTCAACAGTGGTGGAAACTGAATCTGTCTCTCCAAGCACTCCCTTTTCAACCAATGATGCTAGAGTTACCTATATTTATGAACCAAAAACATTAGTGCTAGGCTTAATGAGATAGCTTGATTGCCAATCAGATAACTCACATAGGTATCAGCATCATTACCGCCTGCACACAGGTCAAGATTGAACTCATTGGAGTCGAGCTGTGTCTTTGCACTCTCCAGCAATTTCCACTGCACACGGATTGGCTTTCCTCCCTCCAGGACGGCCCCGGCGGCAGGCTCAACAAACTCAACCAAGGATGAAACAGCAGGCAAGGGGAGGGTAAGCAGAAGCAGAGCAAGCTGCTGGGGAAGCCTCAGTTTCATGGCGATGACAGCAGCGCGTGTGCTGCAGAACAGAGATGAGGGCCCTGATGATGCTAAAGAGGAGAGGGGAGATATAAAGAGAGCGTGTGGGTGATGGATTGATTCCTCAGGTTTGAGTTAACTCACTACCTGGCAAAGCTACGTAATCCGCGCACTGTGGTTTGTAGCCCACACGTGAACAGCACTGAGGGATCCATTAATATTATTAGTAGCATTGCCTGAGACAAGCCCTGCCCTGCTGCGGATTCGATTCCATTCCAGAACACAGACGGAGACCCGGGAAGATCCTCGCATCTAGCGTCTCGGACCGATCTCGAAGTTGATGGCCTCATAAAATACGTCAACTTTTTTAGCCTGGCGCCACCGACCTATCTCCGCTCATAAAAACGCCGGGTACCTGGTCCAGATTTCTGGCTTCTGAACGTCTCTGCAGCTTCGCACGACCTCCCCCCTCAGAGTGCGGCAATGGAGTGGAGCTCTGTTAGTGATGTTGTCACATTCTTCCTCTCTGGAAACGGTATTGCCATTCTGGTGACTTGTCTGGTCGCTTTCTTGCTGCCAATCTGCATCCACCTAGCACTCTACCGCGCTGCTTCGGCGGAGACTCACAATGACTTCTTACTCCTGGGCCCCAGTGGTGTAGGGAAAACAGCGCTTTGCGCTCTAGTATGTTCTGCATTGAGCTTTCTTCAAGAATTTTCGGAGTCTGCTAACCTTCGTTTCTTCCTGCTAGCTTGAGCGTAAACCCAGACCTGGCTCGGCAGCCAGCCCGCAGACACACACTTCTCAGACCTCTTCCTTTATATCTGCAGTGCTTCCTGCATCGATTCCAATTGGCTCAAACGCCTACCGATCTGTCAACGACCCGACTTTAGCGGATCGCAAGCATACGTTAGTTAAATACCGAGTCCGTGACACACCCGGCCATGGAAAACTACGTGACTCCGAGGGCTTCGCACTACTGCGTTCTATGACCGATGTTAGAGCCAAAAGTGGCGCTACTCGTGGTCTTATCTTTATGGTGGACGCTGCAGCAGTCTTGGACGAGGCCGAATTGAGGGATACGGCGGGCTATCTACACGATATACTTCTGTTCTTACAAAAAAGGCATATGAGTAACCGAACCACTGTCTTCAAGAAAGCTCCCAATATTCCTGTACTCGTGGCGGCCAACAAACAGGATCTCTTCACGTCGTTACCCGTCACGTCTGTGAAGGAAAGGTTAGAGAGTGAAATTGAAAAGATTCGCCAGTCGAAACGAAAGGGCGTTCTTCATGCAGATGTACAAGCCGGCGACGATGAGCAAGAAATTCTAGGAGGCGATGAAGGACAAGAGATTTTCACTTTCAAAATGCTAGAGGAAGAAGCGGGTGTGGGTGTCACGGTAATTGGAGGGTCGGTGAAATGCAAAGATGCAGCTGACACCAAAGCTGGCATTTCACAATGGGAAGAATGGGTTGGGTCTTGCCTATGAACAGGCGTCTTACATGTCAACAGTCTTCAAAAGACGGTATACCACTATTATATCCTGTATAAAACAATCGTCTGATCATGTGAAGACATGATCATTCACATATTCTGTCGAATAGCCATATTGGCAGCAAATGGCCCCAGATCGACTCGGCGCTGACAGAAGGTCAGTATCAGAGTTCCCAACACTCATTCAACAATCAGGGGTGAGGCCCTTGTCCGCATAAGGGGGCCATATTATCCTTGCTGTTGGGCAACGACGATGGCAAAAGCCAGATATCCATGCTACATGGCGTGCTGTTTTAAGTAATCGCCAATATTTGGCAAGGGTCTGGATCTCGCAATAATGAAGAAAATATGTATGAGTTTAGCATTCAAGCTGGACCCTATATGTTGTGGGAACTGTAGAAGAATGGTTCTGAAAATCAATCTATAATGCTGTTTTTAAATCTAACTAATACTTATCCGCTCATCAAAAATGGAGATTTGCTTGTTGAAAACCGCCCTCCTTTTTGGAAAAATTCTCCACAGAACCTCACACCCACCATATATGTGTGCATGTACAGAAGAGATGGAGATCATTCATACAATACATGACATAGCTAGCTACTTGAACAAAAAGTTGCAAGGGGAGCTCTAATCAGGAATCAACATTTGTATGGTGTAGCAACCATGTCAGCAAATCAACTTTAGTTGCGACAGCCACAGGCTTCATATTACCACTCTCGTCTTTTTCAGTAACCACTGCAGCACTGTTCCATTCAAAGAACCGGTTCAATGTGCTGAGGGGAGTATCAAGAGTAATTTCAATGAACTGGCGGTTCTCTTTCTCTTTCAGCCCTGCCGAGGCGTTATCCAGTTTGCTCAAGTCGCGAGAATCAGTGACGACCTCGGAGAATTTGGAGAAATCAAACATGACGTCTGAAACGGGAGTTTTGCCAGTTGCTCGTCCGCGTGCGATCCAGCTTAGAATGTTTCCCAGTGTGATGAGGCCCACCAGTCGACGACCAGCGGCTGCGAGTACTGGCAGCTGGTCAAAGCCCTTCTCGCGCATTATTTCGATGGCAACCTCACACGCAGTGTCCGAAGATACTGTCGTCACAGGCTTGAGTCTCAGAGCTTTGACACTCGCACCAGCAAACTGGTCTCGAGGGCCTTTTGGTTGGACTGCAGGAGAAGGAGGGGTGGCTTCGGGCGTTGCGGGGAGGAGATCGTTGGCCGCGAGCCAGTCATCGTCGGCGAACTAGGAGAAATATTAGCTAGAAAGGGATAGCAACAGGGAGTTGCCTCGCCTACTTTTGTAAGATAGCTTCGAATACTATCAGGAAGCACCACTACTACAATATCATCTTTGTTGAATTGGGAGTCCTTTGCAGCCTGGGCCAATGCGGCGATGGCGCTGCCGCTGCTTCCGCCAACCAACAAGCCTTCCTCGGCGATCAGTCGCCTAGCAAACTTGAACGAGTGCTTGTCATCTGTCTTATACCATGTGTCAACAATTTTTTGGTCAAGCACTTCCGGGATAAAATCATATCCAATGCCTTCGACTTTATAGGGCTCGTTCTTATGCTCCTCGTTTAGGGATTCTGGTAGCGCTAGGATGGAACCTTGAGGGTCGGCACCGATGACCTTGATATTGGGATTGTGCTTCTTCAGCCCATGGGCGATGCCGCTGACTGTTCCACCGGTTCCTGCGCCGGCAACAACCGCTGTTATCTTGCCGTTAGTCTGCGCCCAAATCTCCTGCGCAGTGCCGAATTCGTGGGCCAAGGGGTTGTCTACATTCCCATACTGGTCTAAGATGTGTGCATTCGGTAGCTCCTTTTCTAGACGCTTCGCAACTCCGATATGGGATTCCGGAGAATCATGCGCCGCCTCGTTTGGCGTGCGGATGATTGTAGCATTCAGGGCACGGAGAACTGCAACTTTTTCCGCCGACATTTTTTCTGGGAGCGTAATGATGGTCTTGTAGCCTTTGACAGCGCCGACGAGTGCTAACCCGATACCACTAAGGAAATCACAAGGTCAGTAGGTTCAATAACTCCCCTTGACCGCATCACTTACGTGTTGCCGCTGGTGGGTTCGATCAGAGTATCTCCAGGCTTTATCCTCCCCGCCCGCTCGGCCTCCTCGATCATGCGCAGGGCAATTCGATCCTTAACGCTCCCTCCAGCATTAAAAAACTCAACTTTTGCGTATACAGTTGCCTCTATTCCAAGGCTCTTTGGGATCCTGTTAAGTCGCACCAGCGGGGTATTTCCTATCTGCTGCGTAACGGAGTCCATCGCCTTCGGCGGGGCTCTCATAGGGTCTGCAGCCATTTTGTCGGAATTTAGAAGAAGAAAGTCCACCAGAGAGGGAAAAGACAGAATGATTGCAAGTCACGCAGTCTCAATTGCACCGCCAGACGGTCTGTCTCCTGGAAGTGTTCGGCATGTCAATTCGCCGCGGGGCCTGTCAGGCCACCCCCGCGCCAATGAAGCTTCAGCTAAAACGGGCGCCGCTGGTAGCCGCCCGGCCAACGTTGGCCCGTTGAACGCATCATCATCAAGATCACGGACGACAAGCCGTTGGTCGAGGGCGAGACTCGAATCACAACGAGCTCGACGGTGTCGGCTGCTTCGTGCTCGCCTGGAGGCAAGCCTGCACCTGAGATTGCACTGCTGTCGCTCACCTTCGGTAATTTCACGGCGCAGCACCCCCAGCCCTTGTTGAGACACGCCTACGCTGATACAGACGCCGAGCTGTCACCACCGGAAATACATACTACTAATGATACTCTGGACAATTTCAATGAATCTACTGGAAGCCTGCATGGTCAATCTGTATCCTTGCTGCTCCTGCTGCGCCCACACGGCCATCCCGTGAACCCCAAGCCGATGGATGGCCTTAAAGACCAAGTAGTGGATCGCTGGCTTGAAGGAGCGGCCAGCGATTAGTTACCAAGCCACCGGCCCTGTGAATATGGCGCGCCCAGCGTTCAGCAACAGTCATGGTGATGACGCTATTCGTTTTATTTGCTGTCCCTGGCGCTTCCGATCCATAATACCATCCATCCCGTCAGCTTTGCTGGCTTCTTTTTTCTCTTCCTTTCTCCTCCCCCCTTTTTCTTTTCTCTCGTGGTCTCGGGTCCAAATAACTATCTCTTAACAGCTTGCCGAATGCATAGCGTGGAATTGAGCCTTTCGCGTTGATAATGCGTTAAAGCACCACTGCTTTTCCCTCTCTACTAAATTTTTCCTGCACAAATAGACTTACGATACTGCCCTCCGCGACACCAAACATGATCACATCAGAGCAGGAACCCCCAGCCCCTCGTGGGTCTGACTCGACCATGCCATCTCCAAACATCCCCGAAAAAGACCACCATTCTTTACTTCCAGTCTATCGTCAAAACGGCCGACTATTGCTTCGAATCGAAACGGCTGGCGAGAGTGGAAGATCCGGTTTTCATCCTCTGTCATTTCTGAAAATCTGCGCTAAGAGCACGACGCCTATATCGATGTATGTCAATGTACTCTGGCCATTTGTTCCACCCGCAATCATTCTGCATTTTGCCCGACCGGACTTGCCTCTTTGGATCTTTATTCTCAACTATATTGCCATGGTACCGTCTGCGAATCTTCTTGGGTTTGCTGGTGGAGAATTAGCAAAGAAACTACCTAAAGCCCTAGGGGTGCTTGTCGAGACTCTACTGAGCGGGACTGTCGAAATAGTTCTTTTCATGGTCTTAATTTCCAATGACCGTAATAATAACCTGATTCTTGTTATTCAGGCTGCAATTTTGGGGTCTATCCTTGCAAACCTACTACTTTGCCTGGGACTCTGCTTTTTCTTGGGAGGATTGCGTCGTGAGGAGCAGACTTTCCACGAAGTAATCAGCGAGTCCGGTTCTGGCTTGATGCTAGTTGCCGGATTCGGTCTCATGATACCTAGCGCATTCTATTCTGCCCTCGCAGGCAGCACGTCTGCTCGCGGAGCCTTCACCCCGCAGGTATTAGTTCAAAGCACTCGGACTATCAGCAGAGCCACTGCCATTATTCTTTTAATAGCGTTTTTCCTGTGAGTTCCCTGGTCAAACATTCACCCTCCATAGTGGCTAACTTCGACACAGGTTTTTATGGTTCAATTTACGAAGCCATCACAGCATCTATAGCGAAGTACTCAAATTCGATGAATCCCGCGACGAGGATCGAATCGAGGAAATGCAGCGAGCAAAACTTACCTTTACGGAATCAATTTTCGCCATTCTGATCTCTCTTACTTGTGTATCATTACATGCTGTTTTCCTCGTGGAAAAGATTCCTACAATCGTAAAGCGCGGGGTGCCAGACAACTTTATGGGACTTATACTCGTCCCACTCGTTGAAAAAGCGGCCGAACATTTAACAGCTGTAGATGAAGCATGGTAAGACGTCACCTCCTATTGGTATTTTATACAATTGCTAACGATGATGTTTCGACACGAAAAGGGATAATCAAATAAACCTTGCCTTGTATCACTGTCTTGCTCCTTCTATCCAGACTGCTCTTTTCAACGCCCCCCTGGTTGTGATCGTCGGCTGGGGGATGGGTAAGCAAATGGATCTCAACTTCGAGATCTTTATGATTGTTTTATTAGTACTTTCAATTATCGTCGTGGGGAATTTTCTCCGGGATGGGGCGTCCAACTATCTTGAAGGTGGCCTCCTTGTGCTTGTTTACATTATTATAGCAATTACCACCTGGTACTATCCGAATCCACACGATGGTGCTACGAACGTTCAGCTGCCCCATGGCACCGGTGGCCATTGAAATTTTCGACAGCTATGTTAGCACAGCCAGCCATTCTATGTAGTTACAGGAAGCTGGAATACGAATTCAACGTTGCTGGATAGGAAAGTTTCATGAATAGAAAACACTCACGTTTACCTCGGTGCAGGGTGATACAGAATGACTTCAGTTGCAAGTTGCAATCTTCTATTATAGCGATAGACATGATTTGAGGTTTTCTAAGACTTAGTTTTTGATTATCGAGTTGTAAATAATGGAATTGTTGTCACAGGGCAACGGAGCCTGGGCCAGGATTAATGCGTATAACTGCAAGTATGGCCCAGAAATAGATTCAGCATTGATATTTAGACCAATACGGACGTTGAGACTAGATTTCATACTCTCGTGACCGGTTTTTCGGTCGCATAAGGCTAGGCAGCTTCGAATGACTTCCCAACGGTGTCGTCAACTAACACGGCCACTATACCTTTTCTACGTCGGGCTCCGTCCAGCAACATGCCCGTACGGAGTACTCTCAGCTCCTCAACCTAGCAACACTAAATTGAGTGTGGCGCAAAAGTTCTGCCGCGGGGCTATGACCTTGTGGAGTAGTTCTTATCAAATGACGAATCACATCATAACCCAGATGTGCATTCTCCTCCAAAAGAGGCTGTGATATACCCTGCGGTCCGCACATTGATATCTGCAGGCGGTGTTTCTCCCAGTCTTCGCTAAGTGTTTGGCAAGTTGCATCTGAATTCAAATCCCAGCTGCCCAATAATCAACCACTAAACTTGTGTTTAAAAAAAAAAATTAACTTTCAACGGATGAGTGTTCCCAAAATCAACACGTACAGTACAGCCCAGTGGCCAGATATCTCCTTGAGTTTCCCATTCTGGTGCCAATTTGACACCCAATCTCCCCCAAAGCTCGATCCTAGGAGCCCAGGGTGGGGGATATGGCGGGGCCGTTGGCCTCTCCAGAAAAAGGCTATATATCCAAAAAGAAAGCAATCAGCTTGAAATTTTAATTTAAAACAAACAAGACATTTGAGGGTGAATAACCCCAACCATTAGACAAGCCGATGATCTTCACACGAAATTCTTTGCTCTTAAGAGTCCGAATTTCTTCAGTATGAGCTCAACTAATGATATGGGGTGGTGATTAATTAGTCTCATCTTCTGGGTGTAAAGGAAGAATAACTGTTGTTCCAGGGCCATTAAAGGGAGGCAACAATTCAGATTCACCAGATTTTGTCTAGATTAGGTAGTGCTAGAGCAATGGTTCCCGGGTGAACGTCTGCAGAGCATCATATTAGCAAGAAAACAAACAAATTTCTGAGTGAATTGGATATTTATACCATTAGAGACTATGTAAATATGATAGCCTATTGATTTTTTGATAGATGAAACTCTTTTAATGGGAGCTAATCATATCACTAGCTTCGCGATACCCTTTTGAAAGACCCCTACCAAAACATACTGCAGCAAAGGACCGGAAACAGAGTAAATGGGGAGCTTTGTACTCCGTATAAGGTATTCATCTTTGCTTGGAAAGACACCGCTGACCTTGACGGGATAGTAACCACCCGGTTTATATGAGCTATGCTTTCAGCATCCACATTCGGAACAAAATGGAATTTGACATTGTCAAGCATATTGAACAGTGTTGGTATAAGAAGAGGCTGCTAGTACGTGTCGTTTATATTCCTACTAATCTACTAACTCGGGTAATGATGTAGTTCGGAGTAATATTCTAACAGGAGTGGTTGGTTGGTTATTTATAACCTTTAACTAATTATTACATAAGTTAACTAACAAACTAATTGGTTAGTTAACTAACTAATTAGCTAACTAACCAGTTAACCAGTGACTGAGTTAACCACCTAAGAATAGGCTCGATAGTTAACTATCTGCACTGAGCATTCTGCAGACAACGTCACACAACACAGCATCGGTCGCATACTCTCGCTATGGAAGACGAAATCTCTCATATCTTTGAAGATAGAAATATCCCATTCAAATATGAAACTATTCGGACCGCCATCACGGAGCCTGGTACCGGGAGCTGGGTCTCAGAGCATCTTCGAAATGATACCCTACTCTCAAAAGACGAAATCACCATGTAGGTGTCTACGGCGGGATACCACTTATTTGGTGGACGCTATTTAACGCCATCCTGCCCTTACACAGATACACGAAGCTAGGGTCCTCTGCTAGTGTTTATCAACAGGAGGAACTGCAATCCACCAGGCCGATTCTTGACGATGAGCTTAAAAGGGCGATTGAGTTGCTCAATACGTCAACGGCCGCGATCGATCGTCAAACAGAAGCTTTAAAATTTCAATGCAAGGAGCTGAGATCTCAAATTGATCAAGGGACGCGTGTTGAGCAGCAGCGTTCGAAATCGACTGCGAGGCTGTCGACCGGACATACCGCGGAAACTCAACGGATTAATTTAGCGGTAAGCTTCCTCTTTCATGTCACCGTATAATCTGGTCTTTAACGCGATGTAGATTGATGATATGATCCATGATTTTGAGGAGATGCTACAGACGACACAGAAAGAGCTATCAACCGATCAAAATAGCTTACTTTCGAATGTGTCCAGCCTTCTGAGAGAGCACGATGCAATACTTCGAAATATGGAAAATATGGCAGCCGAATCTCAATCTGAAGAAGATAGTAATCTCTTAAGAAAACGTGCTGCTTCTCTATCTACATTACTAGCGAGATATCTAAGCGAAGAAATCAAATGCCGTTTAGATCGCGTGTTTCTAGAGACGATGGAAAAGAACGAACTCGTAAATTGCGACGAGCACCATGTTTTTGACCAGGCTGAGAGCGTGGAAGCTGAAATCAGCTCTCTGTACCCCGAAATTACCGTTCTTTCAGACATGGCAGCCAGGAAACAATTTCGATCCCCGGTGTTGAACGCACTTGAGGAATGGCGGTCACAATCACGACTTCAAGTTGAAGAGCAGCTGCAGCAGGTGAGAGTTGGCTTTTTTTATCTTTCATATATCGCTTGCTGTCATAGGGAACTAACACGAAGCTTACACAGATTCATGAAATGATATGCGAACTGACCGAATCAACGATCCATATCACCGAAAAGGTGAAATGTCGACAAAATCATAACTTTACTCTTATCTCTCTTACCTCTACATACCACGAACAAGTTAGCAACCGCCAACTCCAAGATCCAAAATCAGAAAACAAGCGGCTGTCGAGGTACACCCCAAGACTATCACAAGCATATGCCGGTTCACGGGGCTCTTTGGAAGTCAACAGCGACAATAGCATTCAAGAAACATCCAAGAAAGAGTCGACTCAATCCCTAGAGAACCTGCTTAGGCGCTTTGGCGCTTCTCTATCTTCTCTACAGAATGCGGACTCAACAGAGGCTGTCCATCAGATACTTAACGAAAAACGATTATACATTCTGGAAATGCTCGAACGCCTGTATGATACTATAACGGCACCGCTTGCCCCGAATCTCGATGCGGCCGATAAAGCTAGACAGCTCCTCTCAGCCGCCGTGCAATATGGTGCCAACTCTACAGGGCCCTTGGGAAATACAGCCCAGCAACAACGAACTGAGGAACTACAGGCGAAAATTGCGATTATTCAGAAAGGTGTTGAAGGTATTGGTTCTGAAAGCTTGTATAGTTCTGGCCGTACTCGAGAGCGCTTTTTGGAGACGTGGGGTTGATTGAGAATTTGAAATACGTCCTGCTGCCAAGGGGAGTAAGTTGGCGGTTTAGAAGGTTGCTTTCCACCATATGAATGGCCTCTAGAATACTGCATAGTATGAACATGTAAAAATTTGCCCGCCATGTATGAATTGTGATGACTACCTAATAAAGATAAATATAGCTACATAAAGTACCCCGAAAGATTGCCGAAACTGCTAAGTTCAATCACTCCCATACCTACTCTTTTAATCCACAGGATTGGCAATCTGGAGATAACTAAGTACAGCGAGTCCGAGAATGTATTTTAACATTTGCCTAGATGCGGCAAAAGAAAAAAGAAAGACATGATACGTAAAGCAATGATATGTTCCCAAGCATAGCAAACGTGGAATATCAATCTCTAAAGGAATTTAAAAAAAAATATGCGAGACAAACTCATGACTGGGAGCATGTTTGTCTGACATAGCAAAACATAAACTTAGTGGTAAATATAGTCCAGATATCTTCCAAAGCCCGAGCCCATCATCCTGTATGCAAAAATATCATCATCACACATCATGCAAGATTTTCCATCTGGGGTATATATTATTACCATATTATTGTTCGAGATTATAACTAAACCCAAGCCCAAATGGCACTCCCAAAAGAAAGAAAAACGGACTGTAGGATTAGACTAAAACCCATTCACTGCCACGTTTTATAAACTTGTCAATCATCAGCCCAATATCATGCAAAGCAAATCGGCATACGTAAAATCCAAAAAATTCGGCAGCGTGGCGAGAGCTTAATTCTAGCCCGACGAGCGTTTTCGATGAATGTTTAAGGCCAGGATCCTCAACTTGTCGGGCAATTTGATCTGATTCAGTCAAAATGTTAGCGTTTGGGAAACAGGGACACTAGAGAAAAGGTAAGAAACATACCAATGACCTGCGCCGCGTCGCACAATCTTGCCAGGGCACTCATATAGTTAGCATTAGGCCCAGTGCAGTCGGCGTCCGGTAGAATCCGCCTTGGTCGGCGAACATTGAGAGTGTCATCCATAGGTAACGAGTTCAAAGTCAGATCCTTGTTACTGTCTCTTCTGGCTGTCTGGGGCACGGTGTTAGGGCCCGAGCTTTTAGAGCGTAGCTTTCTCCACGAGGTAAGATAGGATTTGCTTCCTCCACTTGACGACCTTGAAGACTGCTCACCAAATGACGAATGATCATCTGTTGAGGATTTGAAAAGATGCGAGGTCCCATGGACGCCGACTTCATTACCGAGTTTCTTTGCCCAGACTGTTTGCACTTGATCTAGGACACTTTCGAATGACTGCATTTCTTCGAGAACAGCATCAGCGTCATTGGTATCAACCTGTGCCACTTTAAGCAGTGCTGCAGTGAGAAGGTCACAATTCGCAACTTTTTCTTCAACGGCTTTCAGTTTGACATTTTTCACCTTCCAAACGTCACGGGGTATAAATAGTTTCGTCGTCATGTAAGCGCCTCGAGGATGAGTTATACTTTGATAAATACATCTCATCATCCAGAATGGGCGCAGGAGAAATGACTGCGGACATGGTTCAAGAGCTGTAGGAGGATTTGGCGCAGTGATATCAGGGTAACCAGGAGTCAACGGTGAATGAAAAGCATCGTCAAAAAGGTAGTGCGCTCCTGGGGCACTAGCTGATGTCGGCAGCGGATAAGTGCCTCTACGGGCAGATGTGGGAAATGCAGAAACGAACGGACTATCGAGGCCTTTAGTTATATCGTCCGTGGTGACTGTTAGTACTTTCCCTCGTGCTAATTTAGATTGCGCAACAGGATTATCTTTTTTCAGCGTTTCTGAATTCGATGCTACTTTACTTAGGACACGATGGGTGGCTGGGTTCAGGGTATCGTCGTTTGTATCAGTACGTTGCAGATCATGAAAGGAGGTAACCGGGGATATGATCGTCAAGGATTCAGCAGAACTAGCGGCATCCCTTGATCTTAGGCGTTGAATTGGCTCCAGGCTTTGCCAAGAACTTGTACCATTAGCTGATATTTCATTCTTCGTCTGCGAATGCGAATGGGAATGACTTTCTGGTGCCGCCACTGTCCGTGGTGCTTCGGCACCAGGTGGTAATTTGGCATTGGTCTCGATTGACAGGTCTTTAAGGTCATGGCTAGAGAGACGTCTTGTCCTTACGCTAGGAGCAAGAGGGGAATTTGGTGTGACTGTTGCTAGAGTGGGCGTTGGGAGTGGAGGCAATGTAGATGGTAAATTGAACTGCGGTGGTGGTGCAGGGAGAGGAGGTTTTCGTGACGGTGACGGTGATGCTGGAGGTGTATTGGCGACGGCGGAAGGAGACCGAGGCGTTAAGCGAGAGGCGGATAACACTTTGGCTAATTGTGCATCCAATGATGATGGTATGTTCTCTTCAGCGAGGGTAGATAGCGACGTCCCGGTAGTCGCAGGGTTTGAAGCAATAGAGCTTCCCCAGGTTCGACCAGAAAATCCACTGGACCCTGACTGGCGTGGAACCCCTGATTTGGATGGCGAGTCGAACTCAAGGACATCCATCATTTCTTCTAAAATCAGTTCCTCCTCCTGCGCTTCTTCATCTTCATAGTTATCATTTAATGCTGTAAGGTCGCCGTGCAAAGTTTCCTCCTTGATCCGGCGAATTTCTCGTTCTTGCGCCGAGATGGCTTCAACTTCCAGTTCAGCCTCGCGGACCTTTTGTTTTGCGCGTTCCACATTTCTCCTAACATTCAAAACAACATCATCATCTCCAGATACAGCATTTAAATCATCTGCAGGCTCCAATCCTTGATCATAGGCAGCCTCGACAGCCGCATCCAGCGCAGCGTCGAACGCAGCCTCAGTTCCACCGCTAGATATATGATCTCGTTTCCGTAAATATAGCGATGAAGACCTTGATCGAAGAGAGGAGGCAGAAGATCCACCCGAATCACCATTATCTAACCATGAAGTCGGTTTGATAGACCCAGGGGATTCAGGTTTGAAACTCAAGAATTCGTTTCGATGCTCTGACTGCTGGCTTTGCAGACGTGGAGGCAAAGGAGGTTCTCGAGATGGGCTGCGGTGGAAAGGGCCGCGGCCTTCTGACGACATGCCACTGGGGGACCCTTCTTTGTCCAATTGCTCATCTAATATAGGCAGATTGGACGACGACCCCACACGGAGGGGGTCTTGGTCTAAGGGTTTCCAAAAACGAACTTCTTCATCGAATGCGGAGGGAAGGAGCGATTGACGCCGCGGGGGAATCTGGGAGGGCGGGAGAGCTCGAGGCTCGTCAGGGTCGGTCAGATAGGAAGGCTTGTTGAAGATTCGGGTGGCGGTCGCAGTCTCGATAACATACATGTCGTCCTCGTCAGCGTCATCATGGATCTCTGATCGAAACGAGATGGAGGTGGGCGAGACGGACTCGTCGCTCAAGGGCCGATCGGGCAGGGCTTTACCAACAGCCCGTGAAGACAGTCCCAGGCGTCGAAGCTCAGCAATGCGGGTGGTATAGGTAGAGCGCTAAAAGTTGCATACGATTAGCACGCGGCGCCAAACATCCCATGTCCAATGTCTGTTTCTTACAATTTCTTCGAGCTTCTGTTTCTCCTCAGCCCCATTAGTACGACGCATGACCTGGTGCAGCAGGTCACAGGCGTCGGAGTAGGCATCGATGGCGCCCTCGAAGTTGGCGGCATTGTCCAGCAGCACAGCGGTGTTTGCTTTCTGAAGAGCTCTCGAGAGCATGGACTTCTGGGACGAGCCTCGCCGTCTCCGCTCTCGCTGGGGGTGGGCCTCCATGGCAGAGTGCATGGCGAGTCGCGGACCGGCAAAATCGGGCGTGTGCAGGCGAGGCGGACGCGGGTGAATGTCGGACATGACGAAAATCAGGGACAGCAGAAGGGAAGTAGGCGAGAATGGCAGATGGGGGGCTGGGCGCGCGACAGCTCGAACATCGTCGGGCAGCAGACGGCGACGACGACGGCGGCGGCGACGACAACGACGACGACGCTCACGGCATGGACGCCAGACAAGAGACGAAAACGACGAGGCAGAATAATAATAAGAATGCTCTCGCCAGCCGGATCGTCGAGTCGCCAAGCAGGGCTAACGAGCTGGTCAATCCAGGGGTAGGCAGACGTTAAACACAGCGGCTGCAGAGACGCCACAGCCAGAGCCGGCGAAGCAGCGGCTGCAGATACAGCAGGAAGGCACAGGCACTTGAAACTGCAGCACTGGCAGGCGGGCACGCGCGGACTGGGGTGACGACGAGGCCGAGGGGAGGGGGCGCTGAAACGGGGTGATACACGAAGGGCGGGCGGGTGCGACAACGACGGTCGGCAGTAGCTCGATGAGGGGGTTGGCAGCAGCGGTAGGAAAGAGAGCGAGATGCAATCGAGGCTTCGAAGAGAGGGGAGAGAGTGCCGGTGGTCGTGGCGAGCGAGAGGAGATGAAGCGAGAGAGGAGGTCGTGAGAATGCTGGAGATGAAGGCGGGTGACGCCAAGCAGCGGGTGAGGTTCGTTGGAAGCGAAAGCGGAAGGCGCGCGAGCACCGGCGAACGGGAAGGCGCGGTTACCCAACTGGGCCACGGCCTCCGACTTCGCGTCACGGCCACGCCTGCCTGCCCGCCCGCCGCCCGGCATCACCACCGCTTCCTCTTCTTCCACGACTCACTGCCCACCACCTCCTCTCCGTCTCTCGCTCGCCATGGCTGCTCCTCCCGGCATCCGTATCGCCATCGACGTTGGTCTCCTCTCTCCCCCTCCCTTCTCTCCTCTGGCGATGCTGATGCCCACAGCGCGGCGGCACCTTCACCGACTGCGTAGGCAACCCCGGCTCCGGGCGCTTCGAGGACGACGTCGTCATCAAGCTGCTCTCTGAAGACCCCGCCAACTACGCCGATGCGCCGCTCGAGGGCATCCGCCGCCTATTGTCCGTCTTCGGGGGCCGTGACATCCCCCGCGGGGCTCCCCTCGACACCACCCGCATCGCCAGCATCCGCATGGGCACCACTGTTGCCACTAACGCCCTGCTGGAGCGCAAGGGCGAGCGCATGGCCCTGCTCGTCTCCAAGGGCTTCCGGGACTGCCTGCATATCGGCAACCAGTCGCGCCCCCGCATCTTCGACCTTGCCATACGCCGCCCGGATGTGCTGTACGAGCAGGTCGTCGAGATTGACGAGCGAGTCACCCTCGAGGACTACACCGAAGACCCCGCCCGGCATCTCACTTCGGCGCTCGCCCGCGAAGCGGCTCCTGCGGGAGCTGAAGTCGTGCGGGGGTTGTCCTCTGAAGCTGTCCGCATCCTACGGCGCCCGTGCGAAGCTTCCGTCACGGACCAGCTGCGCCAGCTGTACCAGGACGGCTTCCGCAGCATCGCCGTGTGCCTCATGCACGCGTACACATTTCCAGACCACGAAGCTCTCGTGGGCAGAATCGCAAGAGACATTGGATTCAGCCATGTTAGTCTCAGCCATGAGCTCATGCCCATGATCAAGCTGATCCCACGCGCCACCTCCGCCTGCGCCGATGCCTATCTTACCCCAGCGATCAAAAAATACATCTCGAGCTTCCAGGCAGGATTCGAGGGCGGCCTTGGCGTCAAGGCTACCCAGGGCTCCTCTGCGCCCAACACGGCGCGCTGCGAGTTCATGCAGTCCGACGGTGGGCTCGTCGACGTCAGCCAGTTCTCGGGCTTACGTGCTATCCTGTCGGGGCCGGCCGGTGGAGTCGTGGGCTACGCTCTGACCAGCTATGACCCCGAGACCAAGATTCCTGTCATTGGCTTCGACATGGGTGGCACTAGCACTGATGTCAGTCGCTACGGCGCCGGCCGATACGAGCATGTGTTTGAGACTACTACGGCCGGTGTTACGATACAATCTCCGCAGTTGGATATCAACACCGTCGCGGCTGGAGGTGGCTCGCGTCTTTTCTATCGCAATGGTTTATTTGTCGTTGGCCCGGAGTCCGCGGGCGCGCACCCAGGGCCTGCCTGTTATAGAAAAGGAGGCCCTCTGACCGTCACTGACGCAAATCTATTCTTGGGCAGATTGCTACCAGATTTCTTCCCAAAAATTTTTGGCAAGAATGAAAATGAGGGCCTAGACGAAGAAGCGAGTGAACGCCTCTTCAAAGAAATCACTGATGAAATTAATAAAGAAGCTCCTGGGGACATGAAAATGACCCCGGACGAGGTAGCATATGGTTTTATCAAGGTTGCTAATGAAACGATGGCCAGGCCCATTCGCTCACTAACCGAAGCAAAAGGGCATGATGCCTCAAAACATCGTCTCGCCACATTTGGTGGTGCAGGTGGTCAACATGCCGTAGCCATTGCTAACAGTCTTGGTATTAAACAGATTTTAGTTCATCGTTATTCTTCCGTACTATCAGCCTATGGTATGGCTTTGGCTGATGTTGTGGATGAAAGCCAGGTTCCGGAATCCAAAGTATGGTCGGACGACCAAAAGGTAAGAGCAGAGCTGAAGGGAAAGATGGATGAATTAAAGGCAAAGGCCACAGAAAAATTGATGGGCCAAGGCTTCAAGAAAGAGTCCATTGTTTTCGAAGAATATTTAAATATGCGATACAGAGGAACCGAATCCTCTCTGATGATTATTAGACCTGGGAAAGATGACTATGAATATGGAAACGCTTTTGTACAGCAGCATGAACAAGAATTTGGGTTTACGCTCCCCGATCGCGACATCATCGTTGATGATGTTCGTGTCAGAGCCATTGGCAGAAGCTTTGACGATCTGGGAAAAACTGTGGACCAACAGTTGCGGGAGATGATACCAAAGGACGTTGATCCCTCCCAAAAGTATAGCACCAAACAAGTATATTTTGAAGGCGGACGTCGTGAAACTCCGATTTTCAAACTTAATAGTCTGGAAGTCAACACTCGCATCCCAGGCCCGGCCATCCTCGCCGATGGGACGCAGACACTGGTAGTCACTCCAGAAGCCACAGCTCTGATTCTGAAAACTCACGTTGTTATTAATATCGGTTCTTCAGAGGGATCTAACTCTAAGACCAGCGTAACGAGCGTAGATCCTATCCTGCTAAGTGTGTTCTCGCACCGCTTCATGGCGATTGCAGAGCAAATGGGCCGAGCACTGCAGAAGACAAGTGTGAGTACAAATGTTAAGGAAAGACTGGATTACTCCTGTGCTTTGTTTGATTCTGATGGAGGGCTCGTCGCAAATGCGCCGCACTTGCCTGTGCATCTGGGAAGCATGTCTACTTGTGTTCGCACCCAGGCAAATATCTGGAAGGGAAAATTGAAACCTGGTGATGTCATTGTTTCTAACCACCCAGAATTCGGAGGTACACATCTGCCTGATATTACAGTGATCACTCCAGCGTTCAACGGTGAAGATATCATATTCTATGTAGCCTCAAGAGCCCACCATGGTACGATATACCCCCTTCCGATCTTCGAAAGTTGCTAATCTAAACCTCGTAGCCGATATTGGTGGTATTCTACCTGGCTCCATGCCACCTCACTCTCGCGAACTATATCAAGAGGGCGCCGCTATCAAATCAGAAAAGCTTGTATCTCAAGGAATATTCAACGAAGAGCGCATCACAGAGCTCTTATACCATGAGCCGGCGCAATACCCAGGATGCAGCGGAACACGCTGTCTTGCTGACAACCTGAACGACCTTAAGGCTCAAGTTGCCGCCAATCAGAAAGGTATCGGTTTGATTTCTGCCCTGATTGCGGATTATGGAGAAGACGTGGTTCAATTCTACATGAGGAATATTCAGAAGAACGCCGAACTCAGTGTTCGTAATTTATTGAGAACAGTCAGCAAAAGATTTGAAGGAGCGGACCTTACAGCCATCGATTATATGGACGATGGAAGCCCTATTCAATTGAAAGTCTCTATAGACGCGGAAAATGGCTGCGCAGTCTTCGACTTTGAAGGGACGGGCCCGGAAGTATATGGTACGTTTGCAGTCACCCAGTTGGAAATGTTTCTAAATTAGCCGATAGGAAACATCAATGCTCCCGAGGCAGTCACTTATTCAGCCATTATATACTGCCTGAGATGCCTTATCTCGGAGGACATACCACTAAATCAGGGCTGTTTGAAGCCAATAGAAGTTAAAATACCGAAAAACTCCTTCCTCTCACCTTCAGGAAAAGCTGCTGTTGTTGGAGGCAATGTTCTCACGGTGAGTCTTCATTCCGGATACACACCGCCATCGATGGTCGCTAACATCATCTTTGCTTGCTCAGAGTCAACGAGTGACAGACGTTATTTTGAAATGTTTCCAAGCTTGTGCAGCGTCGCAGGGTGATACAAACAATTTAACTTTTGGTTTCGGCGGTAACCTCAACGGCGGCGAAGCTACTAAAGGTTTCGGCTACTATGAAACTATCGCCGGCGGAAGCGGTGCCGGGCCAGACTGGGAAGGCACCTCAGGCGTTCACACACATATGACGAATACTCGCATCACGGACGCTGAGGTATTTGAGCGTCGATATCCAGTCTTGCTCCGGGAATTCAGCCTTCGGTCGGGGTCTGGGGGCAAAGGTCAGCATTGCGGTGGCGACGGAGTCATTCGAGATATTGAATTCAGAATCCCGGTTCATGTATCTATTCTTTCAGAACGGAGGGTCTATCACCCCTATGGTCTCCATGGAGGCGAGGACGCACAATGCGGGCGGAATATCTGGGTGCGAAAAGTTCCGAAAAAGGACAACCCTGAGGAGTTCGAGGAGCGGCGTGTGAATATGGGAGCCAAAAACACTGCCCAGATGCAGCCTGGAGAAAGGATTATTGTGTATACTCCCGGTGGCGGAGGCTGGGGTGAGCCTGCGTCTGAAAAAAAGATACGGGCTGACCAGGATCCTCGACATGCTTGGAAAGGGGGGTCGGTGGCAGGCCGGGCAGAGACGCAAGAAACAAGTATGTAAGTAGATACATACGCTAGACGATGGTGAAAGACCGTAAATAGATGTCCATTTTTTGGTATGCCCATTCATGAGAAATACCGTTGTCTTTGCCCAATTGCATCCTGAAGTCACGTCGCCTGGCTCCCAATGAACACCATCGCACCCGTGCTATAAATCAAGTACATGAATGAAGAAGGACAGAGTAAATGCGGTTCAATAAACGATGTTGTGCCATCAGCTATCTTCCTCGCTGGTCGCCTCAATGTTCTTTTCGGGAGTGACTTTGTTCTTGTCCCCCACATGCTCCCCCCCTACTTCCTGCATCTCATCATCATCGTTATTATTCGTAGCAAGACTGCAGTATTCCGGTCGATCAATAGTATCTCCTTTCTGCCTAACGGCATCTTCAAGATCTGGTAATATTCCAATCAGAGCATTGAATTGTTCTAAAGTCAAAGAAATGCCCTATAAATATCCAAAATCACCACGAATCAGCTTTTCTTCTGGCAACTATTCCAGTGAAAATCAATTTACCTTTTTACCCGGCAGATGCTGTCCATCCTTCTCATAATATTCCCGAATATTAATCATCGTTTTGCCGCGGAACGATGACACAGTAACGCGTCGTTGGCGCGAAATTTCCCAATATAGCTCGCCATTCGTGTCTGTTTTTGACTTGCTAGCATCTGTGCTAGATGATTTTGCCGTCAAAACCGGTTTCATCTTTTTAATTTGGGGACGCTCTTCATCATCGTCGTCGCTAGCCGCGTCGCGTCGCGTCATCTGGCGCTTCCGACTTGCCATGGTGTCGACGAATATTGGTGGTTATGAGGGTTGGAAATGAGAAGAGTTGTATCCAGAAGCTTAGAGTCCTAAGATATCATAGATTTTACGGCTGTTAAATCTGCCTATATGTAAAGCAGATAGTTGTGTTCTGGAGCCTAATGGGGAGTCACGGAGTTAGAATAGTTAGTCAGTTAACTAGTTAGTTAGTTAAGTTAACTAACTCACTAGTTGGATTAGTTAGTTAACTGACTAACTAGCTATTTGCAAGTTAATTAGCTAGTTAGTTAACAGGTACCCAAAGGTCAATAAAAGAATAGTTTTAAGGAAGACGGAAGACGTCTTCATCTTCATACGGAGTACAGAGTACTCAAGTATTCCGGGCAAATATTTCATGTACAAATTAAATTTGTTCTACTCCAAATGTTCAGCTAGCCTGAATAAAAACCATCTTCCTAGTACATAAATATATCAGCCAAGTACAGCATGGTGCGCGATGTTTGCCTTATATTGTCTGATTTCCCCTTACCCTTTAAGTACTCCGTGCAAAGGGCATCCTTTGCCCGAGATGTGACTGATATCACAAACCATGTGCTACTCAAATGGTTCCATGAGCTTGTTTCCCAAAACTTTCGATGGAAAATCATCCACTCCCAACGCAGTAGTATGCGCCCAAGGCTTCAAGCCATTCTCTCGGCGTATAGTCGCGGCAAAGCAGGTACTCCATTTGAGGCGCGGGAATTGCTTGGATACATCTTCTATGGTAGATGGATGTACCAGGTCAGGATATTGACCAGTGTTGTCTACACCAGTTAGTATTTCGGTTCATAGGAATATCCTTCGCTTAAGACCAACCAAATATTGTTGCCAATTGGATCAGTTGACCAACGGCAGTGATGGTACCAACGTCACATAGGTCTTGATGGCGGATTATTGCCTCTGCAACGCTCTCTGCCTGCTCTCTCGGTGCCGTCGCCTCATGACCCTCGCTATTCCGCTGGAGGATATCCAGAGCCAGAAATCCTCCATAAAACTCAAAGCTCATCTTGGTCTTGTGCAAATTCTCTTCCGTTGTTCCGATGTCATGTAGGAGACAAGTCAAGTAGTATGTTTCGTCTGTGAATGCCCATTCAGGAAAGCGATACTTTTTAATCGCCAGCCCATAGTGATACACTCGCATAGAATGATTGAATGTTGGCTCTGGTAGCTTCGATTTTGCATATTCCTGAATGCGCTTTCCTAGAGCAGTCTTTGGTATGGGTGTCTGAGAGACCGGGATGTACGGCGCCTTGAGGGAAGGATGGGAGCTAGAAAGGAGCTTTGTTGCAGATGCTTCCACGGCGGTGAAGCCATAGTCTATGATCACGTTGGAGGACATGTGGAATTGTTGAATGAACCTGTATCTTCAATTCGACATGAATGGTGTTCTTTATCTTCCATATTCATCGAGGAAGATTAATAATAATTCCCGGAATTCGCGGAATGACGGTGGTGCGGCGAAGTCTAAATCCGATATGACAAATTTCAATAAATTAGGTATATAATTGACCTTCAAGGATAGGGTAAAAAGGCCGCCTGAGGTCCGTGTCCTTTGGCATTCGTCATCATCCATTATTAATATTGAGGCTAGATGGTTGAAGAAGGATGAACAGCTATGGAGAAATATTTGAATTATAGTTAGGAGCTCATGTCAAAGATAAACTTTCACTCCGTATTTGAAGTTGAAGTGAAAGGAATAGCTGGCTTCACTCGATAGTTTTATAGCCCCATGAAACCACCTTCTCAAGATAGCTGCTTGCATGCATTCATGCACGTTTCCTTTTGTTAAAAAGCTGTATATAATGCCCAAGAGTTGCTGAATAACAATAGGGCGTCTTTTTAAATAGATAAGTTTGCTTTTCATTCCTTATGACTGTATAGAATTGAACCGACGCTATTTGAACAGGAAAGGAAAAAAAAAGCATTTAAACTATGTAAGTAATCATGATAAATCACCACGAGGTGCAGCTAACAGTACAAAGGTGAAGAGAGAGGAATGATAAGGGATATGTTACATCTTCTCAGACGTGGCCATCAAGGAACCTAAAATCCAAGTTAGCATAGAGCCATACTAAGATGAGTGCGAGTGCAATGGCCTACCGATGAACGTAGTAATCAGGCGTGACCGGACCTGACAAATATCCTCTGGAACCAGCCAGATGGTGGCGCCCATCTTTCTTGCTATGCTGATAGCGAGTTTCGCGTTTGCGTAGGCATCATCGTCGGTTCTTCCCGGGGTAACAAGCTCATAATCGACGTAGCTGCTCTTCATACCGTTTAGGACATCGAGCAGGAAAATGCCACTACCAATGGTCTGATCCTTGAAGCTTCGAATAGATGAACTCTTTCCACCTTTTCGTGACATGTCGTTGGCCCATTGAATCATCTCCCCATCCGTAATTTCACGTTTTCCCATACGCTTGGCCAAGGAAGACAAAGTGTTTGTAATATCCTTTCTCATTAGCTGCCATACTAGGCCAAGCGTCAATGTTCTCTGGCCGTCTGTGATGTCGGCTCCTTGGATTCCTACCAAAGAGAAACGGTTTTGCTTCCCCAGCTCAATAGCATAATTTGTGTTTTCAACAGCCTTAAACTTCATCATCTCACCACCATGCGAAGGAGGCTTATTCACATGTCTCCAGTTAACACTGCTTGGAATAACCTTGTCGTAAGCCTGGAGGAGGACAGTACCATCTCGTAAATCGTCAAACAGAGAATTGACGGCTGGTTGCACGTCTAAGGAGTTGAGCCAAAGCGTAAAAACTCGAGCTTCACGCTCGCCTTCAGCATCGAAATCCTCAACCTCCAACTTGTCTTCTTCAGTAATTGGATCAAGACCCGGGTGATTGTTGAATAAGTTTGCTACAAAGGCTAGATTGAGCTTAGGATTTCCCGCAACAAGTGAAGTTGGAGTCAGAAATTTGCGACACTGTAGCAGCTCAGCGTTTTGAAGAACTTGCTCAGCACGCTGAAGCAAATCTGGAGTTTGAAGAGGTTTTCGCGAGCAGAGGTCTGGCGCCAATTGATTGAGAAGTACTGTGTAGTTGGCTCCATCTTTTACATCACTAGAAAAGTTTGCAACCCTATCCAAATTGATGAGACAACAGCACCTAAATATAGTGTAGGCAGGTTGGTTCTTACCTTCTATCCCAATTTGCATTTTTCAAGTGATAGTTAAACCAGCGAAGCAAGATCTGCTCTGGTGGCAGTCGTAGGAACTGCTCTAGAGTTTCGTCCTCTTCAAGAAGCCGATATAGTTCCGGGTGGAGTTTGATGTCGATTTTACCCAAGAGGCCGCGGCGAATAATCTGCCAAATCAAACCAAGAATGAGATGTTCTCGTACCTCAATGATGTCACCACTTCCGATATTGACAACGGAACAACCGATACCTTTGGCGGAATTTATAACTATATTGTTGTTTTCAGTCATGTGGAATGCGTTGAGTTGTTTCGCCTTTTTCCCAGGCCTGTTCAAGACACGCTCATCAATGGTATCGGGTACGCTATCATTGATAAGTTTGGCAAGCACCAATCCATCTTTGCATTCATCGAACATCTCAAATGTGTCAGTTGGAAATGGCAAAAGGTGGCCGATATCAGGGTCCCCGGCAAGGACAGCATTAATGTGCCTGGTAAACTCCGTCCTTTCATCTTCGTTTATGGTATGCGTAACATTTGCAGATGAGCCCTGGACGTGGATTTTTCCGCCAATGCTGCCTTTGGAAGCATGTCCACGCACAGGAGCAGCACTGGCGGCGGACGGGGCGCTGACAGAATTGCGGACTTTTGAGATAAGCTGTAATGCGCAAAATCATTTTTAGTAAAAGGAACTCCATATAGTAGCCCCGCAATCGGAAACAGAACTGACATCAACGTAGTCTTCCAGCTCGACACGTCTGGAACTGTCGAGCTCGACCTCTTTTAAAGCCGAGCGCACAACATCGTATGGCTGTCGTTCAGATTGCTGAGTGGCCTTGATCACAGTCGCCTCATCGAGATAGCCCTTGTCATCAACATCTAATCGCTGAAAGGCGTCTTGAAGGGCGAAAATCTCGTTTTGTTGGAACTGTGGGTATTTTCTGTTTGCTAGTTAGCCCGCTCATGCACAAGCTGTTTGTGGCTCAGGGAATAGTTCGGGCACCCACTTCTGTAATTTGAAAATATTCATGGCTGCGATCAACGAGTGGTAGCTCTGTCGTGGAGAGGGTGTGAAATATGTCGATGGGTGGGGTTGATATCGAGGGGTAAATTCGGTGGTGAGGAGAGAACCGCAAGGGATTTATGAGGCGTGCGCTGGAGGAATGACGTACTGCGGCCTATTACATACATGCACTAAGACGCGACGGCAGCAGACGAAATAAGGTCATCTATTATATATCGCGTCTTGCGGCGATTGCACTTTTTCGCTTTCAGGCATCTACATATTATGAAAATGAGGTGACGTATGCATCACCCAAATCTCTCGGCCTTCGCTTCTGTGGCATTTAGGCATCAAAGAAAAAAGGTGGCTAAGCAAATTCACCAGTTTCAAAGCACAGAGAACGCAGGGCAAATTTGAGCTCTAAGGCATTTTACCATCTAAATTAAGATCCATGATTGCATTTAGCACGTCAGAAAATGTTCGTGCACCGAGAAGCCTCTCGGGTCTATTGGTCAAAAGCCTAGTCAGAGTTGGATTTCGTGTCCCCGTCAATCAGCTTCTCAACCAACTTGACAGTGGTCTCAGGTCCTCCAGCTTCAAGTAGTAGCACTTTTCCAGTCTTATCTACTGCAAAAACCCCGCGAGTAGTCCCCTTTGGCTGCTTTTTGAACCCAATAGCCCCAATCAATTTAGCTGCTGGGTCGCAAACCAGCGGGTACGGAAGCTTCTGCTTCTCTTTGAACTTGCTATTGGCATTTGGGCTATCTGCGGATAGACCATAGATCGATAAGCCGGTTGAAGACAGGTGGTCGTAGCCGTCGCGAAAGAGACACGCTTGCCTTGTGCCTTTCAGGTGAGAAAATCAAATTAGCATTGATTGCTAATCGCTTTTCTTCGAAACATGGAGGAGTTGAAAGTTTACAGCCCATGATGCTAAAGATGTGATTCCTTTTCACTTGTATTTGTGGGTGAATAATCAAAGAGAACACGCGCCTTTGGGCGACATTTATGCGGCTAAATGTCTCCCAAATTCAAGCAATTGGAATTCACTCACATCCAGGAGTTGAAGCCTTGGGGTAGGTAAAGAGCACTACACCGTTTTCGCTTGATTCTATCAGCGCCTTGAGCGAAGATTGCGTGCCATCCTGGAGCTGTATTTCGTCTTGATATTGCTCGAGATCGAGGACAGTTCCAATTGTAGGGACTTCCGGGGCGCTCGATGTCGCGCTCTTTTTCGATTCCTTCGCTATCGCCTTGGGCTTTGGTGCTTTCGCCTTTGATGCAGCGACCTTGGTGACTTTCTTCTTTGCGACGGGCGCGTCCTTCGGCTCGGTAGGAGCCTTTCGCTTTCGAAGTTCCATTGGCATATTGAATGGCGAAGGATAATGAGTTTAAAGTAGAAACAAAGGATGCCTTCTTTGCAGCTGTTGAGAATGGATGGAGTGAAACAGGAGATCTCGACGAGTCGCGACTCGGCGGCGCAACGACACGACACGACACAACACGCAGGATCGCGCACACGCCCCTGGACTAGGTAACTACCACTACGAGTTAACTAATAATGTGATTGGTAGTAGAAAGTATGGGGTACTCCGTACGGAGTAGAAACAACCGCCTTGGAAAAGAAAAATAGCTTGGTCTACGGAGTACGGAGTAGGTGAAACCCCATGCTGTACGGAGTACGGAGCAGTGTAAATAAATAATAAACCTACCCCGTACAGAGTATGGAGTACCGGGCTTTGCTTCATTATTATTATTGTCATTATTTTCAAATTACACGCGCATATTTAGCATTTTGCACTGCTAGAAGTTGTTTAGGAACAAGCCAATATCCTAGAATTTGTCCATGAGAAGTTTGTTGAAAAGTATACCTGCACTCAACGTGCTAATGATTTCACCAAACACATGACATAACTAACTACCTAGTTAATTAACTAGGTAGTGAGCTCCTAGGTAGTTAGTCGGTACAGAGTGCGGAGGAGGACGAGTTATGTAGTAGTAAGTTACTTTGTTAACTATGGCTTCTCTATTAAGTAGTTATCCCACATGGTTGCCTAGCTTGCTTCATTGAAAATGTCGTTCTGACTTGCTATCTCTTTAGTGGCCCTAGACTGCGTCCATTCGACCTGTAATGGTCTGGGAACTCTGTACCAGGGGAAGAAGGCCTGATAGCGACGCCTGCAGACCCATAACCGCATCGTTACTTTCCACTGGTTGCGGATTGGCATTGGGAGGAGACTTCTATGTAAGACAGAGTTCAGATTTTCATCCCAAGATGCTTGGTGTATCTGGACACAAATGTACTATCTAAAGGTGAGAATGAAAACTCTCCCTCAGCTACTGGTTCGGGCAGCCTGCTACCAATCGTGAAACAATTTTTACTCGATGGCAGAGTTGTCGAGCATCATAGGATCCTGTCCACCCTTTGACATGTCCAATAAAGCAGTATTAATTGGTTCGATAGTTAGTTCTACTTTTTTGCCCGGTCGGACATATCAGGCTCGGCTCCCAACACAGGTAGACTCCTATAACCTCCTTCTGCAGTGGAAAAATGATTGAACTTTGCCCTGG